ACAGTCAGATTCTTGAAAGATCTTACACATTAATAAGATCTTTCAAGAATCTGACTGTGCGACTTGATATAAGATCTCAGAGACTACGATTTTTTGTATGATTTTCGTATGATCTTGTAAGATCATACAAGATCAGATTCAAATTCTTATCAGATCTTAGTATCTGATTGTTTGTCCTGGGGGGCTATTCCGGCACTTTTCGACATCCGACAACTTCCTGTCGGAATCCGATACCAAGGATTCCGACGACTTCTGACGCATTCCCATCGGATCCGATGGGGTGAGTTCGACCGCCGTGAGTACCTCAATTGTTTTTTAGACTGGAAGGTTTGTTATTTTATTGTTCGTGGCATCATACCATCTATGAATGGTACGAAAGATTTTTCGATTTAACGCTTCCACTTGTTGTTGTTTTGTATGAGATATTATTGGATAAATATTCAGAACAAATTGGTGGTATGGGCGAATATATGCATAATATAGTCGATATGAAATTTCTTCTGATAACATCCAACTGCTAGATAAACATTTGAACACCAAGATTTTTGTTTATTTTCGATTTGATGTAATTGAGATGATAATTGAAGGATAATCTAGCATCTAGTATAATACCAAGATACTTAAATTTGGAGACTTGGTCGATGATATTGCTGTCACAATATATAATAGGAATACTTGGTGAGATCTGTCGGTGAAAAAGAGTGCAGTACGTCTTTTTGAAATTTAATGGTTGATTCCAAGTAATCGAGTAACCCAGCGCAATCACTCCGACCGTCGGAACGGGCATCTTATCAAATCTGAAACGGCTATAAAACGGTATAATAAGGCATTAGTTTTCACCTTATTTCGCGGAAAGCCGTCACACGTTTTACGGACCCTTTTTTTCGCTAGAAAACAACCATTATTTGTAACACTATATTCGTCGTTTCCCGAGTTGACGAAAACGACGCCGTGCTTCAACGTTTTACGCTGTTTAGGCCATTTACGCACCGTTTTCTTGGACATGGGAAGAATGCAGATCTTTTATTACACTGGAGATTTGTTGTGAGAGATATGGGATAAGAAATTTTGATGACCAGGTTGCTGATCCCAGGTCGTTCATTTCTACAATCGGATCTGAAAATGGGTTGCATCGGATCTTACATGAAAACCGAAAAGAACCAACAGATTCCGTCGGATTCCGGGTTTCGGGCTGAGATTCGGATCCGTAGGATCGGAATCCGATACCATCCGATCGTATCCTACGCTGTGATCCGATGCGCCAAAAAAGTCTGCTACCCAGGTCCAAGCAACCGGCCCGGGAAACGGCCGGTTCCCGCGATTTCACGGAAGCAGTATTCCGGACCGGGAAATCTCCGGATTTTTCCTGTAAGTTCCGCCAAGTTCCTGTTGGTCCCCGTCGGAAATCACTGGGAAAATCCAGAGAAATCCGTCCCGGAATACTGCTTCCAGGGTCCGGTGATATCCGGCGTTTTCCTGCATGTTCCTGGCCGGTTCCAATTAAATCCGCTCATTTCCGGAGGCCGGAGACATTGTCCTGGGTATACTCAACTTCTAAAAAGCTCTTCTGCACTAAATAGAATTTTGATATTTTTTTAAATTCTTCCGTTGGATCCGTCAATAGTTTCGAAACCCGGAATCCAACTGGATTTCCTTGGTTAGTAGGATGGTTTAGGACCCGATAGAATCCGTCGTCGGATTAGTCGACCTGGGATGGTAAGAGAACAATAGGTAGATCGCCGGCAAAGAGATGTTTAAAGTGAAGATTTGATACTGCATTCAATATATCATAATGAAAAATAACAAATAGTATCGGGCCCACAAAAGAATCTTGAGGGACACCTTTAAATAGTGGGAAATGATTTGACTGAATACTGCCGATTTTTATAAGGGCTGAACGTCCTAACAAATAATTTCTTAACCCTAATCCACTCACCTGGGGTCCGTATGGACCCCAGCTCAAAATAAAAATTCTGAAAGTGCATCTTGTTCTTTTTACGAGTACGTCTCAAAGGGACAAAAATTCTATAGATTGGTGGTATATGATACTCTGCTTCAGTATAACATGAATTGAAAAGTTAAACCCTCACAATTAAGTTTGAATCTCATCCAACTTAGAATAGTACAATATACGCGTTTATAGAGGTGGGCGGATTAGGGTTAACCATGCAATAATGTGAAGTGGACAATTGAGACGTGTAAGTTTGATTCACAGACCTTTAATCCACAGTTGATTAAAGGCGGATTTGAAATCAACAAATAAGGCAGCTGTAGCAGTATTTAATGCAAGACCTTGTCCATTTTGATCAATAATCGACAAGATTCTGGTAAACATATTGTGTCCTGGTCTGAAACCTGTCTGCTCTTCAGGTAGAATGCCATTATCCATAATCCATTGATGAAAGTGTGTGAGGAACAATTTCTCATATAACTTTGAAAAGCATGGAAGTAAAGATATTGGACGAGTGTCATTTATATGCACTATTGACGTTTTCGTCTTTGACAATAGTATCATCTTAGCCACAAGCCAACGTCGAGGAAAATGTACATTTTGTAGCATAAAATAAAAAGAGAAAGTGATAAATGTAAGATGTGGTGGTGGTGGTGGTGGTGGTAGAAGTCTTATAATTGCATTTGATACATCATCTAATCCTGTGGAATTCTTGTTCCTCAATGATAGAATAGCTTTATTAACATCAATGAATTTAATATCAGTAAAAAGCAATTTCGAATTTTGTAGGTGTTGATTCAATTCTCTATCCACTATTTCAGCTTCAATTTCCACCGCAGATTGTTTATTTTCATGTTCACAGAATTGTTCTAAATAAAACTGCTCAGCTAGCTATATCACACATTTCCCTTGTAGATGTAATAATCACACCATTGTTCAGGGGGATACCTTAATACAGATGAACTATTTTCATAACTATATTTGCTAAAATAGAAAATTGAGAAATACCCCAAAGAAAAATAAAACGCAGAGAAACGTGTTCATTTAAGAAATGGCAAAGCTTTTCATTTGGTAAAGAATTCTTTTATTTTTCATTAAATAATTATGAAGTACCATGAGGTAATATGTTTAGACTTATTCACATATAGTTACTCAACTGTTTTTTCTTTTAAAGAAGCACAATCATATTAATTTCAACTGAACTATAGTCATTCCGATTTTTTAGTTAGTGTTCTCTGAATCATTTACAATCAACATTTGATTTTATATTGATGAAAATAGTTCATGAGAGTCGATTCTAGAGTATTGATCTAGGTTTAGACGCAACCTGTGCTATTACGAAAACTAATAAAAGAATTCCTTTAGGAAATAATAAGTTGAAATATATTAAAATTGAATATATACAATTTTATTAACAGAATACAACGAAAAAGGAAAGGTTCACAGATGTCCTACAATATGTCTACTTTGCATGCATTCAATGGCGCTACTATTGTGCATGACATTCTGCATCTGAGTGTGTAATAAAACGGACAATCAACACAACAGCTGATAAAAATATAACGATTCAAAATAAACTTGCATGTATTACTATTTCTATTGTCATCAGTCATTACAAATATATATAAACTATTATTAGAACTTCAACAATGTTTCGTAGTTCGCATCAGACTAATGTGAAACAACTGCGGAAAGCTCGTTAAAATAAATATTTCTAGTATCTAACTGTTGTCAAAAAGGTGAATTGGCAGATTTGTCTTACATTGTTGCGTGAACCTTTCGTTTTATTATATAAAGCACGTAAAAACTTCTGCGACATCAAAAAACTTTACTTTTAAAACTTTATTTTACATTCAAATGAAACTCTATATAATGACTTGGTTTTGATTTTGCGAAATCATAGAATTTATATCGTTTCTTTAGGACAGTCTATTTACTAGAAAATGTTAGCGATTATTAAAAATTCGTCAAAAAGCGAATGCTAAAGAGAAGAGACTCTGTTTCTACTTTGTTCATTGTAAAGAGCAGAATACATTTCACAAAAAATAATATTTTGAAGTTCTTTAACATTTGAACAATTATGTTATATAACGAAAAACAAAGAAAAATTTATTCAGTGGTTTTTTTTCTTCACATAAAAATAATGAAACTATTTTGAAATTCCGCATTTTTATTTTCTTTCATTTTGCAATATATTTTGTGTTGTGAGGAAGTGTAAAAATTTGCTTTTCGTGAAGTTTATTCTGCTCTTTACAATGAACAAAGTAGAAACAGAGTCTCTTCTCTTTAGCATTCGCTTTTTGACGAATTTTTAATAATCGCTAACATTTTCTAGTAAAACGACTGTCCTAAAGAAACGATATAAATTCTATGATTTCGCAAAATCAAGACCAAGTCATTATATTTTAATTTATTTCTTTTCTTCAATTGTATGATTTTCAATCAAAGATAATTTGTAGATTGAATAGAACAAAGAGTGTCTCAGAACATTTTGTTCCTGAAGATATTTTACTATTGTCATTTCTTTCTATTAAAACATGAAATTTTGCATCTGTATAGCATCATATGAAGTTTTAGGAAGCAATTCTTTCGTGCCTCCGAAGTTTTTACAGAATATCTACTTGATTTGAAGATCCTTTCCATATAAACTTTTATATTATTATATTATTATGTCATTATATTTTATTAGATAGAAATCGTCTCTAATATTTCATCATACTTGATTGTGCTATGTGCAAACAGTGTTAATGATGAAACATGATGGAAAACTAGTCAATACAATATTATTTTATACGGATCAGCTAGTATGAGATGTAACCTACTTGAGTATAGAAATAACGTTGGTTAATATACCTATTATTTATCTAATTTAGCAACTACCTAAACTAAACTTGAGTATTGTGAACATTATTTCCTAGATTTACATTTCGTCAATGTCAACATGATTTGCATGTTACTATGTGGCTTGTTAAACAGCAATAAAGCTAAAACATTAGAAACATGTTTGAACTATAAGATGCTCATAAAAATATTTATTTTCTACATGAAAAAAAAGACTTGCAAAAATAGACTCCATTTAAGATCTTCAGAAGTGTTATTAAGTGAAACAAATGTTGAAACCTGATGATAACTAGGTCAATGATTAACCTATAAAGATACATCATAATTTATAAATAGATAACTATTTGAGGCCGTTGATATGTGCATATAGTTTTCAAGTGTATGGTAGAACTCTTTTCTGACTGTCTGTGTCCAAGTGCACTTTTATTCGTAAGTAAATTTAATATTAATTTCAAGTGTTAATTCAATCAATCGAAGTAAAAGTATCCAACTGTTGCTTTAAATAGATTATAAATGAGGGTAGTACGTTTACGTTAATTTAAAATTAACGCTAACTGAAACCGTTAACCGCTAATATTAACGGTTAACGGTTTTGCTCAAAGCGTTAATCCGGTAATATTAACGGTTAACGCTTGTAGTTAATTAATGCCATTAATTAACTCGCATTAAATTAAATGATCCACCCTTAGTTATAAATATTTTACAGAAAATTCGTAATAAAATAAATAGGTATTTGACAAAAAGATAATAGTCCATAAATTAATACAAGAACCGCTAGAGTAACGATTAATAAAGAATAAAAACAATTAGAATAATGTATGAAAATTGATATAAGATGCAATCTTTGGTAATTATTCAAGTTGTTAGTAACAAATTTCTTTCAATTTTTCATCACTCAAAGTTGCTCAACAAACGTAGTTATATAAAACTAAGTGGTCACTAAATAAACAAATTTTAATGAAATTTTTTATCATAAAATCTTTCCAATGGATGAAACAGCACACATTTCTAATATTCAGATAGGAAATAAGTAAAAGATAATTAAATATTTTGATATCATGTTTATGATTAAATTATAATATAACTATGTGTTTTAATAATAATTGAATTCGAATCAAGATGATATACAATATTCATTTCTATCAAACATACTGGTTGAATGATTTAACGAGAAAAATTATTTAATTTAAAAAAGCAAACATACATATATATTTTACAATTAAAAGTTCTATATTGTTGATATTTGTACTGCCAGTATTCTAATTAAGTGTGATTGTCCTTGAGATGCAAGTTGATATTTAGGTAAAAGAAAAGCATACGGTGATTCAATGCTTGTTTTATAAAGCCACTCGAGCATGAATAAATGTATACCATAGTCAATCAAGGACTGATTTGAATACATACTGGTAGTCAAAAAGCACATGTTGAGTCATTATTTATATTGAGACATAGATTTCGCATGTATTTTTGTCTTTTGCAATAATTACTTATTTTCTTTTTTTTAAATACATATTTGGGATTAAAAACAGAACTGAACTAACTATAAAAAACACGATGTCAAAACAATTTTTAACTATTTATGCTGCAGATTCGACTGGAACTAATAGAAAAGCTCAAATGATAAAAACTTACTCATTTACTACCGATGATGACGAAGGAACATCTATCGTCCAATCTGAACCAGTCTCCAATCATGATAAGTTATTATCGATAAGTTCTCCTTCAATCGATAGTGCGAATGCTGAAGATGATTTATCAGAAGTTAGTACCAAAGCCAAAAGAAGAAAACCACGACGAACACATGAATCTGAGGTAGGAAATTATTATTGAAAATGGTTTTGCTACTTATACATAATTATCTAAAACTTGAATTATTTGTTTTTATTAAATAGAAGAATTTAAAAAACAAAACATAGTTACGATAAAAGATTCTAATTGTTGTTTGATTGTAAGATTTATGAAGAAATTATTTGAATCTTAGCTCACAAAAACATTTATATTTAATAACGAATTCAAACTTTAATAATTGCATTTTAAACGATCAAACGATTTTCAATAATTGTCTAGAAAGTTAACTTAAATGATAAATAGATAAGACAAGTATTATCTTATTTCATCAATAGTTTTAATTCGCATATAGCGACGAAATTTTGTTAACCTCTGATTCTTTTTTTTAAAGGAAAAAATCGAGGATACACATGAGACAAGAAAAATATGCCCATGGTATAAAAAAATTGATTGGTCAAAACCAATATTATCCATGGGTTTATTAATCTTTCTCTATATAACGTGGACCAAAAGAGATGTATGGATTCCAAGAATGTTAACATCAAATGCACGCATTCGTCGTTCTTTCGTTTCAAAAGATACAGTAACATCAGATCAATTAACAAGTTCATCTTCGCAAATATCACCAACAATCTCAACAATTCCATTACAAGATTCCCCACTAGCCTTTGATCATAAAGAAGATAATATCGACGATCACGAAAAGGATAATGATGATGATGATCAAAATAATAGCGAACGAATTAATTTTGAAAACAATGAAGAATCAACAATTTCTTCAGGTAAAGCAAATAATGGTCATCGAGTCAATATTCGTATACGAAGAAACAGAATGAGTTTTAGTAACGAACATAACAAGAAAAAGCATCGTCACTCTCATGATCTACCTGCCGATGATGAATTAGAAAAAACCGATGGTGGAAGACAAGTTAAAGTAATTAAACCAAATGAATCGATTGCATCATTACAAAACCATCCACCAAAAAAAAATCGCCGAGAAATTATTCAAAATGAAAATGTAAAGATTAGGACTGTTGTAAATCATGGTATACGTTTATCTACATACGATGATATTATTGATCAATTAAGAAAAAATCTGAAATCTCGAACTCGAGATCGAGATTTTTTATCAACACTATCGAAAAAAACTGGATTAAACAAGGATAAATTATACCGATTTATTTATAAAAAAGACTATAATCTTTTAACACTTGAAGCATTCATGTCTCTTTTAGATACATTTAATTTAATGCTTTTAGTTATTCCAAATTAGGTTTAGAAGAAATAAATTGTCCCTGGCCAAGATAGAACTCTGAAATTTCTCTTTAGAATCAAGATGTTCTTGTTCACTGCACTACAAGAACAAATATAGTAAAAGAGAACAGTTTTTCGTCGGCATCTGTTCTTAAACAAGAAAAAAATCAATGGAATTCATATTCAAAATATTTTCTTTTTATGATACTAAACCTACATTATGATAAAGGAATAGATTTTATGAAACAAGTAAACTATCCTACTTTGCTAATTATCTCTAAAGGTTATCTTCATTCAACATATTCAACGACTTGAATTGACAGGAAAGTGCAACTTAGTTCCTATATCTGCTGTATCTATTCAAAACTTATACATTCGAATTTTAGTATCAATCATGTATAAGATGACTGTTATCAATGCACTCATAATTTGTAGTTGTTGATCATCCGCTGTTCGATACAATGTTGATTATGCTGTAAAATAGCTGTGAAAAACTCAAGTAATTTAGTAGTAGGATTATGACTGAAGTCAGTCTTCTTTCTAGAGATATCCGACTTGTATCGGTTATAGAGCATAGTTCGAACTATCAAGTCGGTAGCTAGGAAACGTTTTACATTTTAAAGTAATCGAAAACGAGAATGACTCTTTCTTCGTTTTTGCTTCGTGCCTTCTTTAATGGCTTTGTTCATCTTTTTCTATTTATTACATGCTTCTTTCATAGACATGATCAAAACCTCAAACAAATTTCAAATTACAATCATTATTTTCTTGTAACATAAACTCCAGAAAATCAACATGGACGGTTCGATCATTTTGAAATCAAATCAAACACATGAGAAGTTCAATGAAAGAAAACCTCAGTCACTGATGAACTACGATGTGTAACTGTTGTTGCATATACTATAAATTCCTTTGTTTTAAGCGTTAAACGAGTCTCGAATGCATTTTTAAAAGCATAATCAGTGATTTATTGTCACTTCTGAACACAAATACGATTATTTATATAAAACAATTCAATTCTACGTTGTGATTCGAACATTGTGACTTTTTATTATTATTATGAAGTTTCTTTCATAAGAATAATTTCTAATGACAAGACGAAAGCAAACATACTAGCTCGTTGTTTTCTTCAATTGTATTTTATGATACCAAAAGAATTTTATTTTAACAAATTAAAATCTTATTCCCCTTTAAGAATAATATTCACGAACATGAATTTGAATACAGTCTTCCTAGTTTACTTAATTAAAAAGGTTGCATTTTCACTAATATGTCTTAGTTTTTACATTTCCCTCAAATACATTTAGATTTCAAACAATAAATATTTTCTTAAATGCCCATGTAGCTGATATTGGTCCGATATTTGTTTTTATACTTGTATTATTTTCTATCTGTGCTTTAGTTAAAGTTCACTTTCTGCTCAGTTATATAAGAGCTATTTTTTCTTTATCTACAGTAGAAATTTTAGTTAAATTATTTACTTTTACAAGAATATTAATTCCAGCCTGTGTACGTAGTAATAGTTTTTGAACGGCACATTATATAGTATATATATATATATATATAAGAGGATGAATTTATGTCTATCGAACAAAATAATTCATTTAATAATATGCAATTTATAATGACATATCAGAAAAAAATTGAAGAGAATTCGTTTTTCTTAATTCAACTTATTCGTCATATAAATATTTCATGAGATTGATAGAAGAAATAGATCAATGTTTTTGTAGAAAGTTATTCGAAATTCAATACAGAATAATTTCTTTGACATAAAACTTGATGATTGTGATTTATTCAAATACTTTGTTCTCTATTGCATAATGTTTTGTGCATTCTTTAGCTGTCTGACTAAATTTATCTTGATTCGTTCGATAGAAATTCAAAGTTTCTTGGTTGAGACCACGTTCTGGATTAGGATCTGTTAGTAGCGAACATAACCATATCAGAAGATTACGTATTGTTATTATAGGAGACCATTGCGAATGAAGAACATCCAAACGGATTTCTCCTGTTGTACAAATATTTGGATGACAAAGAGTTACGGTAAACTGAATCTGAGGCGGCTGAAATGAAAAATCTAAAGAAAAATCAATAGTCAATCGAAATATTCCACCATCATATGGTGTGTCTTTTGGCCCTTCAATGCAACCAGTTCAATGTGTCATGTCTTTGATTGGATCTTCAGGTTTTGCATAATAAAGAAGGGATGGATTTTTCTTCATGTCATTATACTGTTGAGTAAGACGTCGTGCAAGACTCATTGAAAATAGTCAATTTTACTCTAAAGTAAATAAAACTATTATCATCATCGATATTCACACATTCAAACAGTATATAAAGATAAAAATACTTGCTACTTTTTTTTGAAAACTAGAAGCTCTAAATGAGAAATACAAGTAGAACCATAAATACTTCACGTAAAAATGGTTTATAGACACCATCACAATAAACTATAGACCATATATATCTAGAATGTTTCCGAAACATTAAAACAAAAAACTCGATAATCTCTTTAACATTCACTCTAGAATAACAAGTAATGATCAGTCTGTATATCGAGTGGAAAAGACTCCCATTGAGTTAAGATCATTTATCTTGATTTTTCCATGGCATATTTTTTTGTCCATTCCTTGGCATTTCTTTCATATAAACTTTTATTTGTACGATAAACATTGAGAATTTCATTATCTAAACCATGTTCAGGATTGGGATCAGTCAATAGCGAACATAAACTAAGTAATGCAGTTCGAATTGTTAACGCAGGTGACCTTTTATCATGAAGAATATCTAAGCAAATATCACCTTGTGTACTAATATTTGGATGATAGATAAGAGTTGTAAAACGAATGCGGGGTGGTTTAAAAGGATAATCAATAGTGGCGGCACCAGGGGTGGGCTGGGGTGGGCTAAGCCCACCCAGAAATGTTTTAAAGTTTCTGAAAAAACCGATGATCTTTTATACAAGTGATGCGCCAGCATACAACTGCTAGCTTTGATAAAGATAAAGATTCTTGCTTATTTTCTATTGGATGATTATTGAAAACAGGGTTGCTACCTCATCATGCCAGAAAAGCGGAAAGTTTGATCAGAAAAAGCGGAAACAAAAATGGAAAAAGCGGGTGTGGGTGTTTTCGAAAAATGTTTTTATCTTCCCAAAAATATTCCTTCTCTAATACTGAAATGACGGTATTGGAACTATCAGTTCACGAGTTTACGAAGTGAATATGCCACTAAATGCGGCACTTTTTTGACACAGGACTTTGAAAGTTTATGCGAATAGTGTGGAATCAAAAAAAAATGTAAACTCGGTTTGCACAGCAACAGGAGAAATATATATATTTCACCTTTCATATACACGCCGAAGATGATTCCTTTTTGGCACACAAGGTAAAAGGTTTGCCCGAAAAACATACACTGTCAAAAATAATGCTTGTTTTTCACAAAACCAAGAGAAAAATGTCATTTTTTACATTCAGCGATCGAGTATGACTTCGCTTTCATGTATTATATCAGCAAATAAACAAGAGCTCGCACAAAATTTTCTATTATTCAATAGCATTTCAAGTCACGGAGAACATATTTCATATTGGAAGCCAAAATGAAGCGGAAGGGTTTTAACGGGAAAATATATTGGAAAATCTATTGTGCGAAGCGAAAATTTTACTAGAATTGAAGAAAATTATGAGTTAGAAAATTATTTTCTAAGAAACTTTCATCGAGCAGCATCTTATCTAATGTATTGTACGCAGAATTTTTCAATAAAAAAAGAAAGTTCTTTTAGTGAAAAAGCGGAAGAGGTGGCAACCCTGATCGAAAACTACTCCAAGCCTTCTATACATTCATGCGAATTATTGAGCATTGAATAAGAAACAGCTTTGACTAATCCAAAGATTCGACAAATTTTCCATTCATTTTTTTCGCTTTTCAAAACTAAGGTAGTTTGAGCCTACTCTGATAAAAAATCAGAGGGTCTGAGCCCACCCTAGTCTGAATTCCTGGCGTCGCCGCTAATAATCAACTGGAAAATGTATTTTTAAATGAAAAATTCCATCGTGAAACGGTGATCCTTTAGGTCCACGGATCGAGTCATTCCAATTAAACATATCTATGGGTCGAGCAGCAGGTCGCGCTTGACATAATGGCGGTGGATCATTTTCCATTTCTTTTAATTGTTTTGCTAAACATCGAAGAAGAGACATCTATCTCAGATCTGAAATATTTATAAATATCTCTCATCCATACAATGAATATAATTAATTTTGATTTTCCATGATTTTATTAATTAAACAAAATGTAAATCTGTAACCTAACAAAATTACTTATACTTCTGAATTTCATAAAAGCATACCGTACGTACTTTTAAAGTATTTGTCAAACAATATGAATATATTTCAGCATATGTGAAAAAGAAAAACGCATGTTTTTCTGTTTTGATCATGCCATTTTGTATTTGTCATTCAGTAAAGAAGAACAGCAAAGAAAAGAAAAACGGACTGTTTTTTTCTTAATTTTTGGTTTACACTTACTTCATTAATAGAGAATAACATATTTAAGTCGAGATCTATTTATTTTTCTCTTTTCTTTCCTTTGCTTACAGTAATGACATCAATACAAAATTTAGTATTAAATCCAGTTGATGAATCTGCACGTGGTCCGACACCGTTTTCACATTGGGGTAATTAGTAAATTTTAATAATGTATTTTTTTCAATTATATTTCATCTAGTTATTCCCAAACTTTTATTGGCAAGTGCATATCCCGGTGAAAAGAATCCAAGCTCTCATAAACTCCTAACACGTGAAATTTTTGATGCTGGTGTTCAAGTTATAGTTAATATTATGGAAATTGAAGAGTTAAAAGCATTTACACCTTATCAAGATATTATGCTTCAATATGCTAAAGAAGGTATCTTGATTTATGTAAACTTAAAATAATAAGATCTGGAATTTTGTTTTTCTTATATATATATATATATGAGGTTTTCAAAAAAATAAAACAAATTTTTACATATCTCTACTGATTTAGAAAATCGTGAAATTGAATTTGTTTCATTTCCAATTCGAGACCAATCTGTACATCAAGATAATCAATGTGTGCTCGATTTTTGTCTTGAACTTTGCGATAGAGTTAAACGAGGACAAGTTGTTCTTGTTCATTGTTGGTAATCATCCATATTAATAGAAAATAAAATTGCATGATTAAATGATTTAGGGGTGGTCATGGTCGAACAGGAACAATTATTTCAATTATGATTGGAATTCTATTTAACTTGAATAGTATGATTTCACGCAATAAACATTTCAAAGTCTATATCATAACTTTTCTTCATTTCCACCTTAGGTAAAGAAGCTATATCCATGAATCGTCGTTTGCATGATCAACGCATTCGTACGAATGGAATTCCAAGTCCTGAGGCTCAATGTATGTATATTCTTAAATTTATGTTGACGTATTCTTTTAATTAATTATTGTAGCTCAATTCGATCAAATTCGTATTATTCTCGATGAAATGTATCTTAAGAATAATGGAAAAATTGAGCATGAAACTAAAATGTGATACCCAAACGAGAAAAAAAAATATAATGATTTATTATGGTAATTTTTTCTCAAATTATTTGATAATAAAAACCGAAAAATAAATTCTACTCCATTCTACCAATTGAAATGATCGAAATTCAGTAGTTTAACAAGAAAGTGACATCTGATTTAAGAGAATAATCTTCATTATTCACTTTAATCTAATTATACAATGAAAAAGATTTCTTTCTTAAAGGTTATTTAAAAAGGTTCGATATCTTGTTTTAATCTCATTGACTAAAATCACTTTTGATCAGCAAAATTCATCGTAGATTCAATGACGTACTATCCCTTTCTCATATTCTGTTGATTATAGACATGCATTAACAATGTCTTATAGTGCATGTTTTCTAATGTTATTTTTACTATTTATTTATTTTCAAAAACGATCTTCCTTAAAAAAAGATTGCCTCAATTGAACATAATGAGAAATATGAGCGAGTTAACTGATTTCTTTGAGTCCTAGTTTTATAACTTAAATAAACACGTTATTATACAGCGTGAATTTATCAGCGTTTTGCATTCCTACTATCCATACCATATTCCTTTATCTAAGCTCTTACTGTATTATCATATTTTGTTTTATCTGTTCGATAGAGCTTTAGTGCATCTCTATTAAGTTCATGTTCTGTATTCGGATCTGTCAATAGCGAACATAAAGACTGAGGAGGCCACGTAGAGTTAGCGCTGGAGACCATTGTGAATAATAGAATATCCAAACAGATTTCACCGTTTGCACTGATATTTGGATGAAAAACTGGTGTGATAAAATGAATTGTGGGTGGTATCAATGGAAAGTCTGTAGGAAAGCCAATCGTCAAATGAAATTTGCCTTCAGCATACGGCATGTCTTTTGACTCTTCAATCCAATGAGCCATCGTTTTACTGGGATCTTCGGGTTCTGCATAACATAATAGGGGTGGGTTATTTTGTATACTACGAAAATGAATCGCAAGACGTTTAGTAAAAGCCATGTTGATTATGAAACGATGTTCTGAAACAAAAAACAATACAATCTTCTATGTAGCAAAGAATAAAAAATGTGAAGCAATATAGTTGGAAATTATGCAAGAGGGAATAAAATTTGCTCGGGTTTTTTACCGGGATAACTTATTTGAGTCTTTTACAACAGAGGAGAAAGGGAATAGCAGAAAAATATTCCCTTATCAAGCATTTATATTTTTTCTTACTAAGAATATGCTATCAAAAGCAATGACGTCATTATTGAAACTCGACACCTCTCATGAATATCATACTTAACGCCTAATTTCAAGAAATGATTTTTCCCATCGATTTCAATCCATATTTTTTCATCCATCTTGGATCATTTTACAAAGAATGTTTTTTTGCTAAACAACTAATGTCTATGAAATTATTGTATCAAAAATGAACAAATAGTTACTATTCAGCTTATTCTGCAGCCTAGTTTTTAATAGAAATAAGCATATTTATCCGTCAGCTACTTGTCCATTTGTTAGAAAAGATACACTTGGAAAAGAGATGTATTGAAATCGAAATTAAATCAAAACTCTCACGTCAGTTACGTTTCGTTTTGTTGTTGTTGTTTTTTGTATGAGTTTTGAGAACGTGAAGTATGAATGTGTTTACGAAAGAAAAGCATGAGAAAAGTTCACCAAAATCAATAAGTTCAACGGAAGAATATAGAAAAAGAACTGTCGAAAGAACATATAGAAAGGAAAAATATCGAACTTAAAAATGCTTATGGACACCATATTAATCTATCGTGTCGATCAAAAACTGTATCCAGTAAAGAAAATAGTAGTAAAATTCATATAATAAGTACAAATCAAACACTACTAAGCAAAAGATGATGAACGTTCATGTTTTTATATTATGTTCTTAGCGAAAACCTTAGCTATCCTATTCAATAGCCAGTATTTTAGGGTTTTTTGATAAGGTTGAAAGTAGACCTCGTCGGTTCCATATTTTTAGAACGCAAATTTTCATTCTATTTATTGAAAATTCTTCCAGTGCGACTAGGCCAATACAAAATTTCAAACCCCGAAATCTTACCTGACTGACTCTAATTGAAAGATGACTGTTCATTTTAAGGATTAATTGATGCATCCTATGTTCTTCTACTTGAATAAACAAACGATGTTCGCATGAGACCAATACCAAACTCTATCATCAAGAATAGAGAAATAATTCTTTCAAGACTCTCCCCTAGGTATTGTATCTTATCCAAAATCTAGTAAGATCATTTATACTCCTATTGAAGATTTAAAATAATAAACCAGAAATAGATCAAATCAAAGAATATTGTTATCAACAGGTCGCATGAAGTTGAATGATGTCTCCATGAATAGCATATGAAAGGTTTTTTATCGGCTATGTTAAAATAGAAAACCTTTTATTTTGCAACTTATCCCGTGTAGTCATATTGTGACGGGTGTGTGTAGATGTGACTGCTATATACATATATTCTACGTGCCACAATCCAACCAACAAGACTTTTTCTGTACATCATAGCATCCTAAGTCTTACTAATCTAGTCGGATCGATCAATAGGGCACGTTGCGGCATTTTTCAATTTATTTTATTCTAGAAAAGTCAGATACATTCCTGTATTAATCATTTCTACCTCTGCATAGCTGCAAAATTCAACTCATATTCTTCAGCTTCTGACAAATACCATATTAGATATACAGATGTTAATAGTTTGATATTGGTAATTATATGAAGAATAACAGTTTGTGAGTGTGTAATGAGTGCGATATATCAATCTTAATGTTGGATGTGTATGCGTGTCATTCATACATTTACACCTACACTCTTCATTAAAGCTAATTGAATCTAAGATTTCCTCAGTACAACTCAACTGTGTTGTATCCATATACTTATTCAGAATCGGATCTGATTGGATATGACTCCAGAGTAGTCCTAGGTGCTACAAACAATATTCATATCAATACTCACATCTCACATCATTACATACATCTAAATAATCTAAACTGTTGTATGCTAACATAACCGAATTCATTTTAAATGTACCTACCATTCCATATTTCCTTGGATAGTATTAATCTTCGACATTTTCTTTTCACTCTGTTGGTTTTGGTTTTGGCATTTATTATATCATTCAAAAAGCTTATTGATATCCAGTGTCAGTGAACATATCTGGTTTGTATTCATATTGTTTACGATGACATAATTGTCCGTCACAATGCGCATATTTTTTTCTAGAAATAAGATCTTTTACTTATAGGAAACAAACTTTCGTTGATATTTTTTATTCGAGGTCGATACGAGACAATAATTATCGATTTGTTTTCTGAGTCTGTTGTACTCATTTGTGATGTAATAAATAAAGTTCGCAGTAACTATATGAGTAAATGAATCGAAACGAGAAATATCTGCACCAAGAATTCTGAAGTAAAATGAAATCGATTGAAATTCAATTAAGATGATATATGCCATTTACGTATGTTACAGAACTGATTACATATCAATCACGACGAACAGAATACGAAAGGTTCTCAATCGAAATTATCAAATTTTGTTCAAAATTAAAAGTAATTTATTTGTAGAAGAACAAGACGTTAATATTGTAACTCAGATTATTCTCAACAATATTAAACCATTAATATTTTATCAATCGTCCAGCTTGAACGAAAAATCATCATTTTAGATAATTTGTGTTCTACATAACTCGTAATTTGGAAAATATAAAGGTATGAAATATGATGTAATCAATGTTTGAACTTTTTCTATCACGTATTTAACTTTGAAGAAGGAAAGAAATTACACTAGATTGTTGTAAAATAATCTAGCAAATGATATTGATATTTGCATCCGCTTGTGAACGTGTACTAGCAATCCATGTCGGAAAGTGTACAGCATACTACTCATTGTTAACGCTGTGTTTAGTACGTAGATTGATTCGTTGTCTTCAGTTGAACTTTCTCATATATGTGGGCATTACTAATATGTGTACGACAATGAAAGTAATAGTATATGAAATAATCAAAATGATTTTACAGTTTTCTATACTGATTTCCTGTCAACAGGCATTAATTCATTGTCAATTAAATCTCTACAATACTGATCGAACAATGGATGATACTTCTTTGCAATACGATTGTCTATTCTATCGAGTACGGTATGAAAAACTAACATTTCAAGAGCTATCAAATATAATTGATAACACGATTCCATATTGTTTTCGTCCTGACAATAAAACAGGAATGTTCATCTCAGATTTAAAAAGTTTCAGTGATCACATTTTTACTTTTGATGAATTACGTCGTCATAATATTACGACACAACAACTACTTTCGTGGTCTGCTCCAATAGATCTTGTTGAACAGTATCAATTCTATTTAGATGAATCGAATTCTTCTCTATCTTTATTATCGAATGAACTATTCTATAATTGTACAAAACCATGGTTTGGTCTTCGATGTCAATATTCATTTGAATTTAGTGAAGAACTATCCATTTCTAATATAGTTGAAGCTGAATTTTTTAGAAAAGCATCTTATTCCGAATCATCTGAAATTTTAATCACATTACCTTGTTATGTTCATCTTAAATGTGATCGTGGTGGACCTCTATGTCTCGATTGGCGTGAAGTATGCGATGGACGTGTTGATTGTCTTGACGGTGGTCTCGATGAAGCATTCTGTTTCGACATGGAAATTAATGAATGCAGTGAAACTGAATATCGGTGTCATAATGGATTATGCATACCAGAAGAGTTTTGGAACGATGGTATAGGTGATGCTGATTGTCTTGATCGATCCGACGAGATAGCCGATGTCGCATATCCAAGATCTTGTTTTCAAGATCCAACATTTCGTTGTGAAGAACATGCTTGTCGAACGAATTGGCATCAATTTCCATGTGGTGATGGACAATGTGTTCAAAAATTCGATAAATGTCATAATGGACGTCATGCTCTACTAATTAAATCGATGACTTTGCAAGGTGACTTGCCAAACAATTGTTGGATTATGATGATTTGTCTTACCATGTTGAATAATGAAGTCAATGGAATATCATGTGAGTCATGGCTAATGAACGATTCAGTTATTAAATTTCTTCAAACGTGTGAAATCATTTTTCAATTTCCAATAATACCTGTTCATTTTGGTCATCTTCGTTTTTTATATGAACGACCTGATCTAAAATTCAATCAAAGTTCATTCCTAATGCCCGATTATATTTGTTATGATCAACTGCATTGTGATTGTATAATACCAACATTTTTTCACAGAAATCTTACATGTCTACATAGTTATCGATTACAATTGCAAGCAAGTATATCTGGACATCCTTGGATTGATATGATTTTAGAAATTAATTCTTATTTTTCATCTTGTTTAATCTTGCACACATTTTCTGATAAGAAAGCTATCTATCACAATTATTCATTACTTCATCACTGTCAAAATTCTGCTAAATACATTTCGAAGCATCGTATTGCTGATGAAAACAAAGATTGTTGTATGGGTGACGATGAAGACAATCGACTCAGTTGCTTAATCAATGATAAATATAGAGTTAAATGTCCTAATCAAAGTATTTGTTTATCACCATTACATTCGATTCACGATTGTCCAGAATCTCAAAATCAATATCATAACAATGTTCCTTTTCATATATTTTGTGACGGCTTTGAAGAACATTTCTTTGAAGATTTTAATGGTCAAAGTTATACAGATGAATCTGAATGTAACTATTGGCCATGTAATAATATTTATTCAAGATGTGATGGTTTCTGGGCATGTCCAAATGGAGATGATGAAGACAATTGTCATCCTAAAGTATGTCCTTCTGAAATGCATCCATGTATATCACCAACTAACTATTCGTTGACTTGTCTATCTGCCAAGCAAGTCGGTGATGGTATTGATGATTGTCTTGGAGCATCTGATGAGATTCACTTTTGTCGACAATTGTATCCTTTAAAGAAAGATTATGAACGTTTTCGTTGTATAAATAGCGATCTATGTTTACCGGCATCAGAACTTTGCAATAATATACAATCATGTCCACTTGGTGATGATGAAAAATTTTGTAAAAATCATCGATTTATCTGTGAAGAAGATTCATCTAGTAATCAAAGTTTAATTGAAGATATTCTTTGTCAAGTAAGTGAATATAAGAGAAGAAGAATCATACATTTCTCTATTCGTACTGCACTTGTCTATCCTCCGTCATTATCTGCAATTAAAGATTCGACTTTTATGCCAACAGAACAATTTAATAATAATAATAATAATAATAACAATAATAACAATAATTTTAAAACGATCGAATCACGAACGAGGAATTATTCATTGTCACGGGATTGCCATCGAGGACTTACCACTCGTATTTGGTTTGCCAACGATCTATTTACATATGGATGTATGTGTCCACCGAGTTATTACGGTAATTTCTGTCAATATCAAAATGAAAGAGTGAGTCTTACATTAGGATTGATTAGAGCTGAAAAACATGATGTTTATGCTATTGTTGTTATGTTAATCGATGACAATGATGAACGTCAAAAAGTTGATTCATATGATCAGTTTGATTATGCACCAAGTCGAAGTTGTGGAATTAAATTAAATCGTTATCTTCTATATTCGACAAGACCAAAAACTATCTCGAAGAATTACAGTATACATATTCATACATTTGAAAAGCATACTATGACTTATCGTGGAAGTTGGCATTTATCTGTACCTTTCCTATTTTTGCCTGTTAATAGATTAGTTACACTGCTTATCATTCCCTCTTATCCCATTTCGATTCTATCCGACTGTTCAATCACATGCGAACACGGTGAATGTATGAAATATTTAAATAAAGATATATACTTTTGTCGATGTTTTTCTGGTTGGTCAGGCGTTCGATGTAATATATCGATGAATTGTAAAAGTTGTTCTGTTGGTTCAATCTGTGTTGGTATAGTCAAAAATCGACCAATATGTGTTTGTCCTATGACTAAATTTGGACCACGATGTCTTCTTACCTCGTTATGCACAATAAATGCTTGTGAAAATAATGGTAAATGTATTCCAACTGATCTAAGTGTATCTGGCAATGATTATTCTTGTATTTGTCCTGATCAATATTTCGGATCTAAATGTCAATATATTAAAGTTAAACTCGATTTATCTTTTGAGGATCTAGATATTCCATCTTATGTAACAGCTTTTTTCTTTACTATTACAGAACAATCAGAACCTACGTTTTCTATTATGCTTCAAAAGTTAACTCTTTTCCAACGTATTATAACATTTCGTATTTCAGTTGCATATCACATGGCGGTAATTAAATCTAATGATAAATTCTATCTTGCCGTAGTTCAACAATCTCCAAAGTCTGATATTTTTACGTCAATTAATCCTAGACGAGAATGTTTTTCCATAGAACATATATTTAATTCTACTATTATGAAAATGCCTCGATTTCATCGAATTAAATTTTATCATATTTCGTGTCAAACTAATTTTGATTTGAATTGTTTTATCGACGAAACGTATTTATGTTTATGTACCCATGATCATCATGCAAATTGTGTTAAATTTGATCGTCATAAAAATCTTGAATGTCCATCAACAAACTATTGTACAAATGGTGCACAATGTCTTCAAGATCATCCTAATTGTCCATCGACAGTTATTTGTGTTTGCAACGAATGTTTCTTTGGTAGTCAATGTCAATTTTATTCGAAAGGTTTCGGTTTAACATTAGATGAAATTTTAGGTTATGAAATAAAACGTAATATATTTCTATTTGATCAACCGTTCTCAGTAAAGTTAAGTGCTTTAATTACAATGATTATGTTTACAATAGGTATTATAAATGGTATTTTTTCAATTATAACATTTAAAAATAAAACATCTCAAGCAGTTGGCTGTGGAATGTACCTTCTTGCTTCATCGATAACTTCATTGATGATTGTAATTTTGTTTACATTAAAATTTTGGTTTCTTATTTTTTCTTATATTGATTTTTTTGCACAACGATTAATTCTTTATTCAAATTGTATGTTAATTGAACCTTTATTAAAAATTCTTTTATACATAGACAATTGGTTAAATGGTTGTGTTGCTGCTGAAAGAGCTTTTGCCGTTTTTAAAGGAGTTTATTTTGATAAGAAAACTAGTAGAAAACTAGCTAAATGGGTAATTATTTTTATGATAATTATTAATGTTATACTTCTTATTCCTCAACTATCATATCTTCATTTATTCGATGATGAAAAAGAAGAACGTACGTGGTGTGTAATTCTTTATTCATCGTCTCTACATATTTATAATTCATTTATAATATTTTTTCATTTTTTTACACCATTTTTTATTAATCTATTCTCAGCTATTTTCATCATAATAGCAACTGGTCGTCAAAGAGGAATTACACAAACTGAAAATCTTTATATGAAACAATTTAAAAATAAATTAAAACAACATAAACATCTTCTTATTAGTCCTGTAATACTTATTTTATTATCATTACCTCGTTTAATAATATCATTTACATTGGATTGTAAAAAATCATCGAAACATTTTTGGTTATATCTGATTGGTTATTTTGTTTCATTTATGCCCTCAATTCTTATATTCGTTGTGTTTGTTTTACCATCAACCATTTTTAAAAAAAGTTTTAAAGAAGCAATACTTCATGGTCGGCGGCGTATTCCTCTATTAAAAATGAACTTTTATTCAAAATAACATCATTAGTCTCATGGTATTTTAACGCAAAGATAATTAAAAAATTAAAAATATCATATTGATAATTGTATATTTACTATATATTTGCTATTTTATTGCTTCATTCTAGTACTGTTTATGTGTTTTATATGTTTATAGCATTTTCTTTTAGAATATTGATGAATATAATTGTGTAGACGTATTCGTTTCAAGACTAATTCATAGAAAAGTCGCTGTCTTGTAGTATATTAACAAAAATAGTTCTGTCTTAAAATTAATTCAGTTATGATTTCAAACAGTTTTCATTCTCCTTTTTTTACCTTTGTTTAATACAAATATTTTTTGTATTAACTTAAACATAAAGTAAACTTGATATAAATAATACAATACGAATTCAAAAATTGAAATAATCAGATGAACAAACTGTATAAAGATTGGAGCGGTCCTATGGTCTAGCGGTTAGGACATTGGACTCTGAATCCAGGAGCCCCAGTTCAAATCTGGGTAGGACCTTTTTTCTTCCATTCTTCCTTTCTGTCGTTCTTTCTTTCTTTCTTTCTTTCTTTCTTCCACCAATACTGACGTAGGTAGAAGGAAGAAAACGTTCTGTTGCTTTTCTTGCTTCTCGTTCTTTTTTTTTATACATTTATTCTTTATAATTTCTAATAGAGATTTTCTTATATGAAAAATACATCCATTCGATATATGAGTAAAAGATTTTTATACTCATGAGCCTTAGTCATTTATTTAAGAAGACAGGAAATTTTTAAAAAATTTCACACCTATTTCTCTTCGTCTTCTGTCAACGAAGAAATATTTTGACAATGATCGATCTATTCACATCGATCTACAATAAAAAATAGATTTGATTCAATCCAACCTGTAAAAGTATTTTTTATATAGTTTACAAACAAATATGGATATCATTTGAGAATAAAATAGTTAAATAGTATATTCACATTAGAACGATGACAAAATTCCTTAGGTTTTGCTTGTCAAGATTTTGTTTGGTAATCAGAGATAAATTTAATCTTGATTATAAAGTTAAATTGTTCGGATTTTGTGTGTTCGACGTTTAAATTTTGGCGTATAATATTTAAAAAGATCAGAAAAACAATATGGCAACAGTATATGTCAATAAATTTGAGATAATTCATATATAAATATATACCAACACAATTAAGCCAATGAAAGAAATCTTAAAATAATTGTCAATAGGATTGTAAGTTTTTAAACATGAAGAATCATGACTCTTGAGAAAGCAGAAATACTTTAAATGAATCACATTAAGAATATGGAAGTAGATATTTTGTAGGATATAAAAGTTGAATATCAGCTATAGTTTATCAGTTGATCAAAACATTCGTTCTTCTTAGGTTTAACATTTTATCGCATAAAAAATTGAGACAAAAACATATCTATGTGTTCGCTTTTAAAACTGCTATAGTGTTTTTGCATGTAATAGGTATTATGCTTAGACTTGCATTTTATTCTAATACTCAATTTTTGTTTCAAGAAAAAACGATCTTTGTTAACGAAAGATTCTACTCAAATTTATGTTCTTCAAGTAGTTTTACTTTCATAATATAATAAATAAATCTCTCATCAACACAGTTCTATAATATCTATCATTCGTTATATTTATAAAACAAACATTTTCGAATTCTATTTTTTCATAAAAATCATGTGGTGTATTCATCCAACAGAAAATAAGATAGGCACAAGAAAATAGATAAGTGAAGAGAGTTCTATATTATTACACATCGACCAGTGAGAAATACGCATATTTCTGTTTTCTTATCTCTTAGGTTTCTTTTAAAAACTTTTCTCAGTCTTATGACTTGATATGAGCAATGAAACGATAGTATTCTATCAAATTCGCCTATCAGATATTTCTTATCAATGTCATAAGACTAATGGGCAAAATAGAGATAAAATCTACCCCTAAAGGAGAATAGCGCATTAAATATATGACATTTTTCAGTTCAAACATAATTTATGTCAATAATGAATACAAGTGAATACAACAAAAAGGTATTTCTAGGATAATTCTTTAAGAAAGAAAAAACTTAGAAGAGAATCAAAGGAAGATAGTCAAGTTATTTTATTACTATTGAAGTAAAGTAAAGATGAAAGGCTTAAATCGAATATTGAAATCGATGTGATGAAATATGATTAATCAAATTGTTAGATTATATTTGTTAAATTCAAAACTATTCTTATTAAAATAATTGGTAGTTTCTTTTGGCAAACGAATAAATGTTACAGAACATATTTCTTCTTAATAGGATATTTCCAAAGTATTTGCTTTTCTGCGAGTTCAACTTCAAACAAAAGAAAAAGAATTACTTGATTTGCAACTAGCTGATCCATGTTTATTATCGCCTGACTCTGATCAGGTTAGTATGTTGGCAAATGCAATTAATTCTCTTCAGTTGTCCACTCAGGAAGGATCGTTTGTTTTTGCATCGGCTTCTGCTTCTGATGATACTTCATATTGTACAAATACAAAAAGTTGCTCCACTGATTTCAATGCTATAAAGTCTCTACCACCTTCAGTTTGGCTGTCGGAAACGAATCGAGTAGAACAGAAAAATCAACAACAATCATTTATATTCGCTCATCTTCTATCATTACCTATTGATGCGTATCTAGCATCAACGTCACCATTATTAGGAACAACAGTTAAAACACAATACCGATCATTATGTCGTATTCCTATGGTTAACCATTTGCTCTTTATGCCTATTGACGCATTCAAAGTATCTTCTAAGAATTCTATGCCGAATAAAATCAAAATGAATAACAATGCGTACGTATATTTTATTATTTTCTCTAATAAATTAAGTTTTTAGTCGGCTCTGAGTAATCAAAAACAATAGATTGACTAATAGATCTAATTGAAAACTTAATGTACTTTCAATTAATATTCATGCTTAGTATATAATTCAATAGATGAACGAATGATCAAAGCCTACTTTTAAAAATTAGCATGTACCTACAATTTGATTCTTCTTTCAGAGAAAACAATGATTCATCTTCAAGAGAAAAATCAAAGAGTATTTTGAACGATGAAATGATGCTATCCAAAGAATATTGGCTTAAAAAAAAGCAAAACTTATCATCGACAGGCTAAAACATCTTATTAACTTTGAAACAATGAAAGTGTCTTGAACTTCGAAAACTAATCCTTCATAAATCAAATCAATTTAAATAACAAACAAAATATGTGTAAATATTAATATTTGATGATTCCTCTCTCTTCGTAAATATATTCATTTTATCTTCTAGTTAAAAAAAATGATTAGTAATTTAATATATTATTTGTATTTATACCTTTTTTTTCGTTTTATTTTGAAGAATTAAACAACCAAAGATTAATTGAATTCAAACATTATTATTTTTTCATTTAGCAAAGAAGTCATCGTACATTTGCCACAAATTCATCAGATAGAATAGAAGTCCATGAAACATATTTCATTGAACGATAATACGTAAATTGTTGAATTCATATATGTGTATATAAAGCTTTTTTTTTATTAACTAAATATTCATTCGTTCTCAGACTGTGGGTGTTGATAAAGACGAAGAACATGATGAGAATGATAACGACACCAGTCATCAACTATGTTCTCTCATTCTTTTTCTGCAGTGTATAGTTGCTCATACCTTGATTGATTTCGTCTCTATATTTCTTTTTCTGTTTATTCATATATACTTATATATTTTTCTCACTGCAACTAAATGTTTCCCTATTCATTACAACAATTCATTCTTTAACTGCTGATTTTTGTTCATCACACAATAAATCTTATGACTTACATTCGATTAAATCATATCTACATTTGAACTACAGATAGAGCATAAACATTAAATAGGTATGTGTTCGAAATAAAAAGTTCGAAATGGACATATGAGAGCTCTCCAGGAAGATTCTAGTTTTCTACAAGCCTGTATCGTAATCCTAATAAATTATTACCTATAAAAACAATTTATTCGATTGGACGAAAGATATTTGGAGTGTCCCGTTCTTTTTCTTGGACGACGAAACTATGCAACGGTTGGCATCTAAAATTGAAGACTTAGTTTTTAGAAACCTCTTGACAGCGATTGAAAAATAAAACTATGAAAACGATCGTATTCATCTGTGGAGAGAATATTTCCAAAAATTTACGGTTAAATTCCAGTTCGATTGGACCAAGTTAGAGCGAGAATCATATATAACCAAGATTGAGAAAATTGAGCTTAAATATTACGTTAAATACGAAGAGAACATTTCAGTATGATTACTATAAAGAAATAACACCAACTATAATGTAGTAACTCTGTAAGAAAAAGAGCCTTTTAAAGTCAAATAATGTTTCTAGTTGTCAATGATAATTGAAAGCATTATAATCGGGATTGATTGACCATTAATTAGCTAAAATTGGACAAATCTTCGTTTTCTCATAGTAAACGTATTCCTCAAATGAAGCTGATGTTTTCATCTTGTTGTAAAATGATATGGGATCACACAACATATATTAAACTCGATATAACGCGTTCTATAGTATATTAGAATATAATCAATCCATATTATTATCACTAGCCGATGAGTCGTAACATAATCTTCCACAAAACAAAAACAACTGTATCTAATAATATTATTTTTCTACTTTAGAGCGTGCTGAAAATATTTACAAATTAATATTATTTATATTTTGTACTATTATCAGTTGTAGACGTTTCAATCAACTCAAATAAATTTCTACCGACTCGAATACCAGTCAAAATCAATCCTGATATTTGACTTGATTTGGATTTCTATACTTTCAACAAAGATACAATTGGATTGATTAGTTTTCATGTCGACAACAGACAATCTTTGTGCAAGATATGGAAATAAAAATTAAGTTAAATCTAAATCTAATATTAAACTTGGATTGATTGCATCCTCTAGTCTCGAATATCAACTTCACCGGTTGTCAAATAGTGTCTATTGAATAATTTTTTGTGACTGATGATATTTTCAATGAAATATATGATTAGAAGATTATTTCTTTCAATAAATCAATATCTAAGACATTACTAGAAGATATTATACAGAATAGTTAATTCATTAAATCAAATTGAAGAAAACGCTTAACATATTTTATCTCATATTTTCTATTGATATAATTTGACTTATTAATAAATACTTGTTTTAAATTGATGTTGAGTATAAATTGACTTATAAAACTACCATGGAAGAGACGACTCAAAGCAATTAGAATCATTTTATTTTTAGAAAGAAACAATGATATGACAACGAACGCAATTTCTATTGCCATCTGTGAATATGCTAATGAAGAAAAATAATAGTAATTTGCAAATGTAGATCGAAATTTCTGTAGTTAAAATCTAATTTTCTAATCACTAGATAATAGATTGATTAAGTTTCTTTGCTTTGAGATATAATTAAAAACAAAAGTTCAAAACAATGAAGATTTCTCTTTCAACAGACGTGTTATACAAGATGATATTGTCTAGTACGATTTATTTCTAATTGCTGGATTAACATTTGTTTATAATCTTTATACTGTTGTCGAATAGCATATTCATAAAATTGTCTATCACCATCAAGTAATGAATAAAGTGTTGTTAATTGTTCGCTATTGAATAATGGTAAATATTGAAGAAATGAATTTAAATCTATTGTAAGTAAACAAATGTCTTGATATTGAGAATTTTCTTTTGAACAAACAAGACAAGGTATTGAACCAGGTACATTAATAAGAATTTGTTTCGTTGATTTTCTTTGTCCATATAGCCAATATGAAAAATAATCATCAACAGTTTTTGGAAATACAGATTGTTTAATGCCCATCATAATACCAGCAGTTATATGAGAACGAACAAGACGATAGTCAGCTGCTTGCATTTCTTCTTATGTTGAAACAATAAGTTTTGCATTTCTTTTATATACTATGTAATGATATCTTTAATCGATTTAATCATTTGACATTAATATGTGATGAACGTCAAAGAATCAATAGATTATTTCTCATCATTCATTCTCGTTGAATGAATGAAAAAGGAGAAGAAACAGAAACAAGGACAACATGCTGCTGGGAGATTCTTTGATTGTTTTATATTTTTTCTAAGTAATACGATTGTTGACTAGTTTAAATTTTAATTAATTAATTCATTTTATGTCTTCTGAATAAACTTCTATCATCTTCGTTATTTAGTAAGTTTTTGTTTTGTTTTGCAAATATAAAAAAGCTTATTTTTGTAATCAGTCCTTTTTTTCATAGAGCCATTCAAGTGAATTTGACAAGAGTTTGATGTAACGATTAGTGATACTTCACAGCCATATTTTCATATTTTTTGTTTCTAGCCAGCTTTTGATGTGATATCAAGTAAATTTTCTTTTATCATAAATAGAAACAGTAGTTTGTTCTAAGAAAATATGTTCATATCATAAAGATTATAATTAACGAATAAGATCAAAACACAAAAACAGACGTTCCGATTTATTATAAGAAGATCTACTTTCATCAAAACAAGGTTCATAGAATCAAGTTCGAATTCAAAACAGAGAATACATGTCAACAGATGTTTTGATGTATAGTTGTAATTATTGATGACTGTGACATGTACAAATAATTGGACAAGCGGATATGAGAAAACATCATTTCATGGCAAAGATTGTTTAAATAATTTTCAACACTCAAAAACTTTATGACATTTCTGTAACGTTAACAAAACAAAAATCGCAATATTCGATTCATTGTTTGTCATTGATTCTTCCTTTCATGTATTTTTGCGAGTATTCTGGTATATTTTCTTTGGTGTCCTAGCTCTTAGCAAAAGAACGTCAAGTATAGAAAGGGCAAGAAAAAAAGGTCTCTCTATAGACGATTAATAGTCTTGTTGTTTGTTATTTAGTAAGAGAATGCTACTGATGTTTGCTTCATGTTATTATCGGTTGGCAAGAATACAATAACGACGTATGTATCAGAATTCGCTCATTTTTCATTCTCATCTTGTGTTTTTTGCAATTATCATCAGTGAATGTTCTATGACATAAATTGAGTAGCAGAGGGAAAAAAGTAAGTTTTATCTTTTATATTTATCACGCATCTATGTGAAAATACAATTAGAATATCCATTGATATTTGTGTTAATTAATTTGATTGAATGAATTATCGGTTTTATTCTTGTTCTTCTTTTTTTTCTTTCTTTCTTTCTTTCTTTCTTTCGTTCTTGGCCTCATCCTTATTGTAAAACGAATAAGAGGGAACCATTGAAGGACGACTTTCTTCTGTTTTGCACCGCTGTATATATATATATATATATAACTTAGATATGCAACAACATAATGATGTCTCACGATTGAATGAACAATATATGTAGATATTTATTTTCTGATAATTATTGTTGTAGAATAATCGCGTTATCTCCATATTTGATGATGATGCAATAACTTCATAGATATATATATACAGTACTGTTCATAAATATAGAATCACTCTGAGGTCAGTTTTCTTTTCAATTTTTTTTCTTCCCCATATCACTTTTCTGCTCAAACCTACTCTTTACAATAGTTTTTGATATGCTCTTTCAGAATCTATCGCGATAGATTCTGAAAGAACATACCGAAAACTATTTTATAGAATAGGTTTGAGCAGAAAAGTGATATGGGGAAGAAAAAAATTGAAAAGAAAACTGAATTCCACAGTGATTCTATATTTATGAACAGCACTGCATATATACAGAGCCCGCGGAAGTCAATGTAGCAGACAGTTAGATCCATTGGAGAAAACAATAAAACATCTGCTTGAAGGACGACTATCAAATGCTAATTTAGGTAAGGTAAAATAAATTAAATGATTTTTTGAATAGAGTTATTATTATTGATGAGATAGATGATAAAATGAATTACTCTGAGCTCGTTTTTCGTTGCTATATGTCATGATTTTTTATTTGTATAAAAAAAATCATTTCAGGATTTGTAGACAATTAACTGGCGTATTTCTTTTGTATAAATTATTCATAGCTGATATATTTCTATAAATAAACGATATGATTTGGTGTGAAAAATGTCAAGAAAAAAAAAGAACCGATCTTTCCCGAAACTATTTTTCTTCAATGATTACTATGCTCTCTTCTAAGTGGAAACACACATAAAACAGAGTTCTAGTCAGAAGTATGATCAGTTTTTGCATAAAACTTCGCTGAACGGTTATATCAGTGCGATGTTATTTCTTCTTGGACATAGGAACAGTGTTGATAGTTGTGCACAATATTATATTGTTATTGATACCTTGAATGAAGGCTTAGTAATATTTATTGATATTGAAACAAAATACTCAAATAGTTATTCTTTTTAAAATAGGAAAAGGATATTATCATTGAAATAATCGTCCATTATTTGAACATAACGAATTGAATACTAGTCTTGATAGAATCTGTCTAAGCGAAAGACCAATGTGTGTAAAGTTTGGAAGTCAGACTTTACTATTTTCTTTTTGTGACTGAATCTGTGTTATATGAGTGTACAAACATGGCAAGAAAAAAGTCGTAGTAATATGAATAAATAAATTTTTAGATATTGTTTTCAAATACAGAATCAAATTTTTTTTCCTTGACAGAAGTGACAGACAAACTTGTGGCGATGCATTGAAGGTTAATATGACTCGAAAAGTTTTCTTCTCGTTTATTCGACAAGCGAGATCAATTTACGAATTTCTTTTAACATAAAAAATATGCTAAAACAAAAAAAAACAGCAATACGACTCGAATTGATAAATAATTGTTTTATTGAACGTTAACCAGAAAAGTATGCAATGAACAAGCATTGTTGTTTCATTTTATTTTTGTTAGTCGAAGATAATTTTATATCGTACTAAAGACTCATAAACTCACACTTAAATTATAATGTTTCGTAAATTGTATATCTAAAAAATGAGTACACTTCCCAAAATTTTTCTTATGGATTCTTCAACTCATTTTTCTATTGAAGTTGACAAGTTTATGAAAGAGTAGATGTAAGTGGTGTTAGAAAGAGAAGTTAAATCGTTTCGATTTTCAGTCAAGAATAAATTTACTTATGTTATTGTAAAAGAAAAAAAATCGTATATTCGTACCTTAATTTACAAAGAAATTTCTGTCAATAATTTTCTTATTATTAAAATATTATAAATAAATAAATAAATAATTTTAATATTAGTTTTTATCTTTAGAATGAACATATTTCTGTTGTGTTCGAATATATTAATTTTATTTCCACTATTCATACATTTTTCATTTGTCTACTCGTCAACATCATGTTCCATATTTCTTTCACTCAATTGTTCGTGTTTTGAATCAAATTTTGATTTAAATTCAACACTATTAATTAAAACTTATTCACATTTATACTGTCAAGGAAATTTTTTAACTGAAAAAACTTTTCAAGCTCCATTTGGCTCTGATTTTAATCATCAAAACCATTTTCGTACCATTTCAATTGAATTTTTTACTGAAAATCAAATAGAAATTCAATCGAATCAATTTGATTCTTTAGATTTATTGTTTTCTAAAACGGATAATAAGTATCAAATAAATATTTTTCTTCGGTTTAATGGATTTAGTCATATTATATTTCACAAGTATTCATTAACTTCAACAATATTTCAACAGCGACCCCAAAATAAACGCTTATGGTTGTATTTTATACCGATGAGAAGTAATCTAACACAAGTAACAATTTTTGTTTTGTTTGTATTGTACGAATCGTTTTCTTTGATTTAGATTGAGCTTGAAGAAGAAAATTCAACTAATATTGAAGATCAATTTTATTTTTATCCAAATTGTTTTTCTGGTTTAACAGTTTCTCAATTAACAATTTATATTCATACGTTAGGAGATCGTTTCCCATCATTATATTCGTTTGAACAAATATTTAATAATACAAATATTGGTGAACTTCATTTTCATGGATCGATTATTCGCCCGAGTTCATCTTCATTAAAAGAATCATTTAATGGTCTTGTTCGATCGTTAACACTTCATCGTCATGTTGATATTATTGATGCAAATACGTTTCCATTCTATTCACATGTTTATTCTTATACAATTCATTCAATTGAAGCACATTCAATGAATCTCAGCTCATTTTTACCGTCTCATAGAAATTTTCGTGGATTAGAAATAATAAAGCCACGTTTTCAAATTACTATTGATCAATTTATTCCAACATTAGATTCATTAACAATCGATGTTGAAGATTTCAATTCAAAAACTCTTTTTGCTGCTCGTCATATTTATAATTTAAAATTAGGTTCAAGTCTTCGTACAATTGATCCTGAAACATTTCATTTATTATCTAAACGATTACATCATTTAGATTTATCTGATATTAATTTATCTCAAATGAAATCATATTCGCGTTGTCATCTTATTAATTATCTTTCTAATAATTATCAGCATCGTGTAAATATAATTTTACCTCAAGTAGAAAATTTAACTAAATGTGATTGCGCACGACTTTTTATAAAACATATTCAATTAAGTGAAAATTTTAAAAAAATATACAATTTTTCAACATGTTCAAAATTATGTTATTTTAGCGATTGTCCAACGATTAGTGAATATTTTAGAAAGGTTTATCCTTTATCTATTGATGAAAATTCGCTAAATGATAGTGATATTGAAACAATGAATAATAGAAAATTTTCAAATGAATTTTTACCATCAATTGATATATTTTCTGATTCGGCAGATGTTCAAATGATGAATTTTCTTGTAAATCAAACAAGTGATCAAGAAAAAAATCTAACTCAAAGGTAAGAAAGAAAACAGAAGTTTTCCTTCAATAGAATTTTCTTATCGATCTACTTTTTATAGGCAATCAACAACACCCATAGCAACTTTCATCGATGGTATTGTAGATAATATCTCGGTAATTGAAAATATTCAAGAATATGATGATATTATTACATTTTCAACGCCAAAATTTTTCGAACCATGGAATAAGGAAGCTGTTCAACCAGAAAAAGAATTATTCTATCCGAACAAGAACCAATCTTTTTCTTGGCTTTTACTGTTTGTTGGCATTGGTCTTGCACTTCTTGTTTTAATTATTGTTACTCTAGTTACATTTTTCTGTAGGCAACATCGAAGAAACCATTATTTTAAACATTTACCAGTCTATGCTTAGATTAGAAATATTATCATTTTTCTAATAAAATATGCCATGAACGTTTTATTTATTGTTTTTGTTCTTCTAATTGAACACAATCGTGTACATAGTTGTTTCACTCACATGGAACGAAATACAATGATTGATAAAATTATTCGAGAATTAATTTTTTTAATATTATCTCTTTAAGATAAATCTAAAACAATTTCTAGAATATGGTCAATTAAAACTAATAATTGTCAATTCAGTGATGATCATTTTGTATATTCTTTGTCATGTGCGATAAAAATTAAACTCATATATACTTAGAATTGTAAGAATATCTCTACAAGAAAACTTCGAGTACGATTTGACTCTAGAAATTAACAGCAAAACAACATTTATTTTATCAATGAATAATATCTATTTAAATGAAGAAAAACAATTTTCTATCATGAGAAGAAGTAACTTTTTTTCTTTACTGATAACAAAAAAATAAATGAATAATTAATACTTTCTCTTTTCTTTTGCTTTGTTCAATTTATAATTAATCATGTTGAGATATAAATTAGTTTCACACGTCTCAAATTTAATCAGTATAATTATGTTCAGTAGTTATTCGACATTTTATTTTTTCATAGAGCACATATGTTAATTCTTGTCCTATAGGCTTATCGCATTTACATTGGTAGAAGAAAACGTCCTTTTTTTTACATTTTTCTGTATAGATATGTTGTCATTCTTTTTCTTCTTTTGGGATTCGTACAGACATCCATCCTAGTCTATTCATCTTGTTTCTTCTCGTATTTATTCAACTAGATTGCTTCATGCGTCTTTTCTCTTTTCTTTACTATGTTAAAGCAAAAGAACGGCTACCACAACAAGATCGGAATGAAGACAATCGAGGAAAAACAAAGCTCGTTCGTCTAAAAACAACGGAAAATAAATAACGACAATATCCAAACATCTTCTCCCACTCGAGATGAAACTATTCAGTTGGCTACTAATAATCAACCAATTATTTCAAATTTAGAGAATAATAAGTTGAAATTAAATATGTTAGCACGTAAAACTTTAACAGAACATCGTTTAATGCAGTGGTGTGCAGTTATCTTGGCTCTTAGCACATTAATTTTAATCTGGCGTTATATAACAATATTAATTCTCTCGATTTGGTTATCAAGTATTTGTCGACCGATTCTTGAATGGCTCGTTATTCATTTGTGAGAATATAAAATTTGAATCAATGTTTTAATATTTATTTCTTCTCTCACTAGACCTTTAATGAATCGATGTCGAGAAAAACGTTCACGGTCAGCAATAGCTGCATTTCTTCTTGTTTTTCTTGTTCTTGTTGTTATCTTACCCATCGTTTTAATAATAATCGCATTAACAGGTTCGACAATAAATTTTGTTGCAAGTTTATCTAATTCTACAACAGTACGAAATGCAATTAATATAATTGTTCCACCTACAAATGATAATTCAACGGATTTTGGATTAAATAAAACAAATGATTTGAATTTTGTCGATTTTATTCGTGGTGGTAAAAATACTACGTTGCATTTACTTGAACGTCTGCTGATGCAACGAGATACTATAACTGATGTTCTTCAGTTATTTGGTGGAAAAGCATTATCAGTCCTATCAACAGTTGCTGGTGTAACAGCGCAAGTAAATGAGAAATTAAAAATTAAAAAATATAAATTAAAAATCTTTCTCTTTTTTAGTTTGTCATTGGTCTTCTCATATTTTTGGTTTCAACTTATACATTTTTATTACATGGAAATGAAATTTGGACATGGACAATACATCATAGTCCATTATCATCGAAACATATGAATCGTTTTTATAATGCTTTTCATGAAACAGGTCGTGGTTTATTGATCGGTGTTTGTTTAACATGTGCTTTGCAAGGACTTGTTGCTGCTATTGCATATTTATGTTTACAAATTCCACGATGGTATGCACTTGGTGTATTAACTGGTCTTTGCTCATTGATTCCAATTCTTGGTACAGCTATTGTTTGGATTCCAATTACAGTTGGTTTTTTTATTCAACAAGCCTATGTAAAAGCAGTTATTATGATTACAATTGGCATTTTGGCTATTGGATCGATTGATAATTTACTTCGGCCAGTTTTTTCTAAGTTGGGCTCATTAAAAATGTCAACATTATTATTATTGTTAACAATTTTTGGTGGATTAGAATTATTAGGACCCTGGGGAGCACTTTTAGGTCCATTAGTTGTTCGATTAGCAACGGAAGCAATTATTTTGGTTCGCGAAGATGAATATGAACTATTAAATACTTTGAGAATATGAATGTAAAAATCTTTCAATTGTACATTATGTGTTTTAAAGACACTAGAAAATAAATTCTTTCAAATAAATGGAAAAAAAAACAAGTTGATTCAGATTATTATTGTGAATACAGAAAAATGATTTTCATGATAGATTCGTTTACTTTTAATTAAAAATTTCCACAACGAATTCTCATTTATTCATTCAACATTTCGAGACATTTCATTTTATTTCTAAATATACGATTTTTTCATTGTTTAATTCTGATAATAGTTTTCTTTTGAAGAGCAGAACATTCAAAAAATTCATGAATATTTCAAAGTGATTATTTCACCAAATTTAAAGCTTAAAAACCATTTTCGTTCGGCGTCTTTGACAGGCGTATTACAAATCATTAATGCTTATTAAACTTATGATAATTGTCAAAGCATTAAAATGTTTATTATTTTCAGAATAAAAAAAGATTATCGATAAATATTTTTTTGTTGAATTATTATCTAATTTAAAATTTGTTTAGTACTCACGTGAGTTATAACGGACAAAAACTGTCGGTACACCGCTCGACATAATGTGACCTATATTAGTACTATATCGATCGTTATGCTCTGATCGACGACAATCTACTCTTGACATACAGGTGGTTCTTATGAATAGTTCGATATATTGATAACAGTTTAGAAACACATGTAAGATAGATTTATTTGAGTTTAGGAAAATTTGAAAACTTATTGATAAAAATTTATCATTCTCATTTTTATTACATTGATTATAGAACAAATAATAAACAAATGACGCTATTAATACTAGAAAGTAATATCGACATATTGAAAAGAGAAGAAAAGAAAAAACAGAATTCAACTTGGCAAATTTTCTTTCATAAATTTTTCTAATGATTTTAATCTTTCATCTATATCAACCATATCATTTACATTTGTGGATTCTGTTTTTATTAAATTAATATCTAAATTAAAACAATATAAAGAAATGATTTTTAATAAAAGTAATTTACTTTGTTGATCATGATCAGAAGATGAGTGATGATGAGATTTATGTGAAATAAGACTTGCTGGATTATTTGATGCTGATTTACGTAAAATGGGTGGTGATGATGATACACCCTCAATATCCTATGTTTAGAAATAAATACAGAAAAAGAAAAAATAAATAAAAATGTTTAATTTTCATACTGAATCAGTAGAATCTTTTGATTTATATTGATTCGATTCGCTAGTTCGTTTTCGACTTGAACTTCTTCGAGAAGCTGATATACGTAAACCATCATCACTATCGTTTAATTTCAAACTAGTAACTAATTGCGAGAATATTTAGATAGAAAAAAACTAAACATAATTATTTACTTGATGCTGCTTTACTTCCACCTCGAGCAGAAAAATCTTCAAAAAATAAAAATTTATTTTTATTTTTATTTTTACGAATGAAAACAAAAACAATATTACCACTCAAATCTGAATCAGAACCATGTCGACCAACACTTCGTCTTCGTCGAGTTTCTCTACTTCTACAATATATATTTTTGATAGAAAAGCAAAAACAAAAGTTAATAATAATTACTTTTGTATTTCAATTTGTCGTAATTTAAGATTTTTTTCACGAATATAAGCTGTTGGATTGAATCGACCACGAGAATCTAATAGAATTTAATAAATAAATAAAAAGACGCAAAAACATAAAACTAATATAACCTGCTGGTGATGGTGATCGTTTTGTGAGACTTGATGAACGAGGACGAGTTCCACTTCCGCTTCGACGAGAATCATTTGAATTCGAACGATGTTTTGAACGATTACGAGATGAAGCTGTTGGTAATAAGTGATCAGAACGATGTCGGCGTTGATCACCTGATGATGGACGAGATAATGAAGGTGGACGCTGTTGTTGTTGTTGAGATGAACGAGGAGAATAACTAAATAAATTTCTCTTCTATCAGTTAACTTCTTCATAAAAAGTGTCAATTAATTGAATTCATCATTATATTTCAAGTTATCTGACTATTGATAAGACTATGGACGAAAGTTTTTCTCCTATTATTTACTCACAAATGATTCAAATTTTTATCTATTTATAGGAATGAAAAACTTCTATTTAGTGTCGAAGTGATTAGTGAAATTTGTTTTTCGGATTGAACTATGAAACACGATTAAACTATTTAAATTACAAATAAGCAAGTTTATTAATATGTATTTAATCTTGTCAAAAACTGTATACTTTTAATGTAGGTAAGAAATCAATTACGTATATTGAGTTTAATCACGTTCGATTATTCGACTATGTTTATCAGGATATGCTAGATCATAATTATCATCGTCAATCATAAGACGCATGGTTGAGACTATTTTTGTGACTGTCATTATCTTTCAGAAATTGAAAATTCACCAGCAATTACAATGAAATTTAACAAGCATACAGTTATTCTACAATAAGAATGATTTCAAATATTATTACATAGAATATTGATTTCAATGTTCTCTAAACATAGAATCCTAATTGACTGGCTTATATTGTCAATATCTCGGTGACAATTACATCTCTCATTGAGAATAGAAATTACTGAATGTAACGACGTTGATGTTGATTAACTCGTAGGAAAAAAATCGATCGAGAGAAATCGATGATCAATATATGTTTATTAATATATAAAATGATATAAAATGAAAATTTTTCTTTTGTTTACCTATTATTTTGAAGTAAAATATAATTCTAGGATAATTATCAACGAGCAAACTATTTTTAGGAAAACTAGTTGGATAATAAAGTCTCTAACAACAAATTTCACTCAAATCTATTATTATGGATAGTATCCTTGAAAGTACACTGTAGATTTCCATGCAAATATTGAGACTATTCAATTCTAACAAATAATTGGAAAAACATACCCATTAAGATGTATTGGTCGTTCTTTCGACGATGATCGAACAGTAGTTGGATGATGATGAAGAGTACTGTAAAAAAAAAGAGGAAAAAAATAAGTTTTCTGTTCTCATCATTTTATTATTTATTGATTTACTTTCGTTTCATTAAAGCGATTTCATTTGTTAAACATCTCAGTTTTGATTTTAATTGTCTTTCTGATGTTTTTAATGAATCAATCTTCAATAAAAATTTTATTTTGTTTCTCACAAAAATAAACAAATTAAACAAATAAATTATACTTGATCATTTAGTAGTCTGTAATCATCGGTTTTTGTTGTTGTCGTCTTAGCACGTTCTTTAACTAAAGCATCTTCACTAGTACGTATCATTTGACGTAATAATTCAATCTGTTGTTGTTGATCTTTTGAATTATTCGGCCGATTTGATGCTAATTGTTGACGAAATTCATTGTTTTCTTTTTTTAAACGTGTACATCTATACAAAAATATTAAAAAATTAGAATAAGAATAGGAATAAAAACGATATGCTTACTCTCGTTGTAGACGTATTATATCACTACGTTCAACATCTGATTCAAGCTAAAAATGGAGAATCAATCCAAATTTACTTTGGATTATTTTCAAATAAGGTGGATTTACTCGTGATTTTAACAAACAATTTTCAGTTGTTAATTGTCGAATTTGTTGCATTAAAATAACAGGATCTGGTTTTCCGCAATATGGAAGTGATAATGGATAATAAATTCGATCATATTCAGCATTATACGTTAAAATTAAATAACGTTTATTTGCCAATTGAATATTTGCTGGATGATGTGTTACACTTCCGGCTTGACCTTGCCGTTTTTTTCGTAATGTTTCAAGATCATCATATGTAAATAAGTCAATGCTTACCGCTGAACTTTCCTAATTTTCATTCAAATTTAAAAAAAAAACAATTATTTGTTACAATAAACTCTTTATTTATTTTTTCTTACTTGATTGATAGCATTTTCAAGCATATTAACAAAAACACTGAATGATTTAAAATTGCCCGTTTTAGCGGTCATTGTTTCGATTGCTAGGAGAAAAAAAGGAACAAAAATCATGTTGAAATGTTGATTATAAAATAAAGATATAAATAATTTACCTGTAACATCAAAAGATGCCTTCCATTGGTCTGCACTTTCCTTTGCTTCAACTTCCAAGTCCATTTGTGATTGTTTAGAATTATGAAGAGACATTGATATTATATAAGGTTGATTTCGTATCACGATTTCATTTGAACATGCATTTTTTAAAGATGATGATTCAGATAAACCTGGATTTATAGTTGATAGATCCAGTGAATCTTTCATATCTAAAATCAAAAGGCTTTATTTTACTTTTTCTGTTTAATAAAAGCAAATTTTCAAAAACATAATCATCATCACACCAAATGAAAAGCGAGCATAAGTTTGCATAAAGGGAAATAGCTGATGCCATGCAATAGTAAATCTTCAAGCAGATACATGTTGGCAATGCCATATAATCATAAGCCTTTGAAGTGTTATTTTCTTTTTGATAAAATAATATAATTACCCTAAATCGATCATTTTAAAGTTTGAAACAGACGATATGTTCAATATAAAATGAACAAAATCGTATTTTTTCTAATTACACAATTATGTTAAACAAAAGATAATTTACTACTTCTATTTTTTATTTACTTTGAAACTTGTTTTGATTGCCATTCCGTGATTATTTTCCTATTATTTTTGAATAAAGAATTATACTGTTTGTTTAGAACAGTTCCTTTTCTCCAAATTCCTTTTTATCAAAGCAAAACAAAAAATGAATCTTAAAAATCTAGAAAACAGAATAAGTGATTCAACTGTTTTAAACTAAGAAAAAAATTTGAATCTCTCTTCTACATTTATTCGCAGTACTGGCAAAGATATATTGTTTAATGTCTTTTCTGCATAAAAAAGGATCAATAAACAAATAAAGGGAAAGATGAATCAATGATATTTGTCTATGGTTAATGTGTGATGGTATACATTCGACTACGTGTACGATTATATTCACGTAATTGTTCAATTGGACCTTTAAATTAAGAAGAAAAATAACAATAAAATTAATAATAAATAAATCAACTAACCAACAGCGGCAATGGCTGGACAATGATTGTAAACATATTGTTTCATAGCTGACATAACTGTTTTTGCATCAACAGCCTAAAAATATTTTTAGTTTATGAATTCATTTTTAGAATAATAATCAAAACTGACATCGATTCGTGCATTAAGTTCATGCAATGGTAGTCGTCGACCATATGAAAGTAATTGACTATAGAAAAGAAATTACATTAAGAGTTAACCTAATTTTATAGAATAAAATATTAAAACAAACCGTCCAATATCTTCACAAATTGGTGTTGAACCATCTAGTGCTAATAACATATTTGTTTTAAATAATTTCTTAGCTCGTTCTACTTCAATATCAGTGCAAGCTGTTGAAATACGACACCTTTATTAGCAATAAAAAAAATCATATAAACAGTTAAGAAACTATACAAATTCTATTTAAAATACCATTCATCTTGTATAGCAGACATAGCATCATCAATACGCATTCGATCAGTAACTACATAAGTTCCCCATAAACCAGTGTCCGTATAGCACGTATTAAATGATTGATATGAATGACATAAATTATATTGAACTGATTGTTGGCCAAGACGTGAAGCTACATGAGCACCACCAGCCATTGATCTATTTATTCAATTATTTGTAATCGATTGCTCAAAAAATTAACTTGATCAACTTATATTTCAATTTAGGATGATCGCCAAAAGATAAATTTGAGTCAATTAAAAAAAAATTACCTATCCCAGTTACCAACAATAGTCGATGCAACCATCAATGGAATAGTATCAGCATGAGCCCAACCTGTACTCTCAACAGCAAGAGCAATATGAGCCAATGGCATTTCGTCATCACGAACACGAATTTCACTACCAGAAAAACTAATAGTAATAAATAAATACATAAATAAATAAATTTTATGCTTGAAAAATAAATAGAATAATTTCACCGGCATGGTAAAAGATCAGGTACTTCTCCTTCATAGCCGGCTTTCAATTTTCCAAAATGTTCTTCACTTAAACGAACTAGTTGATCATGATTAACACCACCAGCAGCAGCTAAAACCATTCTTGGTGCTTTATAATGTGTTCCAACATATTTAAGTAAATCAGCTTTTTTGATTGAACTGACAGATGAGCAAAAAACAAGTTTCGATAGACATGAAATTTATTGAATAAATTTACTTGATATTTTCTGTAGAACCGAGAACACTTCTAGCTAATGGTGTTCCTTGATAACCAGTTGCATGCAAATGATCAAAAGTAACCTCTTGAAGATTATTTTCGATTTCATCCATTTCACGTAAAATTGTATGACGTTCACGTTCGATTTCTTCTTCATTAAATTGAGTATTTTGAATTATATCCGATAAAATTTCAACAACTATGCATATTTTTATTATCAAATAATAAAAAAGTATAAAAAGAAAAAAATATAATTACTTTGTGGCAAATCTTTAGTAAAACATTTAGCATAATAAGCAGTCTGTTCTCGTGATGTATAAGCATTCAAATGTGCACCAAGATTTTCAATTTGAACTTCAAGATCACGTTGCGTTCGTTTATTTGTACTCTAAATAATACTTTTACTTGAAATGCTAAAATAATATCGTCTAATATTTTACTTTAAATGCCATATGTTCAAGAAAATGTGCTGTACCATTGTTTTGTGCTGTTTCAAATCGACTTCCGGCATCAATCCAAATACCAACAGTACATGTTGGAATGCCATAATCTTCTGATGCAACACGTAAACCATTTTTGATTGCTGTTACACGAGTTTCGGGAACATTTAAAAGTGTTTGCTCGTATGTTATTGATGGATGTGTTTGTAATGCTGTAGTTGCATTACGAAACTAGAAGAAACTAATCAATAAAAATTGAGATAAAACTTAGAGCTTACTGATGATCGAGCAGCATAACGACCAGCTCCGTGAAGAAGACTACGAAGTAGCATGTTATTAATAAATGTTTTCTGCAAGATCAAAAAAAGTACTTGGCACTTATAGAGCGAGCGAAAGAAAAATTATTATTTTTTCGACCATATTGAAAATGAAATATGACGACCTCTATTAGAAAATTCAGTAAATCTATTACAGAAATTTATTTTATTCAGAAATTGATCGTAACTACACATTTTCTTTAGGTCTAAAGTATTGATTTTAAAATTATTTAGCGACACACTACCAACGTTATAGCTTGCATGTTTTATTTAACTATCCATTTGAATGTGTCTATGATACCTCGAATGAATGATGATGAAAAAGAAGAGACATCTTTTTTATAGCGTCATAGTAATGGAATTGGAAACTACCGTCATCTATAAGGATCGATAGAATTACTTGAAAGACTTGCTCATAAAAAATGAAGAGAAAAAAAGGTACTAAGTTCTTCTTAGTCGATTAAAAATAGGAAACGGCTATGTTAACTTTTAGTATTTGTATTGAAATTATTTAGCAAAGAAAATTTGACAGCCTAAATAGCGACACAATTTTCTACAGGAAGCTTAGCTCCTCCTCTGACTCCGCCACTAATCAGCATCATGTATTCAAACAAATATTCTATTTATATGCAATTGAAACAGGACGAATAGAAAATATATACGATATCGACAATACTATCGTGTTTAACATGGTGAAGAAAACGAATTTGAGTATTTTATTAGAAAAAGGAACGACTAAAACTAAAAATGAATGTGACCAAATTATAAAAATTATCAATACTCAGCTTAAGTCCATCTTCAACTAGTAAGTCGTTCTCATTTGATTGTTACTTAATTGTTTAGCTAGATTACTTTTAATTGGTCTAGTAAATTTTAAGATTATTGTTCTATCGTCGGTCGTTTTTGTGTACTCAAAAAAAAAAGAGTACACTATAGAATCGGTCAGTGTGTCCGTCCGTCCGTCCGTCCGTTTATTCGATAACTCTTCACAATTACATTCGATTGAGCTGAAATTTTGTGCACAGAATTGTCTTATCAATATCTAGGTCGAGTTCGAAGATGAGAAGGATCCGTCAAGAAATGGCTGAGTTGTCGAAAAAATTGTCATTTTTGATCAGACCATCCCTGAGGGGGAGTACAGGGATTTTTCAAAAAAAAAATTTTCTCAGAATTATTCACAACATATATAAATCGACTCAGTTTTTAACGCTGATTCTAAATCTGATATTAGTTTTGAACTAAGTCATAGCTTTCTAACGAAACATCGCCTGAAAAACGTCTCAAAATTCACAAAAACTCCATCCAGAAATCAAATTGTCTAGCTTCTCATGATAATTTTCGTGTTCAGGCATTCTAGAATGACTGATATGTTGCATGCACTTTTTGCAGTACACATAACTCTCGGATGAAATCCGAAGTTTCCACATTTATTTTTTGTATTTTCAGTTCTCAATCATGGTCATCAATATTTAAATTGAATTATTTAAAACAATTACATGTTGATTATTTAAGATATGCACCATTTACAAGTCATGATGTACCAGAATTGCAAGCAAAAAATTAGAATATTACCCATCCCAGGTTGATCAAAACAGACTCGTTTACGATCTGTTTGTCGACAGTAAACGATGTCAAAACAGTATCTTTACGGCAGTAAATACGTCGTATTTGCCCGTAATACCTGGCACCGTAAACGGGACTGAATTTTCATGGTTTACGGCTGTTTGTGCTCCGCACTCTCATGATAATACGGTCCGTATTACTGCGCCAGATATTACGGCAAAATTTCGCCCGTAAAATAGTCGTAAAGTAACCGTCAATGGCCGTATACGGACCGTACTGTTCGACCTGGGATGTCATGGCACCTATTCATGACTCTATTTTGTGTAAAAGAAGAAATCAACAGAAAATTTTATTCAAAATCAACCACAGGTAAATTTTGAATAATTTTTATCCGTCAGCCTTCGAATATTGATCCTTCCGTTGATGGGTAGGCGCATCGAATCAAAGCATTTTACCATTACAAATACAATCATCAGAAGAAATCTAATTTTTCAAGCTTGGAAGAAACAAACAGAAGACTGATATTTTATTTGTTGCTAATACGAAAACGATAACCTAATGTAAATACACAATTTTGTGTTATACGAAAATTGTTTTCTGTAATCACTTAGCTGATACTTTATTTATTATCGTATTATGTTGCATTGTTCATTGTAATGCGCACGCATTGTGTTAGAATGTCATGTCGCTCATGAAAACTGCTGTCATAATTTCATGAAACGTATTGTCTGAACAATAGCTTATTAGTAATAAACGAAGAAAAAATAGTACACATACATACTATGTATTAAAATATACCCATAACATTACTGATTAATCAATATTCAAGAAAAAACAATGGGCAAAAATCGCGATTATTTATCAAAATCGGCAAAAATCGACAGTTTTGACGATTTAATCGCGATTATTTATCAAAATCGGCAAAAATCGACAGTTTTGACGATTTAATCGCGATATAATCTCACGATTATCGGACTAATATATCGCGATTAAATCGCCAATTTTAGTGCGATTTCTATGACATGGGTAGTTCCATTTGGTCGATTCAAAGTTGCACCCAATTCAGCATCACGACAAGATGGCAAATTATTTCAATTTTGTCCACCTTCTAAAGTTGAAGAACAATTAAAATTGTTATTTTCGTTGTATGAACAATATGAGTACGAAAATATTGATCCCATTATACTAGCTTCTTGGTTTCATGCAGAATTTATTCGAATTCATTCGTTTGTCGATGGTAATGGTCGTCTTGGTCGGTTTTTGTCTAGTAAAATATTAATGAAGTACGATTTGTTTCCTCTTATTGTTGAGAAACAAAACAGAGCAGACCCAGGTGAATGAATCCTATGACGGATCCTATCGGATCTGATGGGATCCTATCACCCAATAGAATCCGATGGGATTCCGGGTTACGGATTGACTGTCGGTTCCGACGGAAAAAAAACATCTTAATTAGGGGTGAATATGCATATTTTCTCATAAGAACACTAGGTTCATACGTTCATGTCGGATTCCGTTAATTTCCAACACTGGATCCTATGGAATTCCTACACCAAGGATCCGACTGTAGGTCCTGATCCCGGAATCCTATAGGATTTCGTTGGTTTTATTGGAATCCATGGATATTTGGAATATTCACAGTCTGACCCTTGTCGGAATCCGATAGGATCCTAGTCTCGGAATGACTCTCCTGGGGAGTATATTGAGTGTATGGATGAAAGCATCGCTCGAAATAATCTAACATCATTAGTTAACTTTATCAAACGTGAACAAAATTTACTTATTGAACATGTACGAAAACAAACTACATGTTCAAAACAGAAATATCTTGTTTTTTCCGTTGATAATTGATTTGTTTCAATTTGTTTTTGTGTGCATAATGTTTTATTGTTATTGATATTATTTCTTGTCAATTCTGTTGTTTTATTAGAATGGACAAATCCATGAGTTTCTCGTATAAAAAACGATTAAAAATCAGATTAAAATCTATTATGACTACACTATTTTAATCAGATTCATCAGCCTAAATTTTAGATCGAAAAATCTGATTCAAATACTGCCACCCCAATAGATTATGAACCCAAAAAGAATTGATTTTAATCTGATTTTTAGCCGTTTTTTCGGGATAGATCCGCGTCGACTATAATTCTGTCTATTTTTCTTTAATAGTTGATTACTTTTTAATGAGTAATAGCACTTTCAAAAACACTTAGTTCATACTTTTGCTCATTCTGTTACTGTCCTAATTTGATCATTTAGGAGGGATGTCATAATATCCACAACTTGGGTATCGAGGTGAATACCCATATAGGATACCCAGTTGGATGGACATCTACGTATCCTCAGAGCTGAGGAATTTGCGTGCATTTGGTGTAGCGATATTGGATATCGGAAATTTTCCTACTGTCAGGTCCTACTTCAAACAAATTAATATAAGCCACAATTCAAATAACATACATGTGACGATCCACAACAACACCAACTACACAGCATGCTACAGTTTCAACCCGACTTCCTTGAGCCATTGTGATAAAAGTCGTAATAAATGGTTATCAGGTAAAAATGAAGTTCTTCAACTAACATTTACCTGGAATTGCACGCTATCTGCAATACTCATTAAACGAATCTGTACATATCGATAAACATTGGCATAAAGCTGACTACATGAATACAATAAATTTTAACATAGCATCACGTTTCCTTATTCATAATTATAAAGTCACGTATTTCTACAATAGGGTATCCATTTCCAATACCCAGTCTCGTTACACCAAATGCACTCAAATTCCTCAGCTATGAGGAACATGGGTATTCATTTTAGTATCCATTTTAGATATCCACTTCAATGGATATCGTGAATGGTATGTCGACGATACCCAGTGTTAGGATATTATGATATCTCTGATAGCACTCGATTCCTCAGCTCAAAGCTTTTCTTTCTGTATAATTTTTCTTAATATTTTTCTTAGCATTGTTAGTCACGGTACTATGGTCTGTGGCGCAAGATATTCTCTTCTTGTTTTTATTCAGATGTGTACAATTATTTGTTGTATATAGCTTGTTGATTCATCCAAATTATTTTTTTGTGCTTCGCTTACGTTACTGATTGTTACTATGAATAGGTTCCCAGGTCAAAGCAACCGGCCCGGGAAATGGCCGGGTCCCGCGCATTCCCGCGATTTCACGGAAGCAGTATTCCGGATCGGGAAATCTATGGATTTTTCCTGTAGATTCCGCCAAGTTCCTGTTGGTTCCCGCCGGAAATCATCGGAAATCACCGGGAAAATCCGGAAAAATCCGTCTCGGAATCCTGCTTCCAGGGTCCGATGATATCCGGCGCTTTCCTGCACGTTCCGGTGCGTTTCCAGTATGCTTCCGCCCGGTTGCAATGAAATCCCCTCATTTCCGGAGGCCGGAAACATCGTCCTGGGTTGTTATTTAGTAAGACTAAGTCAGTTCCTATCGAGATTTTATTGTTATTCTATAACGTCTTTTTTGCTCATTTATATTTGTTGTTATATGTCTTTATATCCGCAATACTCTTTCATTATTCTTGTGTCAATTTAATTTATACCATATCGATAAACCGACGAAAACAATATTGATGTGGTATATATTTTTTTAATTTATATAATAGCTTACGATTTTTTGCAAGAAATCAGAATACTGATTACATGAGTAGCTGCCTAATTCGACTTCGAATATAAACGGTAAAAACGAAAAGAGCTAACCATAACCATATAGCTAGCGACCGTTTTAGTTTTACGTATATATATATATCTACCATGAGAGATGCCCAGTAATAATTCGAATATAAATGGAGCTTCAACTGCATCATCTCAATTCGAATATAACCAGAGATATATACCTAGTCTCCCATGTAAGTAGAAATAGATTTAGATTTAGTTTTCGTTTAAATTTTTTTTTTCTCCATTTATATTCGAACTCGAATTAGACAGCTACTCTCATCTGAATATATATTCGAATATATTTGTAAATCTGTTCATTTAAAGTGAACGAAGAAAGTATAACACATTTGTATGGCTTACTCAACCGTTTCATAAATCATCAGTCGGACATGAGCAATAGTTTTGCTCACCATTCAGTATATACTTTTACAGGTAACCTGCTTAGCAGCAAGCGCTAATATTCAAGCAAATATTAATTAATTATCAATTTTCATTACTTTTCAATTGACTTCTCATTTTGTTTTAAACTTCACCAGTATCTTTAAAGTATCGCAATACAGTTAGAAAAAATAATCTAATTAATATTTCAAAATAGATAAATTTTCTGAGCTTTTTAGACCTTTCAATTTTAGCCAGTCATAGTGGTTATCACTTTTTAAACTGTAAGAAACGAAATGAAATTTAAAACTGACAAAATCTTTATACGTTTTAGGACTACAGTTTCATTTTGACTAGATGCGCTTCCCATCATCGTTAGACTATTATTTTCAAGTGCTGCATCATTCGAAATGATAAACTAAACAAGTACATAAAAAAGACGGAAAAGTATAACATACATAAATTAGTTTTAAAAGCCTAGGCTGTACGACATTTTCACAGAACATCATTCTAAGAATAAGAACCTGTTAGTTAAAACCAGTTCTGTTCTTTGTACTAAATGACGAATGAAAATGTAGTGAATCGTTCTTGATTAACAAAAAAAATGGATACATATTCACTAAACATACGCTGTTGGCTTTTGCAATGGAACGGTATTTCTAAAATAAAAGCAGAATTTGTATGTTTTTAACATTATTTACAGTTCAGTATTTTGGGTCGCTCTTAGAACTATAGAAAGTGTTATAATAATGTCTTCAATAGGTTGTTCTAAGTGAATATTCTAAAAAAGGACGAGAAAGGATAAAAATGTTATTTTTATCATCTAATCAGTTCGGTTTGGTTCCAAAAAAACACGAACCGATCCCATCGCTGGTATGATTAAAATGTGAAGCATGGTGTAACTGTTATCGGTAATCAGATGGAAAGCGTGCCGTTCGATCGGCTTTGCGATACATTTGTTCCTAACACTTTACTCAATCTTTTAGAACTATAATAAGAAAACAGTTGATATATTCTAATGAGACCATAGTAATATATGGTCTTTAATCAAGGAGAAAAGCGCGACTGCACGTACTTCCCTTGTTCTCCCAGATACTTCATTTATAATTCGTTGTACTCCACTCCTACTTCGAAGTATGGAAGTCTCGCTATTCTTCCCTTTGGATTTATCTAGATCAAGATCTGTTACTTGACTACAGTTGAAATATGTTGTATCAATGGTAAAATTGTTTGTTATCATTGTGAGTAATTCATAGTTGATTCATACATTTAATAAACGAGGTAGATGAGTAATTTTTTCGAAGAGAAATTGTTTAGCATAATCTACATTTGTGAATTTCGGATCAAGAAGTGTAAGATGAAATGTAATCAATGTCGTAGATGAATAATGCTTGTCTTTTTGTTGTTTATCATTACGTATGTGTAAGATTTCAAGAAAAAGTAAATCTGGAAATATAAGCTGAAAGAAATAATGTTCAAAAGGGTGTTCATCAATCATTGTCACACATAAAACTATGAAAGATACCTCCTGGAAAAGAAATATTTACGTCAGGTAAATATTCAAATTGACATGGAAGTGAATAGATATGACATTTTGCTTTGAACATACTTAAATGAATATTGACATATGAACTAACTTGTTGATATCCTCTTCCGATGCCACTGCGTTGAATATCTTTATTCGATGAAACATTTATTTTAGTTGTATATCTACAGACAAGTGTTTGAATACTAAACGTAAATTTGTTCAAATTCGTCATATGAAAAAGCTGCTAGTGCAATCCCTGTGGGATTAAAATGTGAAACACGATGAAGCTCCTCTTCTGGAATCCGTCTACCACGATCTGTGATGGTCTGTGGATCTTCTCTGTCACGGTCTGTATTATGATGTACTGAGTCTCTAGAGACCATCACAGACCGTTACAGACACTTCAGAAACCATCACAGACCGTGACAGAGAAACTAATTCACCAGCTAACTAATTAATTGATTTCTCTGTCCCGGTCTGTGGGGGTGGATGGGTCCAAATTTCTACCCTATATACTTTAACACTCCTTTCAGATCGTGTTTCACAAAAGAACTTAATTATATAATTGAATATCATCAATATAATTTTCATTCTTCTAGATTTATCATTCGACAAATGGGAAAATTGAAGTATCATAATGATTTGTGTATAAAAATGCAACCAATGACAATGCAAAGAATATTAGCATTCAAAATATTTATCTGAGTAGTTTTTTTATATATCAAAATTATAATAGAAATTTACAGCACATATACAGTTTTCTAAGGGCTACCGAATGTTGTGAAAACGTGAACAAAAATACTCTGCGCTTAAATGTTTGTAAGGACAATACTATTAAAAGTCTATGTGAAAATGAATTTCTAGTATTGTATGATGAATGCGGTCTCTAATACCGATCATAGAACGCGCGCCATATTTTGTGCACAGATAGAGCTTTTTGAGAACTAGAAAAAGGTGCTCAAATGTCTTGAAAAGTATTTTGTATTTGAAAGGTTTTAATGGTTCGAGTGGAAACAATTAATCAAACTCAAAGGACGACTCAGTTCTCTGGTTTTATTCAAATGGTTGTTGTAAGGTTGTGGGTTCTATGTGAAGGTTTGGGAAATGGATAATGCGCATGCCAAAGATGGTATTCTGAGGTCACGTGATATACAATGCACTAGTGTCTGACGTATTTTATTATTGTTTCTCATGTATAAACTAACTGATAGGTTTAATTTCATTTTCTATGTTGACATATGAGTTCATGTAACATTAAGAAAAGCTTAGTTCTTATTTGAAACTATAGAGATGTCTCATAGTTTAACAAAATAAAGAAAACTCGTGATGAAATTTTTAAAAGTACTTCATATCTTAGTAATATTTATGAACTATGACATCTGCAGATACATTTAGATGATGAATACTAAATTATAGTGATAATCAATCGATCATTTAGATTACAAAAACCCTGTTAATACATTTATATACAAATTGAATTGTGTTAATTATACATGTCTCTCTCTTGTTTTCCTTTTGCCAGTGTTGACATAGTACTATTCAAAGGGGGAAAAGCGTGACTTCCGTACTTCCATGTACCTCACTTGTACTCTCTCGTACTACCTTGTACTCCCTAGTACTTCCATTCTACTCCCATCGGACTTCGCAGTACGAAAGTCGCAGTTTTCCCCCTTAGTACTGCTACATATGTATATTGTATATTCCACCGATGTGTGCTTTAGTTATCTGAGGTATTTTTGTCTATTGTTTTCTCTTGATTTTTCCTCTGCTTGAGTTTCTTATGTTAAATTTAGCACTTTGTGTATTTTCGTAGATATCCTATATAAGATCTTGAAATATTCTATATATCTCAACCTATACATATCTACTGATAATAAACATGCCACTGAAAATTTATTTCGATTTTAAAAACAATGACAAATTTTGTCGCAATACAACAATATAAAAACTAATCAGAATCGGACAGCGAAATGGAAACTGACCAGAAAAATATTTAAAAAAAGAAAAGAATTCGACGTAAATTTCAATGAATAAAAGACAGAAAACTTCTCAAATACAACACAACCATACAATTAAATTTTTTACTTACATATCTATGTTTCTTTACTTAACAGTATATTTACGTAGAGATTTATAATATTTTGTCAAGAAAATCAAACTTTTTCACTTAGAATTTAAATAAAATACTTAGCAAAAAGTTGAATTTTTTACTTAGTTCTTCTTAAAAGTTACTTAGCATTTAAATGGGAGCCATTTTATTTCTATGATATTCATTCACTCTTACTATACAAAAAGTAGCAACTATGGATATTATATAGAATAATTGGATGTTCATATCGTGAAAAACACGCAATTTGTTAACATGTCGTAATCACAAATATTTTTCTTTTTCATAGAAAAGTGTTCACTTTGATGATATCATATAATGCTATAATTTGCATATTATTCGAAAGAAAACATTGAGCTTTATCGATGGACATGATTTTCAATGATAACAAAGCATTTCTATAGCATTAACTCCTTCAAAAAAAAGGTAGAGTTCTTAATCACTTCTTAAATGATAATACGCATGAAAAAGTAATCTGTATCTTCCAAAGGTCTAAATTAGGTGTTAGTAGAAAAGTGTCACATCCTATCGAACAGTGAAATAGGATAACATGTTGCTATCTCATTCTTCATCTCACTGAATCGATGAAAATGAATGGTCTATATCTGTTTATGGAATACATATTTCAAGTAATAGATGTTCCTATAGTAATTCTTTAGCAGTGCAAAAGCTCAGTCGTGTTCATCTTATTTTATGTTTGTTTTATTTTTTGGGTTGGTTCTGCGTAGAGCATAGACAATCGTTGACGACATCTATCAATCGTATGTACCCAAATAATATATTCTTCATTATTTAGTTGATAGCCAATCAAAAACGAAACATAATATATATATACATTTATATTTGTAAGAGTGGTTTTGGTAGTATCCAACGGCTCTCTATTCATTAGCAATCAAAAATTTCTATCGTCCTCATATAAATTGCCGCACTCATTCTCTGAGTTTAACTATATTTGAACAAAACTGATCAATACGAAAAACAGTAGGGTTTTTAACTTGAAGAATTTATCAACTGTTATGATTGCCAAGTTACTCTGCATTTTACTGTCAGTTTAATATCATGTTAATAGATCAAAGCTAAAAAGAAAAATACGCAAATAATAAGTATGTTGATAATTGATGTAACTGAAGATATTCACACTCATATGTATATGTAATATTTATTATTAATTCTAGATATATATGTTTCGTCTTGTTACTACACGTATTATATCTACTGGTAGAATAATAATAAAGTCTCCAGGATGTTTATCATATCCACCACATCGTTTTCTACCAAATTCTGTATCTCAATCGAATGGAGATGTAACCACTTCGACAATGCCATTAGTTGATAGAAACAAAAATGAAGCATCTAGTCGAACAAAGTATGATTGTTTTAGTCTACTAACAATATTTTTATTCGGATTTCTGGGAAGTTTTTGGTAAATAGCACTTGTCTTTTTGTTTTGTTTTGTTTTAGTAAATCACCAATTGTCCCAAAGATTTATACTCGCAGAGGAGATCGAGGTACATCCACTCTATTGAGCTCTGGTGCGAATCGTCTATCAAAAGATTCATTAATATTTGATGTCTTGGGCACTATCGATGAACTATCATCAACCATTGGTATTGTTATTTCGAGTTGTCCTTTCCCTCAAATATTAAAACAATTAGAAAATATTCAATGTGCTCTATTCGAAATCGGTTCGTGTGTTGCTGCTGAGAATTGTTCATCTCATTTTGAATTCAATGACGCAATATTAATAAAACATTTAGAAGAAGATATTGATAAAATGACTGCAGAATTGCCAGAGCTACGTAATTTTATTTTACCTGGTGGTTCTAGTAAAATAGCTTCGCATGTTCATTTTTCGAGAGCTGTCTGTCGTAGATGCGAACGTTTATTAACAAAATGGACAAATAATAAAATTCAAGAGAATCAATCACAACAAGAAACAATTATGGGAATCTATTTAAATAGACTTAGTGATTATTTATTTACATTAGGACGATATGTAGCATATAAAGACGGGCATAAAGAAATAATATATCATAAAAGCAAATAAATAAATTTTTAATTAAAAATCCTATCTTATTTTTAATTCTTTCAGATGTCATCTATAGGCTTGCTCGTATCTCGTCTTCGTTATCCTTTTTTCCGTCGTTATTTAACGATACAAACGTCAAATGTTAAACCAAAAAGTAATTTACCTTCGAATTTACAAAAGTCAAATGATCCAACAGTTATGCCAATACTAAATCCGAATGATTTACCAGAAGCTGAACAAATATATATAAAACGTTTTGAAGAACGACATATGAGGAATGTTGAAAGACGCACAAGAGAACGACGACGAGCACGAATTATTGGTTTATCGTTTGGTGCTTTAGCTATTGGTATTTATATTTATACAATTAAACGTGTTCGACAAGAAACTTTTTTGGATGATTTTGATGTACCTGAACCACCACCACAAAAGAAAGCAATCGAACACGAATAAAGTTTTCTTTTTTACGTTTTCCATTGAAAATAAAACTTAGTTAACTAATATCAACATTTTATTATGATCTCTTTCGATTTTTATAACACAGAAACTTGACAATAGATGAAATGAAATCTGCAAGAATAGAGTTTTTCTTAATATCGACTAACTTTTCATCGGTGTTCAAACTTTTTACAAGTAATAATACTGATAATAAGGTCATTAATCGCGAACGAAACGCCTAGTTTAGAATGCTATAAAAAGTCAGCATATAAGTTATGAGAAGAACCAATACATTAGTTCAAGAAGAAAATCATAGTTGAAAATGAACGATGTTAGCAGATGAGCTTTGTTTAATTTCAAAATAATAAAAAAAGAAGTCGTAGACGATACTGAAAAGATCAAATATGGAAATTGTTTTGGACATGATCTTAGTATTGATGCCTTCAATCAATAAACTCAGAGGTTGAAAATGATTTTGTTACTCAAATTTCTATATCAAAATTTTGCATTTGAGATCGATATCTAGTATGGTAATCATCAGTAAGCGTATCAAAAAACAAACGTTTTCTTAGCTTGAATTTCGTTCAATATAAAAAATTTAGTAAGAGAAACTTTTGTTTTTCTTTCTAAGTTATTTTTAAACTGAGAAATTAATAGAACACTGAGAAAGAATCTTAGTCACTATTACATTAAGATTGCTCAAGATTTTTTTATTATATTTTAGATTGTATTGATTTTAATGTTTCAATTAACATTATGTATTTTGAAACCAGATATTGTTCGATCACCACATCTGTTTAATGTACGTGTAAATTGAGGTAATTTTTCGTGACTATTCTGATGTTTTTATTATCGATATTGTTTTTCTCTTAGGAAATAATTACATTAATATTGAAACGTCAATTTATTTTTGTTAAAAGTAAACGTTTACAATTAAGGCGTGAACGTGCTGGGGAATTTTATCGAGAACATCAAGGTTGATTTTTGATTTGTTTTCATTATCTATTAAATGTTATGTTATTTAGAAAAATTTTTCTATAGTCGACTTGTTCATTATATGAGTTGGTACGTTCATTTATATTTCAACTAAATTTTGAATTATTTTTTATTAATGTAGTGGACCAATCTCATGCCATATTCTTGGACGAGAAAATGCTATCAAAGAATGGAGATCAATGCTTGGCCCAACGAAAGTATACAAGTAATAATCTTTGTGAAATGAATGAATTTTCATTGAAATGTATTTTTTAGAACGATATTTGAAGCAGAAAATACAATAAGAGGTCAACATGGTGTAACTGATACAAGAAACTGCGGTCATGGATCAGGTATAGATATAATGCATTTTATTTCATTCTATTGATTTATATATATGAAATAGATTCAGTTGAAACAGCGCAACGTGAAATTAATTTTTTCTTTCCTGAATTTGACATACAATCATTATCGAAATATGAAAATATGTTAACAAACAAATCGATATTTAACAAAGACACTCTGGAGCATCAATTATAATCTTGTTCTTTTTTTGAAGAAGACATAGACAAATGAAATTTTTTCTTGATATTTCAGTTTTATAATCTATATTATCAAGTAAAGCAGTTGATTGTTATAGATATTCAAAGTAACAATATTATCATACTATCAGATGAATGTTATGAAAGAAAGTGAAATAATTCTTTAATTGTTATTACTATAATAGTTAATCGTCTCGAATAAAACACGATACGTAATAATTTTTTAAATCAGGAGTTGAGTATGAAATTTTGACTGAAAAATCAGGAGAGAAAATACCACATGTTTATCGAAATCATAAAACTGATACTGTTTGCTCATATAGTTAATGGATATTTTCTGTTGTTAAGTTAGTGATAGGTAAATTTTTGTCTAAATGTGATATGAAAAAAATAGACAACGATAATCGCATCTATTCTATATCACTAGTGATTTCACAGGCTTTCAAAATGTGTAAAAATAAATTACAAAGTAAATTTTTTTGTTGCTCGTTGTGTCCATTAGATAGCCTGATTTATTATTTATCTTGTCTGGTCGTAGTGACAAAAAACGAGGTTCTTCTCTTTCAATCAGAAGATTTTACAGCTCGGATAAACAGTGCAAAGGTCAATATAGTAAAGATAAAAACACGAAGGTACATAAGATTTTTATAGAAAGGTGTATGAACATTTTGTTGGTGTGGATGAATATCTTCGTTTTCGTCTGATTCTCATTCAGATCCACAACCTATCACATATCTTGTCTATGATTCAGTTTCTACTCTGATGATTCATCAATCCCCAAAAGATGATGTTCTTGTCAATTACATTGTTCAGTTTCTATTGTAATATCAGTAGCACTGAGTTTTAAAATAAAAATTGCACATTTTATGATTGAAACATAGTCGATTGTTTCGGTTTTTAACTAATACGAAATAAAATATATAGTATATCAATCCATCATTCTGAGTAGTTTGTCTTAAACCGAAGAAACGAAGTAATCTTAGAATTACAATTTTAGAACACAAGAAACACATAAAGAGGCTGATTTCCCTAGCAATCGAAATGGGTACATGTCGAACAATAAAGAAAATAGCAGCGAAGCAATGACACGGTATAGATAATTCCAAAAAGATAGAGTACTTTATTTGACTATAAAATTAAAATAATAGAAGTAACAATAATAATAATAATAATAATAATAATAAAGAAGATCTTTCAACTATAAATCTTAATCAGTTGCGATACTTTTGATAGAAGAATAAAATTTATTGATGTCATATTTAATATATTAGTGATATATCTTATGTTAAATTCGATAGATCTAGCTACTTTGAATAAGATCTTAGCTTGAATCATGCTATTGTACGGAGTATATAAATGTATCAAATAAGAATCACCTCGCAATATGTGTGGCTAGTGTTTTTTTTCTTTATTAACAAGTAGTATTTCCAAAAAAGATCCAAAATTTTACTTGAAAATTTATTTGTATTTAGTTTTGAGCATTTCAGAGGCAATCATTAGTTTTATCATAGTTTTATTAATTGTTATTCTAATTAAATTAAATAAAAAAAACTCTTAATTCATCTTTTATAGAAGAGTAGTTTGAAGTTCTAGTTATTCTATCCTTTCTCCTATTGGTCATGTGTCATTAATATAAGTATCAGTCGTATGATACACTTCTACAATATTTTAACCTTCGTATTTCTTTTTTGATGATTTTGATTGAAACAAATATAGTGATATTTTGTAAAATGCTGACCAAACAAAGTACTCTTTTAGATTGCACTTTAATTTAATAAACTGAAATTAATTCAAGGTAGTCTTTTTACTTTGACTGGTGAACTGAAGACATTCGTTCTTTTTTTTCCCCCGTTTTGCACCTGATCAACCGCTTCTTTTTCCGCATTATCGCACAAATATACAATCGGTATTTTTTCTTTCGTCACGATACGATACACATTTGATCTGCTGACACAACCTGTACGACATGCAATAGATCACCGTTATTTGATTAGGGGAAAAGTAATTCTTATGAAATTTTCAGATAAAATGATTTTTGGCTTGCCAAGTCTTCTATTCAGATCATTTTTTTCTAGTTTTCGTAATATGTCTTCAGCTGTACCAGTTCAAACGCCAAATGCTGCACAAAATTTGGATCAAAATGAACTTTATTCAATTGGTTCTAACTTTTGGAATGTTCGTGGTCGTTTTAAAATTTTAAAATTTATTGATATTGAAACGCAAATGTCCATAGTAAAGTTACAAAATGGGAATTTTCTAGTTATTGATACAGTTGAGATGAACGATCGCCTTCGACAAGAAATCGATCATTTAACAAATAATGGAGAAAAGATTGAAGCTGTTATTGGTACTCATCCATTTCATACATTATCGTTTCCAGCTTTTTATCAAACATATCCTAAAGCAAATTATTATGGAACACCAAGACATTTACGTCGAATAACAGAAATTCCATGGAAAGGAAGTCTTGATGATAGTAATGTCAGAAAAAAATGGGAACCAGATGTTGAAATGCGTATTCCAGCAGGTATTTGTTGAAATAGATAGTTTTTGAAATGAAATAAATATTCGTTTTAATTTTAGGAGCTGAATTTATTAATCCTCAGCCTGAATCAACAAATCATTTTATAAGTGTTTTTGTTTATCATCCAGCATCTCGTACTCTTCATGTAGATGATACAATTATGTATGCTGAAAAGCCAGGATTTTTACTTAAATTATTTGGTTATAAAGATGGTGCAGTGGCATTTCATCCCTCGATTAAAAGTTCTGGCCTGTATCCAACAAGTGATGCGCCATATTTATTTCGTGATTGGATGCGTAATATGCTACGAGATTGGCCTTTCGAAAATATTTGTTGTGCACATATCGGTGTGAAAATGGGCGGAGCACATGCTGATGTTACCACATTACTTAATAATGCTGAGCCTTTATTTGCTAAACTTAGTGAAAGAAATCGAAAATAGAATTCCAGTGATGAAATACCATCTTCTAATCGTCCGGATATGAGCATTAGTGGAAACGAATGTGGATGATTCTACGTATTTCTATGTTTGCTTTTCAATAGAAACTAGTTACATATCACTTTTATTCTAGTAGCATTAAATAATGAGTTTTTGTCTGCCGTTGATATTTATATCTCATCAAGAGAAATACTTGTAAATAATGTAATAATAAATCAGCAAAAATAAACGAAATATGTTTTGTTAAATGCTTAGTAAATATGATCAAAATACGAAACAGTCAAAATGCCAAAAAACATGTATCAAGTATTCTGGAGTTATGATCATTTAACTCAGTTTTAGCTCTATTGCAGGATATTATAAATATAAAAACTGAATCATAGAATTTTTGTCTAACATGACATGAGCTCTTGTTTTCGCTGTCGCTTACATTTGATGTTGAAAGAAACAAAACAATTGAATTTTTAGTAAAATTTCTAAAACAGAAATTCTTGAAGTTCCTCTCTCGAATTATTACTATTTATCTTTTGTTTCATTACACCAATCATTAGCGAACGAAAGAAAATAATATCGAACATAGTGGACGACGACAAAACGTATGTTTATCATATACATATATAGTATTGCATTTTCTCTTAAAATGACACTGATCATTGAACAAAAATAAACAACGAACTCATATTTTGTTGTATCTGATATATATACACGTGCATAATTGTTTCGTTTATCGTCATCGATACATTTTATCAATGCAACTGTCAAATGGTTCATTGTTGTCAACAGACAATGAGTATATGCCATGCATTCTTAACAACCGATCGCGGCTACTTAGTGATGCTATAGCTGCATGGCTCACTAATTTTGTTCTTGTGCATATTTATGTTGCTTTATTGTTTTTTTGTGCTGTTTTTTCTCTTTGTTCTTCTTACTGTCGTCGTTTCATTCGGGCCATCAGAAAACATGTCAACTCATCGTCATATCAACAAGAAGAACTGAATGTATCCAAATTTACATTGTTGATTCAGCAACTGGCCGTGATACTCATTTATGTTCTACTTGCTTTTCTCTTTAAATGGTTCGGATTGGGTAATAATAATTATTCAATAACGTCTATGCACTTTTATCGTTGGGTTACAGAAGTGTCGCAGCTTCCAGCTCTTTTTCTTGCTTTCTTTTTTATGTACTATTTAGAATTAATGGAGCAAAATATGGATAGATATCAATTTTTTTTCGTCATGGAAATCATACTCAAAGCTTCATTATTCGTCGTGATGCGTTATTCTGAACATCAACCTAACTTTTTTGTCAATAGACTAAAATATTTGTCTGTTTTAATAGTTTGTGGAGAGTTGTAGAGAATCCAAAGATGCCGTGTTTCATACAAAATTGTTTGTTCTATAATAATATTCTTTAAAATAAATTGTATGATTACTCTAAATGCTGTGAAGTCTTTTTTCTGAAGTGTATCTAAAACAGTTTTGCATGCCTTTTATTATTTTTCTTCGAAACCATTCTCTCTATTCAAATGACTATTTGGATTACCTGCTGGAATTAAATCAAACAGAAAACGTTTAAAATAAAGCAGACTGAACAATTGTAATACTCACTGCATAGGCCAAGCTGGAAGTTGGGCTCTATCGATGTGACTGTTAGAGTAAAATAGATGATTTATACTTGGAGCTTCCATTGAACTCAATTGTCAAATTCTAATGAAGTGCCAAAATAAGTTGAACTTCGAAAATGATGTAAAAAATGATTGAGTCGAAATTGGAACTTGTCGTTTTACTGGTACGTGCTAGTCGAAACAGCTGGTCTCTGCATGGCATTCACTTATATTTACTTGATTCAATCGTATGTTTCAGAGTTGGAACCGGTCCGGCTGGTCACCACCGGTTTTTGCCGGTTGAAAATTTTTTTATAGATCTGCCATTTTTTCCTTGCGAAAACTATTAATAACAATTTTTCATGCTTTTATCAAAGTAACCGTTGAATTTCATGAAAAAAAAAAGTTTCATTGTTGAAAAATAAAGTCAAAGCTTTATTTCCTGGGTCTAATTTATTTCATAACATTATTTTTAAAGATTGAATTTAATTTGAAATATTATTCATCGAGAAATGCTAGGCCTTTTTCGAATTATCACGTACTACAAAGAAATTCCGCCTGTCATTCATTTTTTATGTGAAAAAAATATTGTAAACTTGCCGGTTTTCACCCGTGTGGAAAATGTTTTGGACCGGCCGGACCGGACCGGTCTTAAAATTTTAGACCGGTTCCAACTCTGGTATGTTTCTCAAAGGTCGATTATAGCAACGATAAATGAAGACAAATATCAAAGTGAAGAAAAACATAAGAAATCTCTTACAGATATTAAAAGATTTTCCTTTTTTCTTATGAAAAGTAGGTTTCATAATATTGGAAGAGGTCGATATTGATATACATATTGAGATTACTGAATAACATTAGAGCAACATAATCAACATGCAATTGTTCAAGTGCTCTTCTAGAAGTTATTTTCCGTATCAAGTTAATATTGATAGAGCGAACGCTTTTTAGGAATATCTGTGCTCCATTGTTTATATCTCGTTCATTTCAAAAACGAATAAAATCTTTGTTTTTCAATCACGAAAAAGAGAACTCTTTTCTGCTGCATCTACTCCTCCTATAAAACGAGCACTTGCAACCATCTCAATAATTCAACTATTACCTGTATACAATAAAATATTGGTTTTAACTGCTATGTTGTTAAAATACAGTATTTGCTCGTTTATCTTTTAACGAGATAAAGCGAGTGCTCAACAAAAAGGCATTAATAAAGTAAACTCCCAAATGATTTCACCCCGAGATAAATTCCTCTTCAGTATAAAAACAGTTATTAAAATGAACTGAGAAAATTATTAGTATATTTAATTTATAGAAAGATGATTTATAATCAATAGTGTAGTTAAAATAAGTATGGACATAAACGTCGGTACGTATTTATTTATCTTATACCAACGCTCACTATCGCGCATCTACAGATTCATTTATGTGCATTTTATTCAAAGAAGACAACTTTGTTGATCAAAAGATCAAGACGTGAATGATTAATGTCGTGTTTGAATTATCTTTGCACTAGGACATTTCTATTATCGCATAGAAAGAGTTGCAATATTATTTGTCATTTTAAATAAAAAAGGGTAAACATTTTGTTTTGCCATTTGCTTCGTTTTTTCCTCCGTCTCTCTTGAACTGCGAAGTATCTATCAATATAAAAGAAACGAGGGCCAGAAATTCACTGAATAAATCATAAAATTTCATATGGCACTAATGACTAGTCATTTCAAACAATATGAGCGAATAAAAAACTCATCAGAGTCTTGTTCCGTTCATCAATGTTCTAGTTTACCGCACAGTATATGTAATCATTGTGATCATCACTTTTGCCATGATCATGCGAATGAACACGAAAATCAATGCAGTCAAAGTCGACCACATTTAATCAATACGATCGATAAACTTGGAGTTCGACTATCATCTATTGAACCATACTGTCTCGAGCAACTTGAACGATGGCGTAACGAAGCTTATCAATCCATAAATCAATACTGCAACAAAAAGTGTTATGATCTTGTTGAAAAAAAGAAACAATATCTACAGCAAGAACTTGCTCTTACTCGAGATAAATTAGATGAATCGATCAAAGAACAAGATGAAATGTATAATCAAATTGATCATGATATTAATTTAATAGAAATAAAACTTGTTGAGCTTGAACATCTTCGATTAAAACTTCGCCCATTAATTATTGATGAAAATCTAGTTACTTCACAATGTCTTTTTCCATTGGCCCATCCAAATTATACGATTCATATCAAATCAGGCAATGAAAGTTCTATTGGTAGTAATGAAAGACATCTTCTCGTTGAACGAGAAGGTAAACATTTATGTTTATTGGATCGAAATTTTACTATTGTTAGCGAAATACCATTTTATCATGGTGTTATTCATAGTATTTGTTGGTCATCAGTAATCCATCGATTTATTATTGTTACTTTTAAACAAATATTTATTTTTGATGATGAAACAATGGTACTTTCAGAGTGTTCTATATCTGCAAACACAGATTGGTGGCGTTCAACATGTTCCGATGATGTTCTATTCTTATCAACTGCAGAATGGGGTTCACCAATTCATGAATTCGATCTTCGAGAATCCTTTCAATTTATAAAGACATGGCATACACCGGCAACATGCGCAATAGATGAAGTTATTTGTGATATTAAATATAGTAATGGCTTTCTAGCAATTCCTATCTTCAATAGACACACAGAAGAAAGTCGTCTTGATTTGCGTTCCTCTACAACACTCAATTGTATATGGTCAATTCATATTCATGGACGTTGTCGTTGTTGTGCAGTTAATGGCGATCAATGGTTAGCCATTGATCATGATGATTGTCGGTTTCTTCATATTTCAGCTGATGGACAACTCTTAAAAACGGATAAATATGATCATCATCAACGGCTTGAAGATGTTGCAACATGGGATGAAAACACTATTGTCGTTTTAACTAAGAAATCCATAAATTTACATGAAATTCGTTAATACTATGACATTTAAAAACAATTTTATGATTCAAACCAGTATTTAACTTTGTATTAATATATTTAGAAATAAATTACATCAAACCATAGAATTCTAAAGAACACCAATATAATTTAGGAATAGAAACACAATAGAGGCATTAATTGTCAGTAAAAAAATATATTACTGCATTACCATTTTAGAACAACATCGAAGAAATGTTTGTTAAAAATCAATTACTTTGTGTTAAGAGAAACATTGATATTTTGTATTTGTATCCCATGTCAAAAAAATTCGATTAAGAATTCGATTAAAAATCGATTATAATGGCACTATTATAATCTGATTAAAATCGATCTTTCTGAAAAAAAACTTATGAAAACAAAAGGTTTCGCCATCGAATCTCAAGAAAAGCGCTATTGTCAAGCTATATGATTAAAATCGATTATCAGGTAAGAATCGATTAAAATCGGATTTTCTCTGTGATTCTTTTTTGCATGGAAAGAGTAGCTCAATGCTACTCATCAGATTAGTGTGAATGACTATAGATCTCAATTCGATATTTCTATAAGTACTGTCGATCAACAATATCAATCGCCTTGTGAAGACTAGAAGGTAGATATTCTATACATAGACTACGACTTGTTGGAATGAGCAGTTCTGTTTAAACATAAAGTCAACGTTGCTTTGATCATGTATAAAATCAATGTTAAATATCTTTTTCGATCAATTGGAATAGCTTCAATCCCCATTTCGTTGCAGGCTTTTCTTGCCCAAAGTATCGTATTTACTTTTCTTTTTTTGGATATTGTTGTTTGATTGAAATAATATGTAGATCAGTGAATGCACATATGAGTATCTTCTGTTTCACTTATTCTCAAATAGTTGTAGAATACGATTTCAGAATATTCAATTGTTAAAAAGAAACGACGCATGCAAATGTTTTAATGAAATTCTCTCATAGATCACAAGAACGCTTTTACATAATAATCGTCACTGCTCAAATTTTGAGGATTGTTCAGAGAAAAGTGATCTCTAGACATTTTTCGCTGTAACTTGATTAATCATGACTTTAGTTATATTATTTGGCACATTTTATTTTCTTACACTCCATTGAACGTAAACTTCAGACTGTCTTTGGAAAAATATGCGTGAATCCAATATATCAATCAAAGGCCATTTTGGTATGAATTACTTTTTTGTTTTAACGTCATTCTCGTTCGAAAAAGTTACTTTTACATAGATATTCTTCATTTATCTTTATGAACATGTTATATCCGCAATTAGCTCAGAACATATTGTTCCTACGAAGGAACTGTTGAAAAATATTTAATTAGAAAAGAATGATGCTTTTTATTTTCGTTTTATGTAGCAGATTGGTGTCAAAGAAAATTATTCTTCTGATAGGAATCAATGTATATTCGAATATGTTAGCTTTATGCTCAACCTAAATTCTCTTGATCTGCCATTTATGTATCCAATATCACTCCTAGAAGTGTGAATAATCTTGATAAGATTATTTCTCGTTGCAAAAATGAATACCCATGTCGCACAAACCNTATAAATCATAAATAACTTATAATATCTCAAGAAGAAAATTTTTCGTTCACTTAACGTCTACAAGAGTTCCAACGATAACGTGTACCCTACAAACCTCACAGTTTGCTTACATTATCTTATCATATAGTTGGTAATATATGAGTGCATAGCTATCTCAGTACACTACACAACTGTAGATGTAATTTGATTTCTTTCTTTATTGTTTTTCTCTTATTATATTTTTGTTGAAAAACAGGCAAAAATAACATTCATTATGTTAATGGGTATTGAGAGGTCGCATGAAACCGGATTGTTTAAGATATTTGACTATACTCTAAATAAAAATTGTTTTCCCGGGAATCCAGGAAAATAGGTTTCCGAGCGTTCGAAAACCCAAATAGGTTTCCAGGCTGATTCCGAAAACCTGAATACGTTTCCGGACTAATCTCGGATACTTTTAAAAGGTTCTTGGAAAGAAAAAATGCGTTTCATATGGGGCAAAACCGGAAACGCTGAAGGGTTTCCGAAAAAGTGACAGGGTTTTTGGATTTTTGGAAACGGATCACTTTTTTCCGGAAACCGTGAAGCGTTTCCGGATTTGTCACTATATGAAACGCTTTAAAGGTTTCTGAAGTCGGTAAACCCTTTTTTTACTCTCAAAAACCTTTTAAAAGTTTCCAAGGTGAGCCCGGAAACCCTTTCGGGCATAAAAAAGTTCGGAAACCTTTTTGTTGGTTTCCAAGAAAAAGATTTTTATTTAGAGTGTACAGCATCCAAAATTTGGCTATATAATCTATACGTAGAGAGAAATCTATTGTGGTTTTAAAACCTCACTCTAGCCCAGTTTCCGAAAACAGACCAAACTATATGAAAGTCTCATAAATCATTCTTGTAATGTGAAAATTAGATCAATCAATTTTGTAAAAGGGAGTGTAATAAGAGTTTCAGTTAATATAACAAGGTCCTTTCTACATATACATTCTACAGTTAAAATCTCGATATTGTAGTTTAAGTGCTTTCCGAGAAAACAAGTCTTTTTCTATCATGCCTCTGTTATCACGTGTCATGATCGTTTCACCAATCACAAATTTTCTCTGCTCTATTTGATTGTATGCAGATATTGGGTTACTAATTGCTGCAAATGGGCACGTATACCCATTTGCTATTCTTTTTAAATTCTTTCAATCTCTCACTCTATTTGTTATTATTGTATCACGTTTAACATCGTTAAAATACCTCATTTTTGGTTACTTTTTAAAAATATACAATAAGAGAAAAACAATAAAGAAAGAAATCAAATTACATCTACAGTTGTGTAGTGTACGGAGATAGCCATGCGCTCATATATTACCAACTATATGATAATACAATCTAAACAAACTGTGAGATTTGCGTGGTTTAAATTTTTCTAGTGAGTGGAGAATTCATTGCTTCATTCAAATACAAAATATAGATGATTGACAACTACTCAATATTTGAGAGAGCATCAAAATATTGGCTTGACCTCTGTCAATGAGGATACATGAACATCAAAGAAAATAAATGAAAACTGCACCATATGCACCTAGTTCATTCTCGAATAAAGAATTATAGGTTGAAATGTATTGCTCAGTGAAAAAGCTAGTCATGTCTATTTACTGAGTGAAAATTTATTCTCCAAAAATAAATCAACGTATGAGCCGTGTAAGCAGAAATACAACAGAAAATAACTGTTATTCCGAAGTGCAATGATTGATAGTTTCTCTATCTCTGATATTCACTTGTTTCTTCCTACCTAAAATTGTTTAATACTGGCATTCACATGAAAATGATAATCATTACTTAATTTATTCTACCACAAAAAGAGATAATTTCACATAAACAAAAAATATCTAATTACAACAAAAGTAGTAATAATACAGGACAGAGAGGGAGAGAAAAACAGTACACTCATATCAAAATCAAGAAAAAGATTGCTTCATTCATAACATAGGTTATGTTAAATTAACTTGTATTTGTTAAGTTGATGATAAACATTCTTGGGAAGATCTTAAACTTTACACCCAACTAAACATTTGGATTGATATAGTAACAGCTACATTTAAATTTCTATTTTAAAATCAAATATATATTACAATCAACTTATCAAACACCACATAATGAACGAGTTGGTGTATAATTATTTGATCTAGAGAAAAAATATTTACGTTTTTCATTTTTCAACTGTTGTTTTATTTTTCAACTATGATCGAACAAAAGTTGTTAGGACGTCGATAATTCTTTATTCTTGATCATAACCACAAACCCAGCAAATAATATGTAGAGAACAGAATTTGAAGGATTTAAAGTTTTGGTTTCAACGATAAAAGCAGCTTGTAGGAAACTTTGAATAATTAAAACTGTAGTGAAGGATCAAATCGAACTATTTATCAATTGTGATGTTAGTTTATACAGCTTCATATAATTAAGTCAATAACTGGATGAACAAAGCTGAGCAGGAGCACTAATTTTAATAAACAAAAAAACTAATCATAAATTCCAGTTATCGTTAATGAAGCGACTCTGAAAAATAAAGAAATCGTTTTAAAAAATGATTTTTAGAAATCCAATATACTTACCATGTTTATAAAGTGGCTCTTACGAGAAAAAAAGAGAGTAAGAGATAATCGCATAACACACACCCACATACAAAACTAAATTTGATTGACCATTTGATCAATCACAATTCTAACAATATCATTGATATCTGATATGTGCTGTTGTTGGTATTGGGTGATTGCAGCTTGCAGTTGTTGTTGATGCTGGGTAACTTGTACTTCGAGTTGTTGTTGATGCTGGGTAACTTGTGCTTGGAGTTGTTGTTGATGTTGGGTAGCTTGTGTTTGGACTTGTTGTTGTAATACCGTGATTTGTGCCTGAAGTTGTTGGGCAGGAAGCTGTGGTCGTGGTGGTATATTCTGCAAAATAGATGAAACGTAAATTCTTTTTTGTCCGAAAAGACAAAATAGTCTGTTTCCAGGATATGTAAAACTTTGTAAATATGCGAAAAGACATGATTTGAAATGAAAGACTACTTCTAATCTCCCTATTATTAAAATTGAACTTCGATCTATAATGCAAGCATCAGTAGTTTTCAGATTGAAATATACTATGAATACAGATTACTCTATATAACAGAATGACCTTAAGATAGTTGTGTGAACTTATTAGCTATTCGTAAATGAAGTTATCATTTGTTTTAATGGTCATTCTTAAAAAGGAATCAGATTGAATATGTTGGCTGAAAGAACTTTTTCTAATTTTGCAAAGATTTTCAATTTTTTAAAGGCTTAGATAGATTTAGTAACAAAATCATCCAACTATATCCATCCCAGGACGAGCTTTACGACGTCCGTATACGGCCGTTTTCTGCCGTATACGACGGTAAATCGCCGTATTACATGGCTCCGTATTACGATCGTAAATCTCCGTGTCGGATTACGGGGAAATACGATCAAAAACGACCGTAAAGCGCCGGAATTCGCCGTATACGGCACGGAGATTTACGATCGTAATACGGAGCCATGTAATACGGCCAAATACGGCGATTTACCGTCGTATACGACCGTGTATGTTCGACCTGGGGCATGCTTGCATTTTATAAGAATGACGTGATGTCAATTATTGAATAAGAAAAAATATGCAAATATGAAGTAGAATTTATATTTCATATCTTAAGATAATCAGCACTTGAATATTGATAGAATAATAGTGAGTTCCTTGATGAAAAATATTTTCTGCTAAAATAGAAACTTTTTCATATTATATAATGTTTTTTAAGCTCCACTATGTATCAAAGTATTCATCTTAATTGAGACTAAGAGATCGAATAAAGTACGATGGCAAGAGAGTGACGAAAGAATTACCTTTTGTTTTCTATCCTACACAGAGTCTGTGTTCGTCTCCAGTATTATTGTACCATGCACTGAACTGTACACTAGGACAGGGTGACCCTCAGTATATCTCGAATAAAAGGGTCAATTATCTATAACATTCCTTCTTTTGATGAAGTGATATATAAATAGAACAGTACTTCTCGGCTGCCACTTGAAGGTCTGAGCATGTTATTCGCTATTATCTACAAATAATAACGAAATTTTCGCATGAAAACTTCAATAGACATATAAACGATTACATCTACAAGATTTATGCTGTTAACTATTCTAGGCAAAAATCTTTGTTCAAAATTGTTAAACTAAAACGTTTACTTTTATTGCTCCCATACGACTGAACTTGGTAAACAAAAAAACCAAAATGAAATAATCGACAAGAGATAATCAGAATAGGCAAGATAGAAAATGTTTCATTATGCCGATCTATGCCTAGTTTATTAAAGAATAGGCTTTTGTATTTTCGTAGTTCTTTGTTTATATGCGCCAATGAAAGATACTCATTATATACAATCACACTATTATCTAATCATAAGATGTCATTAGATTATGTCTTACAATTAACGTTGCTATAAATTATTGACTTTGAAAACTATGCCTTAATCGATAATAAATTATTTTCAACTAATGGGAAGAGTTCGATATAGATTAAGGAATGAATTTCTTGAAAGTTCTTGTATCATTATATAGTTAAACACTGAAGGAAGCATTTTACCAAACTTAGATGCCTATATACATGTGTGTTAAAAGTCGACCAACAAGTAAAGTACTTAATAACAACTGATATGTACAAAAAATAGTACGAATACTATATAATAAAACAAAGCGTGATGAATAATTTAATTTTTGAGGTAAAAGAGCCTTTTGAATTGGTAAAATGGGGGATTCAAATCAGACTGTATATAATTTAAAAGAGAAATTACCAATTATAAAATTCAAACTTGTAAATGATTTGGGAATTGCAATAGAAATCGAGGTTAATCGAAGGAACAAAAGAAAAATTATATTACAAATGTTACCCAAAAAAACAATCGAAGTGTGACAGTTGTTTATCCTCTTGTTAAGCTTCTTGTTCTATAGGTTTCTCGGTTTTCTTATTTAATACGCTTATGACTTTGTTCAATGTTTACTTCATTTCTCAACTTATGAATTTCATCAATCTGATATTTACTATACATGTATAAGTAAACAACCATTGCAACAGTTTCCAAGTCACCTGGTTGATTTTTCGATCCAATAATGAATGTTATCATTAAAAAGTAAGCGAATGTTGCAGCTAACAGGGTTTCACAATGGTCTTAATCTGAGCTTTCATTTTTTGTGACTAATCGTAAGAATAATTTTGAAAAGTCTGAATAATTATTTCAAAAGACGACAATATTCGTTCAATGGTCAATCAATTCCCTCGTTTAATCATATCATCAGTTTACACGTATACAAAAAGAAATATGCACAAAAAAAAGAAATCATTTAAGAAAAAAACCGCAACAAAAAAAAGGGTACAAATAGAAAACAAAAACAATGGCGAAAGCATGATCATCTTTGACCAAAAGCCAATTAACAAAAAGAAAGTAATTATATACAATAGAAAATATAAAGTTCATGCAAACCACATTGTGTTTTCAATCAATGGATTGAAATCGATTTTTGTCGTTAGAACATCATCTAAAGTAACGACCACATTCTCATCAATCATTGCTTCGTCTAAATCCGAACTAAAATGAAAGATTTCTCTCAGATAAAATTCTAAATACTAAAAACAAAAACTTACGCAGCAATACTTCGTTGTTCATTTGCCATTTGTCCTTCATAATCCAGATTAAGACCACGTGAAACACAAAGTGTTGCATAATGAACAGGTGCTGGAACAGATACAACTTTTGTACATCGAACATCCGTATGACATAAATAATATCTATTCATATTAAAAATTAGTAAGAAGAATTCCTTTGAAATATATATATTGAAATTCTTACGTTAATTGCTGAATTTCATCGGATGTAAATCCAATTTCATCATATAAAACTTGATAAAGTACTGGTCTTGATGTACCTTGTATAGCTGCATGAGAATTAAGATAAAAATCGAATCCATTTGGTGAAACAATATCGGTATCAATAACTGTTCCTGAAATTTAAAAAGTGCAAAACAAAGATTAGAAGTAGAAAAAAATAACACATCATCAATTCCATGCTCTTACCAGGTTGAACATTATTTGTTTGATTTGAGTTTTTATCCCAAACGAAAAAACGAGTATTGTGTCGTCTTTTAACCACGACAAAACAAATTTGAGGTAGTTGGTTATGACCATATAGTTCTGCAGATAATAAAATTTCATTTTATTTATCATTATTAGTAAAAACAACAAAATAATAGTTACCTTTACATGCCAGTCGAATAGCTCGTAATTCATTGTCAAGTACCTTTTGAAATGATCCATCGTCGACACCAGCTCGATAAAAAACAAGTTTATTTGGCAAACGTGAATTATGATTAGAGAATTCGCGTAATAATTCACCAACAAGTATATGAAGATCTTTTACTATTTCAAGAGCTATTTTTCCTTTTGGTGAAAATTGTTGTACAACGCGACCAGCATATTGTGTGCCTATGAGAAAGAAAAACAAATAAACAATAGTTTTTAATTAAAATAATAGCAACAGAATCTACAAACTTGTTGAATCTTTTGATCCAATAATAGCAGCTATTGACGGTCGTTCACGTGAACATGTTACATGAGTACAATCAATGCCAAAAAACATAAATACATCTGTACGAGCTGATGGTGACGTTAACGCACGCATTAATGATACAAGTTGGTTAACACCACCTAACTTTGCATTGAATTTTTGAACCAAATTCTTTTCAAAATTAATTTTATTTAATTAATAGAAAATATCGAGAAAAACATACCTGAATATACATATCCATTTTTCGATTATCACTATTTGACATTAGTCGATCAAAACGTGTACATTGAGTTACAATACCTTCAAAAAAAAATAGCAGTTATTTAAAGATAGTAAATGGTGAACGAGTTTTACAGAGATGAGCAATTAATTAAAATATTAAAACTGAGGAACGAAGATGTAACTAAAAGTTCGAATTCAAATAAATCAGATTTGACGGAGAGCTAAGTATTTGTATTTAAAACAGGGAAGCAAACAAAGTTCACAAAACGCTCAAGTTCGACTGGAGAAAAATATTCATTTTTGAAGTTTAGAACACGATTGATGATCTCTATTAACATACTTCGTTAGATTATTCAATAATTTCGGATTTCGAATAGGATATTATCATCAATAGTTGTCCTTATTCTTGTAAGAATGAATATGATACACTATTTAAGAAAACAAATCGTCTTACCAAGTTTAACATTTCCAAAAAATTTAATAGCATGATAAATGTCATCACCAACTTGATTAAGCACATAAATAATAACTTCGCATCCACTCATTTTAAGTTCACTCATACGAGCTAAAATTGTTTGTGGTACAGCTGCATCAGATTTCTCAATAGCTGGTGAAGTAAATCGAATACCATATTTTGACATAGCCTTTAATGAAACAAGACAAAAAAAATATTTTTTATTTCGTCAACGAAAATCAGTTGTAATAAACCTGTGGAATTCTACTGGCAAAATCTCTTGCCAAACGAATTTGTCGATTATCAGGTTCACGTTGACTAACAAGAACCACGGCCCACGTACGTATTTCACGTGCTTTAATGAAACTATTATTTAACCACCATTTACCGATTTGTACACGTTCGACAACATCACGCTGATCACCGTTTGATGATTTATATTTAATTTCAGGTGATGGTAAAATTCTTGCAGGTACCAACATCATTTCGTTAACATCAACAGTAATGCCAAATTTTTCAAGATATGAATCATTATTAAATCGACGTTCATCAGCAACACGTCGTATCATTCCATACCGTTCACCAGGACGAACAACCGTCTTTTTAGTAACTTTAGCACGTTGATCAGTTGTTAATGGTTTTAAACTTCGTTGCCATTCATCGACAGTAACTAATTCCATCGGTAAAAAATGTGATTGATTTTTAATAGCTGGATTATGTAACTCAACAACTGGTAAATGAGGATAACGTAAACGAATTTTCCATTTATCGTCAAAATAATCTGCAACTGTTATTTGTTCACCTTGATCTTTAACAAATTTATGTTCGTTTGCTGGACGGCCAAAAGATTTTAAGCGATATCGACGAATTTGATTTGTATGTGATGTAACAAACCAAAGTGATTTTAAAATCTTGCGAACAAGTAATGGATAATCTTTGGATGGAACACCTACAAGTTCGATTATACGAGTAACAAATTAGAGATACAATGAAAAAGTAACAGATAATATAGAAAACAAATAATACTGTTTATAATAATTAATTGGATCAAATTTTTTTCGCATCAATAATTGTAATTAAACGAACACAAAATCGTTTACATCAGTTTTGAAGATGCAAAACAATTCTCTTTGACAATCAATGCAAATTCAACAATACTGATATTAGGCTTAATGAAAAAATCTACCGGCTAGACTCCTACGTACAGATCTTATTGAAAAAGATTTATGAAAAATTCAGAAAATTTTATTTTACGAATTGATCTCTTATATCTTATCTAACAATTTAGTATATTAATCACTATTATTATTTCTGTTTGTTTTCTAGTTTAGTCTTTTTTTTTCATAAATACTCACCCTGTTTTCGTATATCATGATTCAAATAACAGGAAAGAAATTCAACTAAATTATAATTTTGATAAAAACAACAAAATGTATTATTAATATTTAATGTAGGGCCACGTTCACCAAGTACAACAGCTTGATAAAATCCTGATGCTAACCCACGTCCATCACCTAAAAAACAAATCCGAAAATGAATAGATTCTTAAAAAAAGAATGGAAGCTTCTGTTCTACCAAGATCATCTAATCGTTGATGTTTTGGATAAGATTGATTTTTAATAGTTATCATTTCTGATCGTTGTGTTTGCTTAAATAATGTTTCAAGTATTCGAACAGGATCATGTGGTCGTATTGAAATTCTTTTTTGCATAAAATCAAAAATAGTTTTTAATTCATAAGTTTTAACAAGATTAATGATTAAAAAACGAAATTTGTTTGTTCGTTCAGTTTTTTTATGAGTAACTTCACAATGATATTCTTTTTTAAAATTTAATGATAAATTTTCAATAGCATAAAGATTTTTGCCTTCATCATACCAAACAAGTGGAAAATGCTCTTGTTCAATTATTTTTTGAATAACTTGGAAACGTTCATCTTTTTTACACGAACGCCATGAACCGTCACGAAGTAACAGCTCAACATCGACATCAAATTGATATAAAATAATTTCATTCGTTTGTTTAGAAAAATCTATTCGAAAATGATTTGAATAAAGTTCAATTCGTTGGCCAGCTAAAATAGAAGAAAAGAAAAATTATTTCAATAAAGAAAAATAAGTCAACTACCGTGTCCTGATTGTGATGGTCTTTTGATAATTGTTGTTAATTGTGAATTAGGAACAGCTGAACGAATTATTGGACGAACAAATGAACGTGAACGTTTTTTAGTATCACTTCCAGCATCAGATGTAGCTTTTGGTGCAACATAATATGAACCATTATCCATATGTCCATTATGAGATGGTTTTTCGTCGATTATTCCACTCGACGATAATGAACGACGTTGAGAATAATCTGATGAAATTTCATCAATACGACTTGTACGAGCTAAGAAAAAATATTTTCATACAAATTTGTTGTATTAATTTTAAATCACTACTTTCATCTATTCATTTTATCTCAAATGAGAGAAATGTTATCATCGAGTTTACGGAAGATATTCACTGAATAGATTTCGAATACAATAAATGTGAAATATATTTTAATAGTATTTATCGAATTCTGTAATCGTTTAGAATTCAATTTTGATGTGATTCTAGGAAATATGAACTTTTCAACTTCAATTCAATACAATTAATTTATGACTGTCTAATTAAATTTAAAAATATTCATCGGTGACTAGTACCCATGTATTTTTCATCGTCGATCTCTTTTATTTCAAGATGACAAATGAATTTCGATATTAACAGTTTTTTTGCTTTGAATAATGTATTGTCAGTGAGTTTCTCTATAATTAGACAATTATTTATTTTAACAAATAGAATTTATTTCTGTGGGTAATATTTTCTCGTATTTAGCCTAACAATTAAATATTATCTATTTAAAATAACAGATAATAATCACTTGAAAAACCACTGTCCAATCATTCATTCATATATAATACTTTCTACTATGAAGAATAATGAAATAAGATTTGTATAATTTCTTACCACGTTTAGAAGAATGATAATTTCGATCATTATCATCTATTAAAAGTATAAAATATAAATTTTTTTTGTTAGTTAAATTAAAAATATAAATACCCTCTGGATGATCTCGGCCTTTATTCGACGCCATTGATCGTGAATACGAAGTTATTAGTTTACAAAACTAAAAATAAATTAAACATATCTTTATCAGAAATCAAAATATTCGTCCATCTCTCACTTAAAAAGAATTGAAATGTATGCTAGGTCGTCTGTCGATTAAAATGAACTAGTATCGATTATCTGACCTATAAGAACATCCGAGACGGACGAGCGAACAGATATAGATAAAGAATCGTCAGTCTCGAACAATGGTAAGTGAAACATTTCTATGTTATACATAAGATAAAAACTGGGTAAAATTCAACGATTATCCCGAGAAAATGTATATCGAGATATTTATCTCTTTCTTTCGTTCGATTTATTTAAACTGAGAACAATTTAGATTTGCCTAGGCTATAAATAACATCAGTTATTTTCAACAGTTAGAATAGAGAATAGATCAAATGAATCGTTCTTTGTATCGAATACACTGGGTCATTTTTGGATATCAAAGCAAAATGCAAATTTTATTTATTACAAAAAAAATAAACAAAAAACTTTTGATGATTTTCTTTCTAATGAAATTTTTTTAGAAAATATATTTAATAATATAATGAATCTCTTTTTGAGAGAATCTAAAATGGTTTCAACTTTCAAAAAAGAAAAATTTTATTCTAAACAATTAACAATACGTTAAAAGAGAAATATATCATCGAACTATTTTAGGAGCAATTATATTCTTGAATTGATAATTATCATCATTTGATAAAATCAGTAAATGAATTACACTAAAATGATTATTAAATATTTGTCAACGTTTGCAACAACAGACATGCATGGCATTTGAATCGAATTCAATTTTGTCTATTGAAGATATGAAATAAACATTTTCGATTGTGTACGATCTCTTTGAATCGATCAATAATCAATGTTTTTATTGCATTTTAGAAAAAGAAAACTTGAAAGGAGACCGATATGTTATTTGCTTTTTTTCTAATATAAAACTAAAATAAATGCAAGCCGATTGAGAATATATTTAATGTAAAATTACAAATACCGATGAGAAATATGAGAACATAATAAATTTGAAATAAAAACGATATTTAATTAAGCATCTTTTTTCTCTGAATTATTGTTGAAAATAGTTAAATAGAAGCTTTTAGATAAGTTTAGTAAATCTCTCTATACATATTTAACGGATGCCAGCATGATTTGATTCAAACGAATTTGCTGTTTTAGTAGAATAGCGCATGTAATCTTATAATTTAAGATACATGTTGTGCGAAAAATCATTATCTCTCAAATCTTGTGCCTTTATATATTATAAATTTTATGAATAAATTCTGTCGTATGTAAACTATATATATATATGAGTACAATTCATAAGATTTCAGATATGAAGATTGCTTTTATCGATGAACTTTATCTATAATGAATTATGCATTGGTTTAGCTTTCTATTACAATGTTGAATTTATAAAGGCAATGTTTAGAAGCACTTCTGAATAGCTAAAAAAAAATCATTATTTGCTATACGGCGTTCTTAAATATTCGTTAAGAGAACGAGAAAATCTCACCTTCGTACTTTGAAATTATGTGAGGATGAAAAAGTACGGTTAATATTCTCTTGATATTTTGGTCATTTAAAAAGAACTCAAAAAGTAAATGTAAATATTTATCTTCATTCATTTCATGTGTCGCATCGTTTTCTTTGCGTTTTATAAAAGCTTCATACAAAATAAAATAACAAATAATAGAATTTTCGCTGCATTGTCATATATTTTGTTTCTATTATAGTTTATTTAAAGATACATTTGAAACATGGCTCGAAAACTTCAGCTTTTAGCAATTATTACTAGTATTTTAATAGGTATTTTTGCATATTTATATCATGTACCAAATAGTGAAGGTGTTCCACAAATGGATCGTATTCGTTTACTTAGTGCTTCAATGAAAATCATTAGTTTTGTTGTAAGTAGAATTGTTTTCAGTTGTTGTTTCTTACTTGTTATCTTTTTATTTATTCTTGTTTATTCTATGCAGGGTCTAGTATCTGAAACATTTGGTTTTGCTCCAGCATGGTACGTGCAACGTAATAGTGGTGTAATCTTAAAGAAATTGAAACCAACTGAAGTTAATGTTAATTTGAAAGTATTGGAGAAAATCTTATTTTCCATTTTTTTGATAGAACTTTTGTATTTTTTAAAAGATAGAAGATACAACAATTGATGGTGTACCTGTTCGTATCTACTCTCCACTTGATTTAAAAGATGATAAGGCAAAATTGTTTCCAGCAATTATTTTTTTTCATGGAGGAGCATTTTATATGGGTTCAATTGGTTAGTATACTTTAATTTATCTAAAATTTCAATTACTTTGTATAATTTATTATCGTAGAAACTCATCATTCAGTAACACGTGAATTAGCTCTTCAAACGCGTTTTATTGTCATTTCTGTTGGGTAAGTTTTGATTAATATTTATCGAAATGTTTGAATAACTTTTAAAATTTCATGTAAAGATATCGTCTTGCGCCTGAACATCCTTTTCCAGCTGGACTTGATGATTGTATTAAAGTAACTCAATATGTTCTCGATACAAATAGTGCAGAGAAATTAAATATTGATTCAAAACGTGTTGCTATTTCAGGCGACTCAGCTGGTATGAATCATTTACGTTGCTTTTTGTTTTCAAAATCTACTTTTATAACTTTTCTTATTAATCTATTCTTAGGTGGAAATCTAGCTGCTGTTACTGCAATGCGATTCGCCAATAATTCAAATACGCCTCGTCTCCAAATGTTAATATATCCTGTCCTTCAATTCTTTGATTTTATGGTTCCTTCATATCTAACACCTGCATTACATATTTTTCATTTTGGAAGAGGTGGTCTCGTTCTTGAATTATACATAAACAAAAGTATCAGTGAGGATATAATTCTTAATAATCATACTAGTATTGAACAAAAAAACCAATATCGTCGATTTGTTGATTGGTCATTAATTCCAAATGAATATCGACAAATATACAAAAAACCAATAACTGATAATATCGATGGCAATCCTAAACTTATAGAAAATGCAAAACAAGTATTACATCCAGATCTATCACCATTGTTAGTTGAAAATGAAGAATTATCAAAATTACCATCAACATATATACTTACAGTTGATCATGATCGATTAAGAGATGAAAGTTTTATATACGCAGCTCGTTTGAAAACTAATGGAGTCGATGTAGTACATCGTCATTATGAAAATACTTTTCATGGATCACTAACTTTCTTAGATGGATTATTTGAGTTAGATATTGCTCATCGAATGCTCAATGATATTGTTGAATATCTCAAAGAGAAGCTTTAAACATCTAATTTCATATTTTATTTCAAGTGTTACTCATACATTTCATATTTTATGATTCTTGAATAAAAAAAAGCTATTGACGAATCGAGAGAGATAAAAAAAAGACCAACGTTTCATTTTCATTACTATAATAATATATTATGATTGAAATTCAACTAAGATTTGAAAATGGACCAGAAGTCGATTGTATATCAGAAGATCATAAATCAATATCTATAAAAAAAAGGTTATTAATTAAAGTGCAAAATAAATTTGATATAACTTTGTCTTAATCAAATAAATAGGTCAGTTTTTTTTATTAGTGACAGAAGTGGATTTAGACGAATCATTTTTGTTACACAACCCTACAACGAAATATTATTATTTTTAATCTGATGAAATAATTTTCACCTCTTTTCAAATAAGAAAAGTTCATCTGAACAAAATCAAGTCAGAATCAATATTTGCAACATCTAACTACAGTTCTGTATACGACAGTTTTTGTCTAAAAAACGATTATGAATGTCTCAATTTGCAACCAATTGTAGGACATAAAATGGAATTAATTATTTAGAGTTGTTGAATTGAGATTACAAGATTGAGTTTTGATATCTCTTTTGGTAGGATTGTGCAGTTGAATTCTGAAACAATGCTATTTCAGTATATCTCGAATTGTCTGTCACATTTGATTTTTTTAAAAATTGATATCTATTATTATTAATTTTCAGTTTCTACGAGCTAAGCATTGCTGCTACTTTGTAGATATTTTTATATTCACGTAATCTAGACTTGAGCATTAAAAGTAAAAACAAAACTAATCAAATATTCCTACATTAAAAAGTCAAATGATGTCGAGAATTCATTTGCAAAAATAAGAAAAATGAAGTTCGGATGCTAATTGGTTTTTTGCAATAAAGATACCTCTCGTATATTCTACTTTTTATTTTCATTTATAGGTTGTCGAAACCAAACATCTGATTTCAATTACAACTAACTGTCAAACTATGAGACTATCTTTATTGTTCGCAAAGATACATTCGATTTTTGAATAATAATCGTTGTGTTTATTCACCTTGTATTGTTTATTATTATTCTGTTTCTTTGTAATATCGTTCATAGAGCACTGTTTATTGAAATGCAGAAATTGTTTAGAAGCAAATTATTGGTGAAAATTTATCGATTTTCCGATGCAATACAATAAATCGTTGAGTGGTAAACAGCCTTAATTAGTTTCTTTTCAAGTTGTCGATTGCAGTTTGAATATATCATAATATTATTTATGAAATATACTCTAAATTTTATGTCAAACTTTTGAGAACTAAATTATTTAGATATTTCATCATGAATATTAATTGTTGAAGATTTTTGATTCCATCTATATGTATATGTCGCAATAATATTAGGTTCGCTCAATTATATCTGCAAATGTTTTTTTTTAGAAAAAAAAGCTGAAAAGCTATCTGATAATGTTAGATACATTTTAAAACATATTTAGTTACTTACTTAAAAATAGGTCGTATATATTTCGTCAAGAATTGAAAATTCATTTAGTTTGCGTATGAAACAATACTACATACATAGTAAGATCTGTATTTCCCTGCTAATTTCATTTATTCAACTTTCTGCAATGTGCTCATTACTGATCAAACGATATTTGAGCACACTGGCACTTCCCTTTGCAAAACATAATAAATCGAATCAATAGATAAAAGTTCAACTAAAAATGATTTCTATTTAAATTCGCCAATCGATTTTATTTGAATCTTGATTTTTTTGTGCTGCTCTATTTCTTAATAGATATTCTTGTTCATGTTGAAATGTTGGATTTTGCATCAGTTGTTCTTGTCCAGCAGCACTCATTTTTTCATATGCCTGAGGATCAATCTTAACAACGGGTAAACGAACAAGTTCAACTTCAATAAGTGCACGTGGCTTAGAATAAGAAACGATTATATTATGTGGAGTTGGTGGTGTTTGAAGAGCTTCAGGGGGTAGAGAATGTTTAATAATTCGTTTTGGTGCAGGTTTGTATGGTAACCATTGTTCAACAACAATAGGACCTTCGATATATATAAATGAATCCAATATAAAAAATTTAGAAAAGAAATAACATACGCGGTTTAGGCGGCAAATCGGGATAACGATGAATGATGATCTACGAAAGGATGCAAAATAATTTATTATTTTCACAATAAGATACAAGCTATAACCTGTTGCTGTGGTTGTTTCGGTGGTGGAATATATTTATTGTAAATAATTGGTTCGGCTGGTTCAGCTGGTGGAGCTGGTGGTGGTTGAGTTTTAATAACTATTGGTGAGGGGGTTCGAGGCTCACGTTGACCTATACGAACATGAATTGGTGGTTTTGAAATTTGTGGTTTAATTAAAACTTCTTGAACTTGAATCTCAACAGGGTGCGGAGTTGGTGGTTGTAATTGACGTAGATAAACCTTTTGTTTATATACTTGTTCTTGGCTTTCACGTTCTTCATAAATAGGATTTGGATCCAAATTTAATTCTGTCATTGAATCACCGAGATCAGTTAACTAGAACATAAAATAACGTATTCAAATGAAAACTGAAAAAAAACGAAGTTTTCGTTACTCGTTCTCTTGCTGCATGATTTCCTATTTCTTCATCACTGCTCGCACTTTTTCTTTCAGATCGTTGTGGATCGATCTTACTTGAAGTTGCTGTATCAGATGGATACGGTCGAAAAGCTGAGACATTTTCATACTCTCGGAAGCCGCGAGGATTTGTATTGATTTCCACTTGAGCTTTTGTTAAATCAATTGGTTGTCCATGAGCCTTTCCATGTTTAGTTAAAATATCTGTAACATAATTTGTAATTGAACTTTTCTTAGTTGTACTTTGAGATGATTTTCCTTGCTGTTCATCTGAAGATGATGTTTCATCATTGAAATCAGATGACGAAAGATCAGTAGGAGTGGCCTTTTTGGCCATTGTTTCACGAAATATATATTCTGAAGGTTGTTATGCGTTTTCTAGTTGCTTACAAAATACGTAAATGAAGAAGTATATGATGACGTGGATATGAGTCCTTGTTATGCATAACTATCAACAACCAATCATGCAGACAACGACGTCTTGCTTTTTTTTTACCTTCGCATCATTGTCTGTCGTTACATTTTTTACTTTTCTACTTCTTTTATATGAATAACTAACGTTACCTAATCATTCATGCGCGAATCATGTTACACATAGGAATGCTTTTAGTGAGAAATAACCCATCATAAAAAAAAATGTTTTTCAATAGATAAATAATTATCTTATTAAGGCTGCCGACCTATGGATTTTCGATCATTATTTTCATCAATTTGACCACAATTGATCACCCTTGATTTTCATATACTAATTTTGCAGACTATCCGAAAGAGTTACTCTACTTTTCCGTAATGATGTTAAAGGAAGATGATACTGTCTTGAACATTTACACGTTGACTTATTAATACATGACTGCACTTCGCTGCGGTGGCATACATTTTGTAATCTCACCAAATAGAAAATCTAAAAACTAGGATGTAAAACTCTTTGTTTTATACAGAACCTAATCGATTTTTATAATCTTATGTTGAGTGAAAAAACGATTTGAAGTTTCAAAAATATCAACAGGTAAATTTTCTTGTTTGTATTATATCCTGTTTGAGATTTCACTTGGTGTTACATCAAACGTATTTGTTTAAAGCGTTTTCGGTCTTCAGAACACTTGACACGAAATTTTTTGATTTCTCTAATGAAAGTACCATTCTCACTAATAAGAAATCTGAAATTGAATTTTTTTACTCCGTAATCAAAACGGAACATTTTGCCTGTATCCAAAACAAAAGGAAAGTTACTTATAGTCTTCCTCATTACTGTTGGATGACAATGTAACTTCTTATAAGAGAGAGAGAGAGAGAGAGAGAGAAACAAGAGCCCAGGATCAAGAAAACGACCTCGTAAACAGGGTCGCCAAACCTCCGGATTTAGTCAGGAGAATCCTGCTTTTACAATTTGTTTTCATTGATTGATCTAAACTAAGATTATTACTGTAATAAAACAATGCTACGTTAACAACTTATATACTATAAAGAAAAAAAACTTCTTTCGAAAGTTATCGAGCTTTTTATATTGGAAATAGATACGATCGGTATAGTACCAAATTTATTAGAGGAAAATTTTTTATCACAACCTTTACTACCTGTGGAAAGTTCTGATTCTGGTTCACTAAAACAAAATTCAAACGGCTGTGAAATGCTGAGTAGTGTAGAATACATCTAATTATCTTAGTTTTATTTTATGCAACATTTAGATAACAATGTGCTTCAAGAAAAAGCAATCTTTCGGAAACAAATTAAAAAAATACTTACAAAAATTTTTAAAGATTGAAAAATGTCAATGCATTGTGAGACAACCAAGCTTTTCAGTCTTCTACTCAAAGTTCGGTGCTCATAAACAGATGATCATATCTTTTCTAATGTTATCGATTGAGCATAGTCACCATGCTTTTCGACTTCAACTCTATAATTGATAAAGCAAATTCTGTCTAATGGATAGAAAGAAAACTGTGGAATAAAGCTATTAACACGCAGTGAAATCTGTGAATGAATGCTATTTTGAAGAATAAATCAGATATATTTATTGGAACAAATTTTCATTGAAGATATTATTAAGACTGAATCCAACTGTAGTCCTTCGTATAGCTGTTAGAAATAATTCTAAATAAAATAGATCAATAGATATTTTTTTGTAGAGACTAAATACATCTCTAAACAAAATAAACTCATGTTTATTCCGCATGTCTTTTTTCAATTCATGTCCAAATCGATCAGATTTCTACATTTCATTTTTTGGTTTACCCCACATTCGTCCCATAATTCGTCCCATGAAATTAGTCCCGTATTTTTTAACCTTATTCGTCCCAGTTAAAAATTATTTGATTCTTAACTCGTCCCATGTGACAACATTAATACTAATTGTTCCATTCTACAAGAGGCTTGACTTATCAATTAAAACTAAATTGAAGATCGTAACAGGGTTCATCTATGTATAATATAATCACGCAATAGAATAGAAAATGGCCTGGAAACGATCGGAAATTCTAATATGTACTACTAGAACACTCTTAACGGTGACATCTCACTATTATTTTTGATAAATTGGTGGATCAAGCTATGCGATACATAAAATCAAAGACAAAAGGATATGATAATTTTTATACATAACTTGATCTCATTTTTGTGGTATGCTTCGATTTACAACTAGTGAACGAAATCAGCAAGTACTAAATTATTTGGATTTTCAATATACTGTGAAGCGAAGGGTGTGGGTGTGTTTATCTCTTCTCTATTTTCTTATTGGATGATAATTAATAAAATATAACCAGACTTTCTCTCATGTTAATTGATATTCTCATATAGAATGGGACGAGTTAAGAATCAAATAATTTTTAACTGGGACGAATTGGGGTAAAAAAATATGGGACTAATTTCGTGGGACGAATGTGGGGGATACGTTTCTTCATGGACGATATATTTTGTCTGCTTTATCGATTTTAATGTGATAAAATACACCTAAATAATCACCTAACAAATGAAACTATGTAAAAGTCATTTGTAATAGTTGTAATCTTAAAAATCATGCATCTTTGGACTAATCTATTTTGTTAGTCTTGTAAAAAGTAACATTGATTGTTTGTGTGGTAAGAAGCGTTTAGTATGATAGCGAATATCAACGAACGAATATTTTAAAAATTGAACCCAGCTCAATAGAAAATAAAATGTTGTATACGCAGGAGTGTATTTGTAATGTTTTACCGATGAAATATGGTCGGAAATGGTTTAATTAATACTAAAATATTTTCTTAAAACGATTCTATACACTGTGCTATTCAGCTATAATTTATATATTCTTAAAATAAAAATTACACAAGCAACTACACTCTAATATAATACAATCCATACTGTTGAGATTATCGTTACAATTCTCTAGTTGATAATGAGACATGATTTCAAGTATTTCCTTTTAGAGTAAAATTTACTTTTTTATAAACATTCATTGTAAATTCTGACTTCGACGAATAAAACAATCGATCTAAACAAAAATGCAGTAGCAAGGGCGTTAAAAGCGGGAGGGATGTGGGGCGCGACTCCCCTACCTTTGAAATTTATCACGGTGTGTCCCCTGCTTTGAGACCCAATTTACGCCCCTGAACAGTAGATACTAAAATACTCAAGATCAACTTTTTCTGTTCAACCATCGAATGTACTTGTTGTACACCGAATGTAAAAGTTTATTTTTCATTCTGTTCTGTTCTGTTCTGTTCTATGTTTACTTTGCAACACAATCCAGTAGGACTTCAGCATAATTTCTTTCTTACGGAATTCTATTTTATAAGAACGAAAAAGAAAAAGCAGACAGAACAAAGTAAAATGAAAACCTTTCCGTTGATTGGATAAAATGAAAGAGAATTTTTCTTGTAGTTGAAGATACAACAAGTAAAAATTTTGGCTGGGTAAGATTATTTTAAATTAGGTCATGCAACAGTATCTATTCTCAAAATTTTGTTTACCATTACGCGATAATAATGATTATTGTCGTTATTTTCAATCAAGAATGACAGAAACTAAATTTCGTGCATTTGGTTTTGGAATTCTAATTGCATTATTTATTATTTATTATTTATTGTTTCATGAAACTCAAGTAAAACCAACAATCATATTTATGAATAAAAATACTTCATCTGAACGAAAAACTTCTCATATGTATTCGTTTGTAATTAATGGAAAATTAGTTCCCAGTTTTATTAGTAAGATTTTTGACAAGGCTCAATTGCCAGCAACATGTTTAGTTGTAATTCGTACAACTGATGGAGGTATCGGAAATCGAATGTTTTTATTCGCTAGTGCTTATGGTCTTGCTCGTCTTCATCAATGTGATCTTTATGTTGGTCCATGGATTGTAAAAGATCTTCGCTCAATATTTACTATTCATTTAAATGAAACACCTGTTCACTTAGTAACAAACGATTCCGTTGCCAATGAAACTGGAATATATGGACGATATAGTGCATGCACTTTATTTGATGACTTATTAAAAGTTCCATTAGATCCAAACTTAACTCGATATGAAATGATTGGATTTTATCAAGCATTTGGATACTTTCTTAAGTATAAAGAGGAAATATCATATTTATTTCAATTCAATCAATTTTCAATTAAGAACAACGTTCCACTAGTTGAACAATTACTGAAAGGTTTGTTTTCATTAATAAAGATTCATTTCGCTCACGTCAAAATTAGTATTAAAAATAAATAAATAGATGAATACATAAAGAGGGAAAATGTCAGCTAGATTAAATCAGTCTGCTGACATTTCGATAAATTAGTTGAATTAAAAATTGAATCGACAGTTAGATCGATTTTTTTAAATTGTTTTTTCTTCTTCTAATTGAATAAAATCGATCCAGATTTATGTTGAAGGACAATCCAACAACAAAATTGCTTCCGTAGAAACAAAATTAGAAAGGCAAGAATAAAGTCAATAACTTTGTAAGTTGTTCTATCTTATACACTAGATATTTATTAGTGCTTCTTCGTCGTTGATTCAAAATAATCAATAAATTGGAATCGATCTGAACAGTTTCAGAAAAGCATATTGATGTTTCTTGCGTTATAGAAAAAAATGTTGGCACAAATTTCTTTTAATTAATTTATCTTATGAGAAATACGTTAGTATGATATACTCATAATACTAGTTGGAATAAAAGATGAAAACAATATATACAAGTATATGTCGATTAGACAATACCGAAATCTATTCAATTATTTCATTGTCAATTGATCTAATACTGTCGTCATGTAGTTCATGCATTGCATACAATTATTTTCGTAATCTGATCTCATCTATAGATTCATGCGACAAAATCTAATCTTTAGTAGATATTTTTTATGCTTACAAGTATTAGATAAAAGAAATTTTAAGATATCGATCAAATGGTATGAAAAAACTTGTTTCTCTCGATATTTGCAGATTTCCCAAAAACAATGGAAAACATTGTTTGTTCAGGGTAAAGTGATGAGAAGCAGTCTATGTGTCTGTACTATCAAGAATAAGAGGTTGATTTGTTCGAACCTAGGAATTCTATTTTTTTTCTTCTAAGAGCAGATCTCGATAAAAGCCTGAATGAAGCTTGTGTTTCTTTTATTATGATGATTTTAGCATAAAATAAGCATTCATATTTTTGGAGTATTTACGAATTATTCAAAGTCACATTCTCACGTCATCGTTAACAACGATCATGATTAGGCAGATCTTTCATGTGCGCGTGTAAAATTGAGTACAAGTCTTATGTCTGTTTCGTATAAAATTGAAATTTCTTACTGTTCGATGTCAGATGAATCATGCGTTTGACATTGATGCTCTCATGAAAACTAATTGTATCAAAAAGTTCTCGATAGTAAGCTTTAGTTAAGCTAATAAAAACAGAAAATCTATTTTTTTTCTTCTTTTCAGTTGTTTGGAATATTCCATTAAACCTCGGCAACTATACCAAAGACAATGTAACTCATCAATATTTGAAATCTCTTCTAACACGTCCACCAGCTCCATTAATACCTGTGACATGGATTGGAATCCATATACGGCGCGGTGATTTTTTAACATTTTTTAAAATTGATACAAGTAGTGGATACCTAAATTTTGCAATGAACTATTATCGTCGAAAATATATCAATTGTCGTTTTTTAATAGCTAGCGATGATAAAGACTATGCAAAAACAAATTTAGGAAATCTTTCCGATATTTTTATAACTCCTAACTCGTTCTTTTCAGGCGACGATTTAGCTGCTCTAACCTTATGTGAACATACAATCGTAACAGCAGGTAGCTATGGTTGGTGGGCAGGATGGTTAGCCGGTGGAAATGTTGTTCATGATCTTAATTATCCAGTTGCAAAACAAAAGTGTTTACGAGAACATTATTTTCCACCTTGGTTTCTTTTTCCACACAATAGCTCCAGTCAACAACCGCCATCAATGCGACCCTCAAATCAGTAAATATATTGATAAGGATTGTTTTTTTGCTCATTTCTGTAATAAAATATCTTAACGAAATTTTGCTAAAATTTATTTATATATTTTTTTTAAATTCTAGTTTATTGTTTTTTCTTTTGAATAATAATGGATAATGAGAACAAAAAATATGGAGGCAGTGCTAAGAACGACTACAAACAGACTACAAAATAAAGACAACAGGCAAATATATATACATGCCCAACGAAGAAATGATCAAAAAATGTTAATTAAGCCGAAGCTCCAGAAGTTGCTGTCGAATTTGTCTTTGAGGCTGAATCAGGTGCTAACGTACGAATAAGACTTGCAGCCATTTCGAAAAACTCCATTACTTCAGATACAGGTTCTTCTACTGAACATATCATAGAATTATCATTATCACCCAGTTCCCAATTTATTGAACGATTTGGCTCAAGATTTTCCATTTCAGTATCATCGCCGAGGGCTCCTATAAAAACATCATAGACAATCAAAACAAGAATAACAGAAAAAGAAACCTGTTTCAGCAGAAAGCATTGGATGATGACCATCAATTTTTGAATTTAAATTGCGAAAATCTAGCAAATATGATCGATGATCAACTTGATATAATTGAAGACCCAATTTAACCTTAGAATATAAAGACGATATATGAGATAATAGAAGAGATTATTGATCATGCACTGGTGGTTCAGTGATAGAATGCTCGCCTGCTGCGCATGCGACCCGGGTCCGATTCCCGACTAGTGCACATTTTTTAACTATTTTTCATTTTGTTTCGTACTACTTACATATCGATCAGTATTTGGAACTTTACGCCGTGATCGAACGCTATACATACTATTGTTACAGAATTTCCATTCCTAAATTGACAAAACTTAGTTAAAATTAATTAACAAAAAAATAATTTAGCTAACCATTCCTAATTCTTTCATTGCTTTAAATACTTCGTTCATAATATCTTGTGGTTTTGATTGAGATCGAATACCTAAATGCCATTTAGCTTTTTTTAATGATGCTGCACCTGATCCACTGTTTCCTGTTGTTGAACCTAAAGATTTTTGACTATGAGATAAATGTTGATGCGTAGTATTTGCATTGTTAGAAGAACTATTTGTGAGATTATGTGTATCGATTGGATCTAATGTTACGCTTAGATCTTTTAAAGCTAAATTGAAAAAGAAAAAGAGAAATTTCATCGAAATGCCAACTGATTGATAGTTTGATGTTAACCTGGCATTTTTTCTGGATGCGGCCGAATTGGAGATGATTTCTATTTAAAGAAAAAATAAGAAAAAATAAATATCAGTAATACAACCTTCAAAAGTCTTATGTTCAATAGAAGCCAGAATATATATAAGAAATGCTACAAGGGTATAGAATAATTGGCGATAGAAAAATATGATTTATAATAAGCCATCAGTGCTCTTAATTGATAGTCCAAAAATTTACAAACTGCGTTAAATAGATGGGGTTTTGGAACTATACCAAAGAGAAACAATAAACGGATGAATTAATTTCATATGTCAATAGACGAATACAAGCAAAGAAGACACTAACTTTCCATATAATATACCAGAAGAAAATACATAAGCACAAAAGAAACTCACAAATGGTGACGGAGAACGAGCTGATGAAGAATTTGGCTAGAATTTTGTTGTGTCTTTGTTTTAGTTTTTTTAAATAAATATTCAACTTACAGTCATAGCTAAAAATGCTGAATGAGGTGGACTTGATGCAGAAAAAAAATCAGCTATTTCCACTTTTCGAGCTAAAATTAATGTATTTAAATGAAAAGTTGATTTTGACGACTTAGAGAAAAACTGACCCTCGTTCCATATGCGCTTATTATCGATGATTAAATGATAAGCAATAACTAATTGATCATGAGGATCATTGAGTAATAATGCCTCTTGAACTTCAGCATCAGTTACGCCAAACTTCTAGAATATAATCATTTATAATTATTATATCAATTTTTCATGTTTTTTAAATCACCTCGCAAACTTCTTGTATTGCATCAAGATCGACTATGTTTGTACCTTCTTCACCTGTTTTTGGAAATAAATAATCAGGTAAGTTTACTTTAAACCATTCATGTTCTCTAAAATATCACCATAAAGTAAATTCAAACGACGTAAATTCTTCTACCTGATTTCTTTTATTGTTGCACGACGAACAGGATCAACAGTAAGCATCCTTTGAAGAAGATCAACCACTGATGTATTTAAATACTCGGGAATTGGAAAAATTCCAGCTGTAAAAACAAACAAATATCAAAATAAAATATTTATCATTTTGAAGGAAACAAAATATTTTGGTCTATAACGGTGAGGTTTTTAATTTATTTAGAAGAAAAAATACAGAGGAATAATCAGTGCTAACCGCTCGATCTTTAATAATCATAATAACAAAATAATAAAACCTCTACTGGTTAACATCTATTTTTAATAAATAATTTTCAATAGTTCTACTGATATTCATAAGAGAAAATTGTTATTAAAGCTGAAAAACAACCGACAGATCTTGTTTATCCATTTGTTTTGATTAGACAATAGCAAATATGATTGCATAAGAAAAAAAAGCAGATCATATTATTATTATTTTATGGCATTTAATTGATTCTTTCCTAAAGAAAGATTCATGGTTTTAATAAAACTACAAAGTTCAAAGTAAATGACTTGCGTATTATTCCTTCGTCACGACAGCGATAACTATAAACTATGAACTCGTTGTTAGTATTCTTATTTAAAATAAACATCAATGAGTGATTTTCAATTTTAGCCGTTTGTTCTTAAATATTCTCCTAAGACTAAGCCATGCCATGCCTTTTCGTTATTTTAAATATAATATTAACATGTTACACTTGTATAGATTTTCATAGACAGTTCTTTTACAATACAAAGTAAATTTGTAAGTTTGATGCTCATTTCCGAAAACAAAAATCAACAGTTAATTGAAACATAGAATTTTGACTTGAAAATTATCACCAAAACTATGACTTCTCTTACGGTTATTTACAAAAAGAAACAGAAAGACTAAACTATGTAAGTTTCGAGAAAATTCATTGATAATGAACATACAATCTTGATAGATCCATAGATAGATGACGGTCATAAATAAATAAAAAACATTCGTTATACGAAATATTTTATAATTAATATCCGTTACAATCCGTTCTAATATATATTGATTAACTCTACAATAAACTATTTATAGATTGACTTGATACTCACCAACAACCTATATTAATTCATTTCTTTTGTAACTTTTAGACTTTCTATAATACGCATAAGTCATGTTTTTCGTAAATTTGAAATCAAATAACAAAAGTGCATCGTGACATCTTCATATTTTAGTAGTTTTCATGAGTTATGCAACAAATATATTAAAACATATACTAAAATAAACTTACTGAATTATGTACTCGAAAAAAGATGAACTGCAAAATACATAAATCTCACTATTTGTTTTACTCTTTGTGGTTGTCATTAGAATGAAAATATTATTCTCGTTGGTACTATCTGTATAAAAATATTTCATGGAAAACTTACATCTGATTTTTTTAAATAATACTTGAACATTATCATCATCAAAAGGTAACTAAAAAAATGCAAACAGAAATAAAAATAGAAATAAAATATGCAACTTACGGTTCCTGTTAATAAAGCATAAAGAATAACACCACAACTCCAAATATCAACTTCTGGTCCAGCATAAAGTCTATATAAATACGAGAAACACATCTATGATTAGCATATCAACAATAGCAATTACTAACTCTCCAGAAACAACTTCAGGAGCAGCATAATTTGGTGAACCACAAGATGTTTTTAATAATTCTCCGTCTTTCATAATATTCGATAAACCTAAGATAAAAATATTATTTTAATTTTATTTTGAATAATAATAATAATAAACAATGAATAACGAACTTACCAAAATCAGCTATTTTGACATGAGATGCATCATCAAGAAGAAGATTTTCTGGTCTAAATGATTTTAATCAATTAAGAATTCAAACAAAAAATAATCATACTTGAGATCTCGATGAACCTGAAATAAAATTAAAAAATTAAAATTAAAAAAATTAAATGAAGACACATACCACCATATGACGATGACAATAATCAACACCAGATATAATTTGTTGAAAAAATGGACGTGCTTCACCTTCAGTTAACTAAAATTAACGTTTATCAAAACTTTTGCTTTTTATTTGTTATCTGAACATACTTTTCCTTTTTTAACAATATAATCAAATAGTTCTCCACCAGATACATATTCCATAACCATAAATATATCAGTTGGAGTGCTAATGACTTGGTATCTAACAAATATTTAAATATATTCAAATAAAAAGATTTTAAAGTCGGTCATAATGAATCAAACTAAAAGTTTTCAAACATTCCCTATTCACATCAACTATTCTCTTGTCTATAAAACAGTACAATGTTGTAAGGCCTACACATTCAGCTTCATCCAAAAAAAAGAGCTAGTTGAATTCCGAGAAAACCAACACATTGTATACTTCTACTTCAAAATTTAGAACAAAGAATTTTTTCCGATGAAATTATCTACACGTCAGTATTTCAATTAACAACTTCAGATTGAGTTTGAAGACACAATAACTGACGTAAAAAATAAAAAGAGTTTTGCATCTATTTCGGAATGTACACGACTTAAGTCAACTTTGGCGACTACATGCTGTAGCGTTTTTCACCTGCTACGTAGTCCTTCAGTACATGAAAATTTGCATTTTTTTAAATTGAACTTGAAAATTAAATGACTTAAAATTACATCTGCTGCAATCACTACGAAGAGTATTTTCAACTTTCTCATAATGTTTAGAAATCCGATATTGAATCAATCAAATAGATCGCAAGGCTATATGTTTTTTAAATGTAGCTTCTAGCTTTTGTAGCGTATGAGTAATCACGAGTCATAGTAGAAATTTACGAAATCTCTCTCTCTCTCTCTCTCTCTCTATATATATATATATATATATATATATATGTTTGAATTGTAATCCTCAAGCAAAATTTTACTGTAAAAGCACTGAATTTCTTCGTCTTTATAAAGATTGTAATCCTCTGTATCTTGTGGTGCTGTATTAAAGCTCAAGTGTCTATACAATTATAGGAAACTAAAGCCTCAACCTTGCATTCTAATCACATGTGGCAGATGTACTATATTGTGGTTAGTAATAATTATGTCATATGTGATGTTGATAAAAAAAATGTAGGTAGGTAAATGATGTAAGCAACATTTACGATCCTACTCGTGATTCAACATGGGAATTCGCTATCATCGGTATATATATATATATCGGAATATTCTTTATGAATTAAAAATAAAACAGAGAATTATACTTAAATTTAATTCGACTAGCTATGACCCATCTAGTGTTTCATACTTACAATTTAATAATATGCGGATGCCGAAAAAGTCTTAAGTTTTGAATTTCTCTTCGAATTTTTCCGACAACATCTAATTGTTTTATTTTTGTACGATTAACAATTTTGATTGCAACTGTATGTCTGGTTAACTGATGATAAGCCTCTGGAAAAATAAAACAATCATAATTTAAAGAGTTCTACCAATTGAAAATAAATCAAAAATACTTTTAACTTTTCCAAAGCTTCCCGTGCCCAAAGTTTCATTAAGAATGTAGTGACCTATTCGAATAACTCCAACATCAGTTGATGATGAATTTGCATTATTAGCAGCTTGAATCTCTTTTTTCTTTCGCTTATATTTGTCCTATGAGCCAAAACCAAAACACAAAATGATTCGAAGGAGCAGTTTTGCATACTTACAATCACAGACGACATGACTCGATAAGTGTAACTTTGAAAATCTTAAAATATATAAACAAAAGAAATAAAAAGAAGATATGAACCTAACACAAGTGATCATAGAATAAATATGCAATTGAATCTTTAAATAAACGTGTTCACTATTTGCAACGGACGAGTTATTTTTACTAATAACTAATCCTCATCAATCAAAGCATCAATAGTCTACGCCAATCATTTTTCTTTTTAACTTGTTATCATGCGTCTTACAGTGACATCTTTCATTGTCAACATATGTGGTAAAATTGCTTAGAATTTCCTTCTGATTAGTTTGAAACATAGGATTCAACAAGTTGACTATATAAAATTTAACATGGCTCAAATCTTCGAAACACGTTTATGCATGACTTATTCGTTGATTAATGTACAATCTACTCAGATCATTATAAAACTAAATTATTTTTCACGTAGAAAATAAAAAAATGAATTCTTTATTTAGGAGATTTCTACCTACGAGAATCTACAATTCTACAGATAACATTCAACCTTGATTGACTTGAACTCATAGAAAGAGAAAAGTTAACATTCGAAATTAAAAAAACATATTTTATGTTCTTCACGCATTCATTTGTGTGCATTAAAAAATTTTTTTTTTAATTAGAACCGCAACTGTGTGATCTTAAAATACACGAGGTCGTTAGCGCAGTCAGAGATACGGCCATTTGGCAATTGCTTACCAATTCAACAACCATTGCTCAATGTCGAAAGATCTTGATACACATACATGTACAGAGACTCGAGTAATGCCATTTTAATGCATCGTATCTTATTGTGATCTAATCAAGTGATTCAAAAAAACCAACTAACTATTTCTATTCTATAAACCCATACTTGGAATGATAATCATTCGATATCTTTGGTGTCGTGCCAAAATATTTGCTATGTCACTTAAATTCAATAATGGTTCTATTTGTGCTGATTTGTATTTTTTTTGACGAAATCTATTCAAATATTTGAAAACTGAAGAGAACATTCGTGAAAAACTACATAAAAAGACGAACAATCTAGCATGTTAGCTGAGAGTAACGAACTTCTCTTCAATAAGCGTCAATTTCATGGGATGACAATATATACTTTTTAAAGTGTCGCCCAATCGATTTGTAATTACGAATTGTTGCTCATTCGTCGAAATAATTTAGCTAGAAAATGCCCTATGACTTGAAAATTCCTGACTATACCACTGTACGCAGCACTCGGTAAAATTTCTGTTTGTTCGTTGTTTCTTGTGCATTCCCTGAAAACATATCTAAAAGTGCCAATGCAGAAAATTTTGACTTCCAACAGCCTTCCTTTGAAATGTTAATTAATATCGGCTTACTACCGATATGATATTTTTATGAAAATGACAAATTTTTCATAACATGAAACACCTGATGTGAAAGTACTATTAACAGAATAACACACATCTCATACGTGACTCTGCAAGACGGCTATATAATGAGTTTCAAAATGACTTCGTCAAGCTTTCGATCCATGCAGTTATGGGTTCAAAATGGCAAATGTTTTCATGCGCGATATTCTATGCAATGAATTTTTCAAGATTTACTGTTTAGTGAAAGCTAATTCAATAGATCGCTGTTCCAAAAAAACAGACAGCAAACATTCCAGGTTGTTTAATTTAATATTCTATGGAAGTATTTAGTAAAATGTCATATAACGAAACAACAATTACAAGTAAAGAAACCCCAGGTGTGGATGTGGGTGTAATGGTGGTGGTGGTGAATTATATTATACGTTAGTTTTCTCATAGCTGACACCCACACCTCAAATGATTTATTTTCTTCAATGAAAAATATGTCAGTGTATTCTATCTGCACATGAGTTGGATTAAGATAGAACAATATTTTCGTTTGACTTATTTTGAATGGAGAAAAAGAGTTTTGTTTTCTTATATGTCTGCAAGAGCTGTTATCCACAAAAATAAAAAGTTCACTTCTGTTGGAAAATATCGAAATAAAAAATCATAAATAAATAGTGTCATAGATGCTGCCATTATACACAACCATCTTCAATAAAAAGTCAATGAGACCAATGGAAGACTATCTGATTCCAATTCAACTATAATAAACGTCATTTACCAAATAATAAAATATACTGTGAATGTATCCAATCCACAAGATCGGTTGAGAGCATCGCAAAAATGAATCATGAATAAATTAGTTACTATATTGTATATATTATTGGACGCATAGAATATGTACTTTCTTTCTAAACTAGATATGAATATCCAAAAAACGAATAACAAAGTTATTATTGAAACGTTTACAGATTCGTATTACCAAAAGCAAAATATTTGCTGTTTTCATGAACTATAATCATATTATACAAAATGAGAATAAATTACCAAAAAAACATTATTGTTTATTTCTCTAGATCAGAGATAGCATGGCCAACAAACTCTGTGTCATAGACTGTGGTGTTCGCTGCTAGTTAGAGTAGTTATAGTATACACCGTTTATACGATCCATAGCCGAATCAGAATGATGATCAATTGTTTATCTTGATCAAAATCTTAAAAACGCCTTTATTTTACATACTTGTTCAATTGGCCAGTAATTGGATATGTGAGTGCTGGTGTTGATATTCTTTTGATCATACATCCACGACCATTCTCCTAAATCGAAAAGTTTAATATACTATTACTCGTCATAATCTCAGAAAAATGCTTAGGAAAGTCTTATATATTCATATAAACACAAAATATGCTACAGATTCACTGACGTATCTCGACAGATAGTCATAGATTTTTTTCGCGAAAAACTTCATTATTGACCAAATAATGGTGCAACAATGAATGGAACGCATTATACAAATGAAACACATGAAAAGCTTTACTTCGAGTATTTCTCAACTATTCACACAGTTATACCTACTGATCTAGTATTAAAGTTAAACTTAATAACGCAACATAATTTGACCAAATCTCAAATGAATTATTTTGATGACTACACATAATTATTGAATTCTCTTGTGAAAAAATCTATTTATTCGGTAGATGTCACCTCGTGATTATCAAATATTTCTTATATAACACAGAGTTGCCTAGTAAAAATCTGATTGCCGGTAGCAATGTCCTATTGAAATGTGTGAAAGTATCTATGACTGATTTTCAATTCCTTTTGTTGCCATTTTCACTATTCTGTTTCTTCATCTGTGCGCATGCATACAAGGCTGAAATTAGCATAGTATTTTGTAAGCGCTATGCCCTATTATTCCACCCACCGATCTTTTCTATTCTATCAATGGCAAATATAGAAGAATTAATTGTATATTCAAATAGCCGGAATGGACTTGGAATTCGAATTTTAGGTGCTAAACGTGCTACGAATAAATCGGGTATTTATATTAAACAAATACTTGAAGATGGATTAGCACAAAGAGATGGTCGATTAAAAGTAAATATTCCAATGAGAAATTTTATTTGAAAGGATAAATTATTCGAATTTCTAGGTCGGCGATCAAATTCTTTCAATAAATGATGAAACATCAATTGGAATTAACCGTGAACATGCTGTTAATATTCTTCGTTCGGCAGCTGCGACAAATCAAGTTCGACTTCGTATCAAACACTTTGTTCCAGCATTGTCATCGACTGAATATCAAAAATTATTACATGATGAAAAATCTACTGATGATGATGATGATAATCATCGACATCATAATATAACTCAAAATAGAAATAATAATATAACAACAACAAATGAAGTTCGTATGAGAAAGTCATCTCGAAGACATCATCATAATAATAATCAACAACGTCATAGCGCATATAATTTAACATATGATAATAGCAATAATGAACAACAATCTGAAAATAATCAATTATCACGAGGACTTGATGTTTCACATGATGCTCTTCAAGCATTACTCAATTCAAGATTTAAGTTAATTGATCTGGTTGATTTAGTTAAAAAAACTTATCCAAATTTCTTTTTGAATGATAAAAAACGAGAATTGCAATTTGTCGAACAATTATCTGAGAGTACTACTGGTAAGCGATTATTTATTATACAATCGACTTTGATAGAAAATTAATTCGTTCATTGACTAATAAAAGAATGGAGGATTCAAAAGGTTATCGTAGTAAAATTTACTGAACTTTCAGACGATACTAAAATTTTTTTTTTGCAAATTAAGAAAACTATGGACGAAATAACAATTAAATCTTCAGAAATTCTCAAGAGAAGTGAACTTTTCTTTAAAACCAGCGCAGAAATTTCTTTAAATTCTGTTTTCCTTCTTCGATATTTTTGGAAGAGCTGCTCAATTTTTACAGAAGTTTGAATAGTGATTGATAAAGATTAATATGAATTTCTTTTGCAGAATACTTCGACAGTAGATTTGTACGGCTTCATTAGTCAAATAAAGGACAAAGTTTTAAAACAGTTGTATTTTCAAATTTTCTCCTCGATAAAAATATCTAGTTATACTTCGAAATAAGATTTGAGTAGTTAGTTCGAACGGAAATTTCAAACAGCCTTAGTAGGTCTAAAAGGTTCAACGAACTGGTTGAACGATATTTTCTAGAAGATTAAGACTTTGAGTTTGGATCCGAAATTATTGAGACACCTTTTTCGTCGATGACGCAAACATTTTAAAGTTGATTAAGACGTCTTCAATGCTTTTCCATGGCCATTCTTGATCGAACAACATTTAATTAATACAAGGCTCATTCAGTATTGTTCTGTTGTTTTCCTAGAAAATTTCAATAATATGACTATTTTGGGCATTTCGAGGTCTTCTGTAAAATAAACAGTGCGATAAACAATAGTCACGGACAGAAATCAGACATGTGTCCTTGTAATCAATAATGTTAGCTTTATCGAATAAAATCATTTCTCCAAAGTTATGAATTGAAGAAAAAAAACTAGCTACAAGAATCTTAATCTTTAGGAAGTCATTGATCAAGCAGTTCTATTCAAGTTCTGTAATCCAGAGAATTTGTCCAAGTTTTTTTTAGCATTTTAAATAATTTCTCAGACTCTTTCTAGTTATTATCCTGGAGAAAAATTAAGAAATCAAGTTGCTTGAAATATTTTTCCTGTACTTAATTAGCATAAAATTATTTTCATTGAAAACAAAACCTTTTCTCATACCAAACATTTATCAAATGATAAATCAATTTTCTCACAAGTTTTATCTCGTCGTATGAATTTTCTACAGAATAGAGGAACACTTCAAATATTGACTTTTCTAGATCTATCTTCTCGATTGATGAAATTTTCTAATAAGATATTTTCTATTCTAAGAGATTCATAATGAATGAACCAAATTGAGAATATTATTTACAAAGGATTTAAACATGAAAATCTTTTTTTCAAAATGATCTAAAGTAAGTGATAGTATTTTGTTCGAAAACTCCTCTGAATTAGCATAGTTGAAAAATCGTATTACATCGGAATCTATTAACAATATTATGTAACATCAATAGAAGTTAACAAAAAATAGCCATATTCGTCTGAAAAATAATTTATCATTTCATTTCGAATTCATCATTATTTATTTTTATCTGGTACGTGTTGATAACATGAAAAGTGTCTGGATTTTCTACACTATAGTTTAATAAACGTCTATTGGAAATGATTTTTCTGAAATAGATTTTTATTCAAATAAATTCTCCTTTCATTAAGTCAATGAAATCTCTTTCCATGGTCAAAGTGTAACAGATGATGAGTCGTCGAAAGACAAAAAAAAATCATTTATACCAAAAACTGACTCGCATTTGAAAATATTGTTTCAATTTGACTTTAAAGATTTTAAAAATTTGATTTGTGCCTTTGTTTCCAAAATTTTAAATGTAAAAGTTTTTATTTTTATTAATAGATGGTCGTATAACATTAAAAGAATTCGAACGTCAATCGAGTGTTCTTCTTGGAGAACGTATAAATGTTCTTGTCCCATTTTATTCTTCATCTAATAATTCTTCTCATTCAAATGATACTGAACTTATTGTTGAACTTCGTCGTGAAATAGCATCCTGTCATGCCACGATCGATGAACTTCAAACAAAAATTGTAATTTGTGAAAAATCTCAGCGTTTATCGAATGAAGTGGAAGTTGAATATGAAGATTTAGTTAAATTTTTATATGAACAATTACGTCAATATAAAATAAATGAAACAAATCAATTAAAACAAATACGAGCAAATGACCAATTAATACAAAAATTATTTAATTATTTGTCTATTTATGTTAATGAACCAAAAGATGAACATGTATTAGCTCAACTTAAATATGAATACGAACAACAACAAAAAAATTTACAGAACAGTAATGATATTTCAATCATATCAACTAATAAATATCGACAACAATTTTAATAATTGATCGACATTTTATTTCAATTTGATGAATTTGTTTTTCGTTTTTATTTTCATTGTTTTATTTCGTTTCTTTTTATAAATGTATTATTTACATTCCAATTCAATATGAAATGAAATTAAGATAGTTGCTTGTGTTAAAAGAAAGAAAAGTTGTGAATTAACATTTATTGGCTAATTTTGAAAAAAAAACAGAATAAAATACTAAAACACTTAATATCACAAATGATAAATAATGTAAAGAAGCACACATTATCTTTTAAACACACCTTTTATCTTTTATTTTTGTTTCTTAATATCCAGAATGGATTTATTTTTCTTAGTTCTTATTTTATTAAATATTATTCAAATTGATGGTTCACTTGAGTCATGTCGTCAAACATTCGGCTCGCATAAATATGATCTTAATCAATTAAGTGATTTAACAATTCTTGGTACCGGTGGATTATTTCGATATGCACTTACTCCTTGTGGTTTAGTACCAACAAATACATGTGGTAAAAACACATTGCCATTTGAACGAGGTATGACTTCATGTCAAGAAAGAATCGCAACAGCGACGTTTGAGGCATCTATGGGGTTTCTTGATGGATATGGCAAGTCACCTAATCTTCAATTTAGTGAAAATCCCCAAGGACCAGGCACTGGGATCATTATGAATATAAGCAATGCTTTGTGTAACGGAGGTCCACGTCTTGTTAAAATTACATTCATTTGTGACAAAAATATTAAAAAACCAACAACAATGAGCGTATCTGAAAATCCTGCATGCCAGTTTACGGTTACAATAAAAGCAGCTGAAGCTTGTCCTCTTACAAAAGATTTGACTGGTGGAGCTATTTTTATTATAATATTGTTCGTCTTAGTAATTGTTTATGTTGTTAGTGGCGTTTTATATAATCGATTTAAACGCAAAGAAACAGGCTTAGCACTTTTACCACATGTGAGTTTCTGGTTACATCTAGGTGGATTAAGTCTTCATGGTTGCAAATTTACTTGGAATTGTATTCGTCGTTGTAGTTGGCAAACATCGACACCGTCAACAGCATACGAATCAGTGTAACTTTTTGTTGTGATCATTATTTGTAACAGCGAAATTATACGTCTGTTTTACTGTAAAAATTCATGTTTTTCATCATTCTAAACTTATTTTAGCACTGCTAGTATGATTGACTATGCTACAATCGATTATCTAATACATTTAATTTAATTTTCATTTTTAAAGTTTATTCAATGTTACACATAGAAAATAATAGAATCCTTTATCTATAAAGGATGACTTCGGAAAAAAATTCTTTATCTGAAAAAAATGAAAAAAAATCTGAAAAGAATATATTTTGGTCGTTTGCATCTTAATTACTCATAAACATCAATGTTGATTGTTTCGATGAAATGTGATCTACTTGAATAATTGGCGACTCAGAAGAGTTTATTAGAAAATGAAGGCTTCTTATATTCAATGAATAATCATGCGAGTGTTCCAATTACAAATGCATATCGGTCACTGCTAAAAATGTCTGAAACTATATATAATTTATATTGTCAGAGAAATGGTTCAGTCATTCGTACACTAGTGTCATCTGTATTCTGTGTTCTGTGTAAAATAAATATTAAAAATTGTTTTATTTAATAAGACATAAAAACAATCATATAAAAAATAAGTTCGAATCTGTTTTTCTTAAATCACTCAATTACGAACAGTAGATATGCTCATCTATAAGGGTAAATACCATAGATTAACACAGCTTCATGGCTCTAGCTCCAATCTACAACTATTATTGAACAATTATTTAACTTGATTTGTTTGGTTTGACATACTTGTAAAATCTAGAATGGTACTTCCAACATTACATTCGCAATATGCAACTAAACATTTAGCAACACCTCAACAAATAATGCAAAGAAAACATGAAATCGAAGCAGAAAAGAAGTAAAACTTAGATTATATTGCCAATACAACTAATCATTGTATTTTCAGAGCTCAGTGGGCGCAAACAGCTAATTATTTCAAAGCGCAAACACGCCATAATTCTGTACACAGCCATTGGACATCACCTACTTCAGCTGTAATTAGGTAAAATTATAATTTTAGTTTTGTTCCTTCTCTCTCTGTAACCATATTGAATGTCTAAAGCCATGAAGCAAATCGTACTCAACAGGAGAAAGAAGAAAAATTAAATCAACTTGAACAACGTCGTAATCGTCTTGCTGCTGTTCTGGAAGCTGAAAAGCTCAAATTTCAGGTATGTGTAGAATGCATTTTTCTAGAGAAAATTAAATAAAACAATAATATTCATTTAAAATATTCTAGAATGAATTAGCATCTGTTCGTCAATCGTCACGTGAATCAATTCCAGATATGAAAATGCGTGCAGAATCTCTACGTTCGGCTCGCGAAAGAGAACGTCAAGTTATAGCTGATGAAAAATTATATGAACATTGGGTTACAAATGATCCTGATTTACGTTCTGTTGAGCAACAAAAATTGCAAAACTTACAACCAGAATATTGGTCAGAACAACTTCAGGAACGACGTTTAGCACAAGAAGAAGAAGAAGAAATGAATTTGAAATATCAGGAAGAACTACGTCTACGTTTAGATGAACAAGAAAAATTAGAACATGAAGAACAATATGAAAGAAAAAAACGAATTGAAGAATTGAAAATGATCTTACAACAGCAAATGGATGAGCTTAAAGAAAAAGAAGAAGAGGTTTGAGTCGTTTTTTTAACATTTGATTGCTTTTAGAAAATGAATCTTAAAAAGTTTATTGAGAAAATTCCTAATAATAAACAGCAAAGAAAATGTATATTTCTACATTAATCTAGTTTAAATTTTCAAATTTTCAAACTTAGAATTCATTATATTTCATTAAAAACATCAAAAACCAACAGAACCATTTTTCATACAATCGAAACACCTACGAATTGACTCGACGTTTGCAAAAAAATTGTCACATGAAAAATGTAATTAAAGAAAATTCTAAGCTGATGATTAATATCTAATCGAATACGAATTCAATATAATTATATTTAGTAATGATCTTTTCGTGTAGAAGTGTACACTGCCGAAGAAATAACACAAATCTAAAAATACTAAATCACAAGAAAAATATAAGAAAAGTCAATTTTAGATTAGTATTCATATATAAGTTTCGTTAAGTATAGTGGATTACATGTCGTTATTCAGCTCATTTAATTCAAAGTAAATGAACTGATAGTGTCAAATGGATTGATAATAAAAAAAATGCATTCAAAACAATAACGCATATAAAAGATCAATACCAAATACAAAATAATTATGTTTTCTTTTCGTTGATGTTGCTTTTACAAGTTATTTTACTTGAATTTTTCTTTTTATTGGATATTATTTTTGAAAGTAAATGTTTTCGAGAAGTATAACATTTTCTTTCATATTGATCTATGTTATAAAAACAAAAATTCTAGCAACTCTAGTTGGGCTCAAAAAGAATCCTTAGTTTTTTTTCAATTGACTCTAGAAAATAGATTTTTCTTTCAATTTCAAGTCTTAACAACATCTGTTACACAATTATTCGACTAGACCAAGACTGCATACTATCATAAAAAGCTTCTTTTCATCATAAATGATCCTACTAAAGACCGAAACGCTTGAGAAAATTGTGATTCTATTTCCTTAATAAATCCTTATTTGATTCAATTTATGCTTTTTGCTTTTTTATTATTGGATTATAACATGCAAAAAGTATAATAAAAGCTGAACAAGAAATTGATATATTTTATATAGATATGCGATGAAACCTATAAAAAACGTTCAGTTATTCAATTTTAAGTGTCACAGGAAATTTCAGAAATTTACACATGATGTATTTTTCATAAAGTAGATCATGCTTTTGTTTTCCTTGTGTAAATCTAGAGGCAAGACAAATCATACGAGAACATTGAAGTGTGTTTTGAACTCTTTTTTCTCGATTTCTATTGTTTATCTTAATTTTGTATTAAAAAGAACAGTGCTTAACATTGAATTTAGAAAATATATATATTATACAATTTTATTATCTTCATTTAGTCCGAAATATTGAAGCAAGAAGAAGAACGTCTTCTTCGTGAACAGTGGGAATTCGATCAATTTGACGAACAAAAAAAACAAATGGAGAAACGCTATGTTCAACAAGATTATGGGTAGATTTTTTATGTACTGTTTCCATTGTTCTTACTATCTGTTTTTTTTTAAATTTTCACTTCTAAGGCGTCAACTTTTACGTCAACACAAAGCTAAATTACATAAACGAGCTAAAGAAATTCAGGAACAATTGGTTTGTTAAACTTGATGATTTTGTTTAATTTGGAATGAATAATTTTTTTAAAACACTCATAGGAATTAGATATGAAAATTCTTGCATCGATTGCGCAAGCTGATCAAGAAAGTCAAATGGAACAATCTGAACAACGAGAACAATTGAGACGTGATGCATTACATATGCTTAAACAATTTCAACAACAAATGAAATTAGAAAAAGAAAAAGAACAAGAGCTTGATGCTATGTTTCAGTGAGTATTTTTCGTGTTCAAATACCAGGAAAAATCATTTTGTTCTTTTATATTTTACAAGAGAAGAAGCTGCGAAAGAATGGGCACGTCGTGAACAAGAATGGGACCGTGAAAAAGAATTACGTGAAAAATTAATGCGACAAGTTATGGATGAAAGACAAGAACAAGTTATGGAAAAATTACACGCACTAAAAGAACAACAGCAAGAAACATATGAAAGACAACGAGCACTTATCTCCGATATGGAACAAGCAAGAAAATATGATCTAATTGAAAAACAAAAACAAATCAAAGAAAGAGAAGAGAAAAAACAAGATTTTCAAAGACAAGTAAAATACTATGCTTCTACGGAGACTCGTTTTCACTCAGACATTGATAGTTCGCCTCAGAAATGCGAAGCACTTGAAATTTTCTGTCCTATAGCACGTTGTTTGCATGATATGTCCAATAGAAAGAAATAGCTCATTAGATAATCTGATAATCTTTGTACAGTCGAGTTCGATAGATTTTTCTTTTGAAGATTATACCAGCTAGTACATTGAAGAATCTGACAGTGTCAATGGTTAATTATTTTATGCAGAGAACAAAGATGAGCAAGTTTCTCTTGGCTTTATCGAAAAAACGAATATTTTTCTAGTAGAAAAGACGATTAAAATAATAAGATGATGCCACTCGCCAAATTTTTGATTCGTTTTTCTGATGAAAAATGAGTTTATCTTGTAAAGAGGACACCTAAATGCCAGTGATGTATTTAGGGAGGGGATGGGGGAACCGCCCCCCCCCCTCCCAAAAACGATTTAAATCCCTGGAGGGGGGGTACAGACTAATTAATTTTTAGAAGTTACAACTCAAAAAAATGACCTATTCTTCCATATCGGTCTACCCCTCTAAATAATTTCGGGCTACGTCACTGCTAAATGCAAATGAATAATGAAAAAAATTGTATTCATCTTAGATTTCAATGGTAAAACAAGAACGAGCACAATCTCGATTAGAATTAGAAAATCAAGATGCTCTTGAACGTGAAGAGAAAAAACACATGAATCATTTAGTACAAAAACAAAAGGCAGTTATAGCTGCTACAACTGTGGAACCTAAAGTAATTTATTTCTTATTGACTGTTTTTGTTTCTATTTTAAATTGTTCTATTTAGTTTTATGGCCGTCGTCGTGCTAATTGGAATTAATGGGTAGTTTTCGTGTTTTGTTTTGTGTATATGTTTTCTTTTTCATGCTACAGCTCGAAACGATTAAAATCGTTTAAATCAAGAGATTAACCATTTTGAGTTCAATATTTGAAAAATAAACTCTTACTCGTATCAATCATCTTAAATACACGTAGATATTACGCAATCAGTGTTTTATCCAGCAGGAAGGTAAGGAGCATTTCGCCCTCCCGGAGACCGCGTTTGCTTTTTCGAGAAAATGAAATAAATAATTAACTTTTGTATAACTTACAAAACACAGATCTTTTGAAAGCATCAGTATCATAGACTCGATATTACTCATGGTAGTTCGCCCTCTTAAAAAAGTTTTGTCTGCCATCTCGAGAATTGAATTCGTCCTGTCGGAGTGAAAAACCTGGAAAAAACACTGTACACAATAAAATTAAAATAATTTTTTTTCTTTTCAATCTTATGATGATTATCAATAAAGTTTTGTTTCTTACATATTTGAGTTCAATAGAGCTCTGGTGGGTAATATAAATACGATACGTAGTTTTACTACAAGTTGATCATAGACAGTGAAGGTTATCGAGTGAAGTTCATAAAAAAATCTATGTTGTTTTTGAATTATATTGATTTCCTCTTTTTTCATGATTGATTTTACCATTGTATTTTTGTTGAGATTAATATCATATTCCACTATTCAGTATTCACATATAATATGACTCGATTCTATATTTGCTGCATCATTTCATTTGATTGCTTCGACTGATTAACATTTTGATCCAAGTAGAAGCAATTCATTTTGAAATAAGGATATGGTTAAAAAACAAATGATATATATATACTAGTCAAACTTTTTTATTCATGCGCTTGCCAAGACTTGAGCTCAAGATGTGTCCATGGTTCTTGAATTTCTTGATCAAGAAAGTCAAGAATTGCATGCGCTTGCAAAAATAAGTTCGACTATGGTATATATATGTATATTACAAAAAATAAGTCTCATTAGAATTCGAATGAGCTACAGATAATCAGCATGTATTTACATTTAATTAGTTTGAGATAATCTATTCATATAAGTAGTGTGCATGTTAAAAGTTCATATGGACTAGAGTGATAAATCATGTTAAACTATGTTACTAATATAAATATCAGCTGTCTTTTTCACATAAAAAACGTTTCATTGATGCGTGCAACAAGTCGCACTGCTTGATTACAACCTTGATAAATCATCGATGTTTTGTAATTTACTTTGATCATTTTATTCCATTTACATTAGCGTAGGTAGGCAAGCTGTTCACTTTTTTTAGTTTCTGTTTTATATCTGGTGCAGAAATAAAATTTTTGTTAGAATTGCTGGATGAACTATTTCCCACATTATAACATGTTTTAGATAAATTATATCGGGAAATGTAATTTCTAGTGTAATAGTCAGACAGTGCGGGAATGAGAAAATAAGGTTTATCAAATATAAGACATATTTGCTGAAGCTATATGCATACCAAGTTTTTACAGATAGTTTATTGACCTAATGAAGTATCTGACATAATTAGATATTAAAAATAACAAGATACATGTAGAGACAAAAAGAAAGAGTATTAGGAAAAAGTTCGCTTACAACAACTGATTTAATATGATTTTTGATGACATTTTGAAGCATCGTAGTACAAACTCTTGTTGAACCTCTGTCTGATTTTCCATAAATGTTGCTATAATAAAAGACGCGTATTATATATTAGAAAGAAAAAAGAAGAAAACATACCAAGTTCGGCAACACATTTTCTAAGAAATAATTTCATTTTTTCACTATGATCATCGATGTTCATATTATAAAATATCTCGATTGTTTTTCCAAAAAAGCATGCTTGTGCCACAAATTCGGCAAGATCATCAACGGCAGCATTTGAGTCAATATCAAATGCTTTTTTAACGTGATTAATGAGTGAGATTATAATCATCTCGAAGGTGATGTTGATTGTTTTGTTTTGAGCGTAATTTAAGACCATGTGAAATCCTTCTTTTGTTTTTATATTATCTCCTAGAAGTATTCTTTCCATGTCTTGTATAAATTTGCCACGTTCCTTCAAAATAAAAAGTAAATTACTAGATATATAAAAAAAAATAATTATCTTTTTATTTCATTTGTTACTCTTAAAGCATAAGTTTTAACAGAGAAAGAAATATGACTATGAGAAACAAACCAATTGTAGCACGAAGAAAGAATTTTATTCATTCATGAGAGATCAATTTAATATATAGTTTAAACTTCCAATAGAAAACAATGAGATGAAGAACAATTGAACTCATTAGACAAACACATAGCGACGCAAAAGCTGACACAGGAAAAATTCTATCAGTTAATAATGTCTATATAAAACAATTTTAGTTTAAGTTTTATTTATTTCAACAATATTTAATATGTCACTTTCTCATAACTTCAATCAAAGTCTGCAATGTGTAGTATTAATAACATATGTCAATGTAAAAAATCGGAGTGTTACTACGTTATTCGACCAACATAATTCGATTACATTCGATCATTTATAATTGTATTTATTTCAAAGCATTTTCTTGAGCTTTATATCTTTATTATGTGATAATTTCAAAAATGTTCTGATTAATGAAATAACAATTATCTTTTCTTCTAAGGTCTTTTACGATTACATTTATTATTGAAACTTTCTATATTCATGATTTTACAAACTTTTAATCTAAAAAACTATAGAATCACATTATTAATGTAATTATAAATCATAGATTGTGATAGCATATTTATATAGCTCTTTTATTAAGAATACGATGTCATCTGCTGCCGATATAGGCAGACACGCAAATGATAATTCATGAATATTAACATCGGATTTCAACTTTCTTACGAACATATATCCAGTAAACTATTGTAAATATGATTTTTAAAGTGCTAGTCTAGACACAACTAATTGCCCGTATGATAAAAACCGGAAGACAATCAACGGTTTACCGGTCTGCTCACTGGCTCTCGACAATGGAATTTACCGAGCTAAGGCGCCGGCTTTGATGAGTACCGCGGTTTACCATTAAAAATGATCCGATATTTATGATATGGTGATCTCTGTAACTTACTGTTTTTGTTCGTCCAAATATAACTAGTTCATTTTTTACAGTAATTAACTCTTCAGCAATCGAATCGTGATCAGACAATTTTTCTAAATACCAACATTTAGCATAAATAAAAAACATTACATCAAAATTCTTTCACAGTTTCTCAAACGATTTTGAAATTCATTGCATTAGTATTATTATAGTTTCATATGTTACAAGGTGAGGTGAGTTCACAAAGATAAACTATCACGATTATTTAGTATTGTGCTGATTCATAATGTGCTAAAGCTCAAAAACGTTTTCTCATAGAAAACCTATAAGAAAGATGAATTTCAAGATCGTTCTAGAAATCGTAAGACATTTTTTTTTAGTATTTACCATTAAGTAATCGACGTTTTGAAATGTGTTTGAGTATTAAATTCAAGTCGGTATCACTAATGCTATACAATTTTGATCTGAGTGAAGACATCTTATCCAATACGAGAATGATTTCGTCGCATATAATATATTCTGCAGCCTTTTTCATATCGATACTATATTTGGGTCCTGAAAAATATCCAACCTTTATTCTATCTAACTCAAGGTGCAATACACGAGCTAATCGATATGACCCTAGTATAAATCATATTTGTATATTATTTTTATGACAAATATTTTATCTTACTGTTCAAGGAAGCAACTACCACAATATCATTAACTTCTAATTCACCAGATGAAATATTTGGTAAAGGGGTAGATGGATGAATTGATTGATTATAATCTCCATTAGTATTAGCTGTACTTATTGCTTCTGATGATGGCTCATCAATTATAGATGCAACAAACTCAACGAGGTTTTCTTTCGACATAAGACTGGGCTATTTTAACTTATAGGCACATCTATGTTTTTATATGGATCGAACCATTTATAGACGACCATATTGTTTATCTTATTGTCCTATGAATAAATGTGCACAGTAATGCATTTCAATAAAAATTTCACTTATAAAGTTGAATAAAAATCACATCAAATGAAAAGTTTTTCATAAATTTCTCCTTTCAAAAGGAAATTCATTCATGGAATTCATTGAAATTTTTATTGAAAATGGAATGATTCATCGATGAAGTCTTTGCTCATTGGTTGAAAGAACCCAGGTCATTATTGATCAGTCGGATCTTGACGGACGGGTTATAATTCCGATGTCACATGGTGACCGAATTCAGTCGGTTAATTTCTGGTGAATTCCGATTATTCTCTTTGTTTTCTTATGCAATCTGGTTGCCGGATTCTCCCAGAACCGGCCAGACTAACATTGCCGGAAAATATCAGGTCAGATGATACGATAGAACCGTATACGACGTGTTCCGGCAATATTCGGTAACGAAGCTTTACCGGAATTCGCCGTGCCCCATGACGCTCGAATTCATGGTAGATCCGGCATGATCAGTATCAGCGGAACACATCGAATCATATCAGAACAAAACGGTCCTACTCGTCGGATTTAGCAACTTCCTACAACACAGATCGGACTTAAAAGGTCTTCATGTAATCAATGGATACTAAAGAAACATCTTGTGATTCATTGTGACTGATACTTAACCACTCATACAAACAATGATAGTGATGAATTAAAAATTATAGTCGATCAAATAGGTTTCTAATGAAAAATCCATCCAAAAAAGCAACATCATCATGTATTCATTGATCCTGAGTTTAGCAATCGATCTAGATGAATCTCACTACGAATATAACCAGATTCCATGATCATCTCTTCGTCTAACGCGAAACCCAGAGCCATTTATGATTACTCACAGCGAGAGTAACTTGCTACATAAGCATACTGTGCTGTTTATCCAAGCAGCTCCACAGCATTTGAAAGACCGGAAACACATATTTCAATGCTCTGGTAAGAGCAAGAGTATCATTTCAAACCATCGATAAACACTCTTGTGGAAGCTAGGATGTTCCTTACATAAATTTTGAATTGATCGATATGCAATTAAATCAGTTTCAAATTTCGTTCAGAATCCTATTTCACGAAGAAAAAGTATGTTGGAAAATCCTACAATGATAATCTGAACGATTCTCTCCGACGTGGTGAATTTTTTGATAGGTCGAAGTTGAGCTAAGTGTAACGGTATTTACCGTTACGGCTCACTTTATGTACTCTATCCTCTTCGCTGTATCCTATGTTTGTGCATTGACCTGACGAACTCTCATTGTTCTATTGCGTGAACGTTCCCTCTTTGTCTATATCCGCTCAAGTGGGATCGCTCTCGCGTATAGAAGGGAATGTAACTAAAGAAAATGCACGACTAGAGATGTGCAGATGACACAATACACCATCGTGCCAACGGGCATAGGCGACACTCTATGTTCATCACACTAAGGAGTGATTTTCTTCGTAAGAAAGTGTGGTTGGATCCGTAATGAAAGATGCTTAAAATCCTGTTTCATCAAGAAATAGTATGTCGGAAAGGCATCTAATGATATGCAGATAGATTATCCATGAATTATTAGTTGTTTGGATTGGTGCAATGTGAGGTTTAGAACTATTTGGTGTTAATATTAATGCTTAAAGATTACTCATTCAACTGGTTTAGATTCTTTTTAGCAGATGGAAAAACTGATCCTCATGGGCCAGAACAATATTACGATGTATTAACAATAAAACGATTCTTCAGCAAAAGCTAACATTATGCTTCTATTGAGACTCGTTTTCACTCAAAAATTGATACTTCGCCACAGAAATGTGAAGTGTATAAGATTTTCAGTTCTATAGCGTGTTGTTTGCATGAGATATTCAATAGAAAAAAATAGCTCATTAGATAATCTGAAAATCTTTGTAAACTTGAGTTCTATAGATTTTTCTTTTAAAGATCATTCCACTAACATTGCAGAATCTGACAGTGTCAATTTGACACTGTCAATGGTTATTGTTTTTATGCAGAGAAAAAGAATGATCAGTTCAATTCATTTCATAAATGGTCATTTATTTAAAACCTAAATTAGAAAATTATTAACAAGTTTTCCTTCCTGCTGAAAAAAAGTATATCTTTCTAGTAGAAAAGACAATTAAAATAATAAGATGATGCCACTCGCCAAACAACAGGCTTAAATCATCAATCTCAGTTTCGCTTCGTTTTTTGATGAAAAATGAGTTTATCTTGTAAAGAGGACACCTAAATGCAAATGAATAATGAAAAAAATTGTATTCATCTTAGATTTCAATGGTAAAACAAGAACGAGCACAATCTCGATTAGAATTAGAAAATCAAGATGCTCTTGAACGTGAAGAGAAAAAACACATGAATCATTTAGTACAAAAACAAAAGGCAGTTATAGCTGCTACAACTGTGGAACCTAAAGTAATTTATTTCTTATTGACTGTTTTTGTTTCTATTTTAAATTGTTCTATTTAGTTTTATGGCCGTCGTCGTGCTAATTGGAATTAATGGGTAGTTTTCGTGTTTTGTTTTGTGTATATGTTTTCTTTTTCATGCTACAGCTCGAAACGATTAAAATCGTTTAAATCAAGAGATTAACCATTTTGAGTTCAATATTTGAAAAATAAACTCTTACTCGTATCAATCATCTTAAATACACGTAGATATTATATTAAGAAAAGAATAATTCTGATTAAATGAAATATTTTACATNCGTGCTAATTGGAATTAATGGGTAGTTTTCGTGTTTTGTTTTGTGTATATGTTTTCTTTTTCATGCTACAGCTCGAAACGATTAAAATCGTTTAAATCAAGAGATTAACCATTTTGAGTTCAATATTTGAAAAATAAACTCTTACTCGTATCAATCATCTTAAATACACGTAGATATTATATTAAGAAAAGAATAATTCTGATTAAATGAAATATTTTACATGTTTTCATGCGCGACTGAATCATCCGCGGTAACACCTTATGTTTTCTACGAGGTCTCTTTCATCCGACAGGTCTTGTTAAAACTAGAAAATATTTAGAATGATTTCTCCTGATGCACTATCATCCAGGAATTGTGGCTGTTTAGAAATTTAGTATCTTAATTATGACAAACATAGAATAATCGAACGTTGACCTGAAGATTGGTCGACAAACAGCTTTTGGGTTCATTAAATAAGTTTAAACATTTCAGTCAAAGCAAAAGTGACTTCGTTAGGTATCAAATTTCCTCAAAATCATACTATCCTATAAAAAGGATTGATAATGTAATACTTCAAATTTCATTAAAACCGCAACATTTTGCTTTTAATTTTAAATTACTGATCATGCATAACAAATTTGATCAAAATGTAAATTCATTGAATTTTATTTTACTTTTGGAATTCCATGAATCTTTTTCACAAACACTATCTTAATTCCATACACTTGAGCTTGAATTCTTTTCAAAAATTTATATTCTAGTACGACGTCGCGAGTCAATTCATCGATCGATCGGTATCCGCCATCATTATCTGGCTAGTCATTCGAGCGGCTTCTCGATAAGTCGATTTTAGATTCGAATGGATATTGAAATTCTATATGGTGTTATTCAATGTCCATATTAAGCTAGGTCAAGAGTGTGGCGTAACGTTATTTTGATGCATAGGTTTCGACCACTTAAACGATCATAATTAGGAAAGGAATGGAATTTGATGAAAATACTAAAGGATCTAGCCCGATAATTGTCTCCTTCTTGAGTCACCAAAATCTATCGATTATAAGCGAAGGAAAAAGATCCGATCATACCAACTACTTACAGTTCAGTATCACCAAAACTCTAAACGAAATATAAACTATTATTTTTTCATAAAAGTCTTGTTATCAATTGAAAAAAAACAATAATACTTCGACAACTGTATTTCTGATTTTAACATTTTTTACCAATTAAAAATAAATCCCATTTCAGCATGTTTTCAGGCAAAGCATTTTTGATTAAATTGTAAATGTTATATAATGAGCTTATTCAATAAATATGAATTTTGATAATCTTCTAGTTAGTTTGTGCAATAAAATATATAAAATCAATATTTAGAATTTCTTTTAAAGATTCGAAAAAAGGAAACATTTATAATAACTGTGTGTTTGTCGAGAGCGCTGACATAATTCTGAATTTTATGACTTATCTGTGTAAAAGTAATCTTTGACTACATCTAGATTATTTAAATCTGAACAGCTAATTAGTTTTGATTTGAGTAGCAAATAAAATCTTGTTTCCAAGATTAGGCCATCTTGCAGATTCTGAATTGTGATACTTTCATAATGACTTTTGAGGCAATATCAAGTCAAGACCATATATATAGTGTTTGCATATTATTCAAGAAGTATCATTTCTGAGAATTTTGACTGGAACAAAAAATTAGGGTTTGTCGATCGTTAGGTCTGTTACATCTATCAAGAAGTTGTCCGTATCCGTATTACTAACAAGTCAAAGTCATTGATAAGAGTATAAGAATCAATAAAAATATAGGCTGAGACTTTATAAAGTAATTTTACTGACCCTTAGAATGAACATCAACGGTTAACTGAGAATTATCTCTTATGGTTCACTGTATAAAAACTCAATACAAGTATCCTTTCGTTTCTTTTTTACAAAATGGAAGTCTCTGGTAATATTTCTATGAGCATGTATGCGTAGAAATAATTCTCAAAACAGAACTCAACAAACGATGAGACATGTTATTGAATACAAATGAATTGAAGAATTAATAAAATTTTTATTTCGAAACACATTTATCCTATGGTAACAAAAGACGCGAAGTTCTAGGAGTTTTTCTATAAAAATAAGAAATCTTTATTCTAATGTTCAAATTTTCTTGATACAGTTGCTTCATGCATCAATCGAATAATATCTTTTCGAGTTAAAATACCTTGAAGGCGGCTAGAACAAAAAAAAAAGATCTTTTATAGATCTTAGACACAGAAAAAAAGATATTCAAGTTCTTACCCATTTTTGGTCACAAATATTTGTCTACAGCCCAATTTTCTGAACATATCTACAACTGCTTCCACTGGTGTTTGATCTGTAACGATAATTGGTGCTCTATCGACTAACTTATGCAATTGTAATGTTTTTGATGCTTGTAATGCTATTGATGCTCTACGCATTCCTAATGATGATGGTTGACCAGATTTATTTAATAAATTTGACATTGATACAAGAGATACTTTTCTATTCAGCAATGGCTTTGTTTGTGTAAGTGTTTGTTGCATTTTTCGTGATTTAAGTACAGCTAATAAATCTCGCCTTTGTAACTTGCCCACAATACAAGGAAAATCTTCGCTAATAATAACCGGATAAACTGAATGTGGATGATTACGAATAACTGAATCAATTTGTGCAATGGTCATTCCATCTTGAATGATACATGCCAACGGAAGATTTTGACCCGAACGATTCGGACGTATTGCTTCACCAGCTTTCAAGGTAAATGGAAAACTTTCACGATTCTCTAAATAGAGACAAAAGAAAATTTTCGAGTTTTTTGTTTTCATTGCTTTTGGCTTTTATTTTCTCATTACTTAAATATGGATAACCACTCAAGTTCACATATTCCTCATAAATTCCTTCACCAAATGCATCTCCTACCCATTTTGCTGTTAATGCAGTAATCATCAATGGAACAATATAGGATAAACCACCCGTGACTTCACTCATAATAACCACAAGAGAAACAGTCATTCGACTAACTCCACCTAAAAAAGCACACGCACCAACAACAGCATAAAGTCCAGGTGTAACACAATGTTCATTCGATACGCCACATTCATGTCTTAAAATAGCTAAATGTTGATTTTGAAATGCTACTTGTTCTGTTATAATACCAATAAGACGACCAGCAATAGCTCCTATAGATATACTTGGAATAATTAAACCTGATGGAATTTTTGTACCAATAGTAAAAATAACTAGAGTTATTTGAACGATTAAAGCCCAAAGTAATTGCCAAAGAGCACGATGAAGACCAGGACCAGCTACAGCAGCATACAATTTAGCTGTGGCCGTTCCTATTGGTTTTTCGCGTTCATAATCACTATAATCATAAAGTACATTTATGCATTATTTAATATGTGATCATTCAAGAAGCTTAACATCGATCAAAGATCTATGTTGAATACTTTTTTGTTTTTTTTTATTTCGAAGAAAAAAGAATGCAATTTGAAATAATGCTCGGAGATTTGTTAGTAATTTCCAATACATATATTTTACCACACCATAGTGCTTTGCGACTCGTTTTAACATAAATCATCAATCAATTTCATTACAAATATTTATCTGAAAGTTAAATCTTTAAAGAAAAACGAGAAAATATTCTCGAAATTCCAAATGTGTTCATTGTAGATGATATAAATACTATTAGATAAAACAATGTGTGATCTTTTTTAATTTGATGAAGATCCGAAACTATTTACTAAACTAGATCATTGAGTTACAAGAAAAAACTTTGAAATCTTCACTCAATTAGTTATGAAGCTTTGTGGATTATCGAAAACCAACGAATACGAACATAGTTCTTTTTATCAAACTTAATAAAAATATTTTAAGCTCCGACAATGGATTATTCACAATCGTTTTCACAATTCTGATATTATATGTTTTAGAAACGTAACAATTATGTTTGGACAACTTAAACAGGTCAAGACCTATTTTAGGTAGAAACAAAAAATGACGTGAAATGCAATATGTTAAAAGCGAGTATTTTGGTAAAACAATACCGTATCAATTCAGGCAATCTTTTCGATTTCAGTAGAAAACAGAGTTTCAATGTAACTTTGGATATTTCTTGATGATATTTTTGAATGTTATAGAGCTTATAACAAAAAATGGTTTGTTTTTTAATTCTATGCCAACATATTAGATATATCAACTTATGCAGCACAAGAAATGATTAGTGCATGTTCTTCGTTCAAAAGTAACTTTTACACTTCTAAAAGAGCAACTAATAATTCTTAAATCGAAATTTCGATACATATTTTAAAGCTGTATTCCTGCAAAGCGAGGATTAGACAAATAACTGATTGGTGACATAAATGCTCGTTTCAAGTGGAAAAATGACGTTCAGGTCAAAAATGCTTGAAAACTAAACTTAAGATAAAGACACTAAACAAATCAACAGTAACAAAAATTTACCTTACCCAACCACGTCAGATCACTGTAAAAATGAATTTGCAGCGGATAAATGAAATAGTCAGTGGGAATAATGCTTTGGATAAATGAAATATCATTTTTCCTATAGGAAGAAAAACGGGAGCATATGTGATTGAAGTGAACATTCGTTTATTCGCAATAAGTAAGAAATGATTTTACTCGGTACCAAAGATGCGGGGAAAATTTACAGTCGGTCAGATTATGGTTGACTCTCGTTTAAAGAAAGATCGGTAAATTGGTATGAAGATGGGGTGCCGAAAGTCATTTACGATGGCAGGGAATGGTTTCACAGTTTTGTGATGACGCGTGACGAATGACTAAGACCTGGTAAAAAGGTTGTTTCTAAATAATGATTTGGAAAGAAGAAATGCAATGAAAGAAAATGTAAATGTTAATGAAAACTACTCCTATTTGGTGTTTATAAAGTTCTTTATAGCATGGATTATGCTGTATTTGCACGGATATCTTTTCTGAACAGTGACGACAAAAGTATTCGATATAAATTTAGTATACACACGCTGACTTGCACTTATAGAGTTTGTCTTCTGTTATGGGCAGAACGGAAAAAAATTCATTTTTGACCTGAACGACACTTTTCCACTTCAAATTAACATTTATCTCACCGATCGATTTTTTGTCTACTGCTGTGCAAAGCACACACTACGGAGTTCAACATGATATTCTCTCTCTAAAGTTCTATCATCTCGATGAAAAGACAAAAGTTGTATGGATACCTGGTTTAATAATATTCGATTATGCATTTTAACAATAGAGAAATACTAGTAGAGACATACCATAAATCCATATGATCTTCGACATGACATTGTCCTACTAAACGTCTTATTAGTTCGGGCATTGTTAATCTTAAATAAGTATTTGGATAACAAACAATAGCTGTTACTAAAGTTAAAATGATAACTTCGGCTTTTGGATATTTTCCAATAGTATGCGTCTTTTTATATTTTAACCAAGAAATATTTGTTTTTATAAACAATGTTCCCCATAATCCGCCTAATGCACCAAGACCAATAAATGGAATAACTTCAAATGTTGCCCATGGTACATTATATTCAACAGGAAATTGTATTTCATGCCCATTACCATATGGATTTATTGTACGTACAACAAGAGCACCGACCATACAACAGAAAAATGTTCGCCATAATGTTTTGTATGGAAAATAATAACTTATTTCTTCCAAACTAAAAAGAATTCCACCGATTGGAGCACCAAAAGCAACAGAAACACCTGTAGCAGCAGCTGCAGATAAAATTTCACGTTTACGCGCTTCGTTGTTACCAAATTTAGGGAAAAGTTCTAAATTTTTTTATTAAATAAAGAAAACAATTGTATAAAAATTAAAATACAGCAAAGAATTAGAATGTTTATCTTACTTGAAAATAAATTTCCACAACAACATGATATGTGTACAAATGGACCTTCTTTACCCACAATTAGACCTGCACTTGTTGCAAATATCATTCCAATACTTTTTATAAGGAATGTCCATTTACCCAAATAACCATACATAATAAAACCCGATAAAATTGTTTTTATTTCAGGTATACCTACAAGATATTTTAATAATAGTTTGACAAATAAAACTTGTCATTTATTTACCTGATCCACTAGCATATGGTGCAGATCCAACAACAAGCACAACAATAAATGTAGCATAGATTACTGACCATAATATGAACATAAAATATCGGAAAAACCAACCACTAACCGATAATGCATCTATACCAAATATATCCGACCATGTTCTCCACTTAATTCATAGAATTTGAAATTATTTCATAGTAATAATAAGCATAACTTACATATTTACATATTTCATTATGAACATCATCATATTCAACATCTCGTGAAGCCCAACAACATTGCTCTCGGTTAAGCCAAAATGCCGACGTACAAACACCTGTTCTCCAATGACTCAACCACTTTGCTCCAATATCAACAAAACCAGCTACAAGGCCTAGTTGAAAAAAAAGAAATAAAAATAATTAGAAATCTGAATTAATCTACCAGCTGAAACACCAACCAATAAAACACATATCCATCCACTCCATGTATCGAACCAAAAAGTAAATCTTTTCTTCCAACTTTGTTGTTGCTGTGAACGTAAATTACGATGACGAATACGATTGCGCATTAAATCTTTTAACCAATCGATTGTTTCGAAATTTTCATAATGTTTGCGAATAACATACGTTACATTAGTTACTAAACATTAAAATAAAATCTCTAAATGATTCTATTCAAGGATATTTCACTTAGAATAATTTTCACCTTGTTCATTGTCATTCTTATAATCAAATTGACTATTATGATCATTATTATTGTTGTCACACATAGTAACAGCAGTCGTACTAGCACCTTGTGTATCAGCAATTAAATCAAATTCTTCGCCACTCTCCTCTTCATCTAAATTAGGATTAACTGTTTGAGTATGATTTTGTAGATTATTATCTTCATCATCTTCGATACTAGGTACAGGTGACAGATTAAATCGAGCACGATTGTCTATTGATGGATCACCTCAAAACAAAATGAAAAATGATGAGCTTGATTTCGATTAAAATCAAATCTTTGCTATTACGTACGAGTTGATTTTCTTTCACTTCCACTATTGCTGTTGTTTACTGAAGCCATGTGTTTAATGATAATGAGTCAAGGATAATTGAACAATCTGAGAATGAGAACGGTTAGATAAAAAATAGATAGTATCTGTCAATAACAAAAAAAATCAAAATGCATTGTATCGAGCGATTGAGTCTTTTATTGTATAGGTATCACTGTTGAGAACGTATGCATCATGTGAATCAAACCGTGTTGATTTCGATGTTTTTTTCTATCGTTCTTCGTTTCTTTCGTTTCGCATTCTTACACATATTCGCTCGTTTTCTGTTTTCGCTAATTGTGATGTTTATTCTTTACTTCAAGGTAAAAAAATAACTACTGTACACAATCCTTATTGATTTAACAAAAGTATACAAAAGGAGACACAGCATAACTGTAAAAAAAAAAGAAATACAATAAATTGTTAGACGCACCCCTTTGTATGCTACATGATAATGCATCAAGCAGAAATTTCCTTGTTTTTGGATGATTCTTCTTAAATGATCAGAATTAATAAAACTATAAGTTAATTTATTTTTAGAAATATTGTTGTGGTAATCAATGCCAATAAGATTAGCTTTGGCTGTTGCATCTTGTCACCTACCTTTTAAAGTATAGTCGTTGACATTTTTCTATGTCAAGTAGATCATTCTTGATATATGTTTTTTTACTAGAAAATAGTTGATAGAGACGAAAAAATTGACTCATAGATATAAAAGTATATCAATCTTTCTCTTGCCTCCTGAACGTTAGTATATACGCATTTATCTCTAACCTTGAAACAAATAATGTACGTGATTTTCTTTCGTTACACGTACCGATCGACCGTTGAAGGATTTTTTTTACTTTATGTGATTATGATGGAAACAATAGAAATACAAATCATCGTGTACTTTTTCTTCATCACAATGTAGCATTTTGCATATTACAGAGTAAAACAAACGAATGCTCATTGTTTTCATGCATCTATAGAAGAAAATCAAATCTATCTAAGTAAAAATACATAGCTATACTATTATCAATGTTTCCTTAAAGGAAAATTTGCAATAATAAATAGTACTATACAATGTTTTATATTCGAATCAATTTAAGAATTTCTACAAAACAATTGAAATTTTCATTTAATCATATAGATTACATTTAAACTATACGAAAAAAACGAATAATATTGCAGAAGAGTCTACCTTCATGTCAAACTAAATTTCTTTGATTTCTTCTTGACTAGACTTCTATAGAATAATATTGTTTTTATCTATTTCGTATCGGAAACTTTTCATATTTATTTGCTTCTGTCGAACTATCAAACCTATAATTTATTTTCTAATCTTAAATTGATTCTAATATTTGCAAAGCTATATCATTGCTTTTTTTAATCAAACGCAGCGTAATTTTTCGCAATAATATTACATGACTAAAACGAAGAGTAATAATAATAAGTCTACGATTATTTAACAGATTACCAGTTCCGCTATTGAATAGATTGAAATACTGATATGTTGTATAACATATATGAATAATTTGATTTCTAAAAAAACTATACAGGTGAAATATAGGTCATGTGGTGTGAACTCTCATGAGCAGAATTTAAAAGTGTAAGATAAGCAAATAACTTTAAAAAAGCAATTGGTATATGAAAAGGATAATATCCACGAGAAAAATCGCAGTTGTTTTTATATAGAGAGTAATTCAATAATGTCAAAGTCAATATTTATAACAATAATACAACAAAGCACTGTTTTTCTATGGTATTTATGTGCTGATACAGTGCTTGATAGTAGTGTATGTTATTTAATTAAAAATAGGTATAGTTTGAATTATTTTTTTTAAACATATTGTCTTTTAAAAACTTGTATATAAGGAATATATAACAAAGTATATTGAATCTGACTCGAGAAGTCAAATGTTGTAACTGAAATTAAAAAAATATGATACTGAAAATAGGTCATATCTATTGCAATTGTTTTGGTGTCTTTTGTTTTTGATTTATTCAGCAGATGAAATCGATCACTCACGCTCGTTGATTATCAATATTTAAATGAATCATCAATTGATAATAATCTTAAATGTTTTTTTTAATGATCCAACTGTAAAACTATGTATAAAATTATGCGTTCGTACAATTTTTTTATAAATCATCTATTATTTGCATTCTTCTAATTTTAACAATTGATGATCTAATATCTGTTAAAACGCGTTGATTATTAAAATATATGATGATCTTTTATTAACTGCGAAATTTTTAAAAATAATAATAAAACGTAATAATCTTGTTGGCCAGTAGAAGACATATCGAAAAGAAATAAAATTTGAACACTCAGTAGCTAACATTCATTGTTATTGTTTTTCTTCTAAGCTAATTAACTTTCCTAAATTTCATTACAAAAACATTATTGAAATATATCAAAACTCATAATTTGACAGATTAATCGACGAGCTCTATCGAACTACGATAAAAATTCCAACATAAGTCTGCTAAAATTTTGATTCACCATCGACTTACATATAAAATCTTCAATGAACGACGATGGTTTACTTGTAGTTTGTCTCTTTATTTTTACATAGATTATTAGCGATTTTGTTTTGATTATAAAGTCGAATGTAATAAAAGAAAACACGAATCGTCAATTTGATAACAATATTTCGGAATACTTTTTGATAAACAATTAAATATCATACAATTATCAAGCAATAGCTTGAAAAAGTACCTGCAATAGATAGATTTATCTTCGATTGCTACTTTTTTTTATATACTAAACTCATTCAAAAACAATTTTGGTTTCGTAAAAGATATATAACCCAGATAGTAATGAATGGAAAGAAGCTGTATCAATTTTCTAAATTTTTGTACTCTGCGAAAATATGAACTTCCGATTTCCAGGAATCCGGGATGAACAGATGCTTGCTTTTCTTTAGAACCTGATTTATTTCCTAAAAAATAAATTAATAATATCAGTCAATGTAAGATTTAGTTTTTTAAGGAATAATTAATTTGATTTCGACTGGAGCACCTTCTTCTGGGAATATATGCCGATCTTCAATTTTCGAAAATTTTTATTTCATAGGCTTTTCATTTGTTTCCTAGCCTTCATTTTTTTAATGGAAATGAGTACTGTAGAACTTGATCAACTTAACAAGCATACTCGTTTTCTACTCTAAGCTATATTTTTTTTGACAATATTCATATGTCAGTGTCTGATCTATTGAAATTTTCCCTATATAAATGTTGCAATGTTTGTTTTGGATTGTAGCACGATAGATGAACATTTGAAGATTCAGTAAGACAATTAATGCTCCGCCGTTCAAATAAGCAAGACAAAAATTAATACTAGATCGTTTATTCATTATGAGAAAATGTATGTAAATATGCAGCTTCTTATCATATTAAGAATGTGAGTGTAACCTTTTATGCGTTCATACGCATAGATTACTTCATGCGTCTATGAAATATTTGAAAACTAAACAAAAAAATACTCAATAATAGCTGACAGATTGATGCGTCAACTTTGTAAATCTGAATTATCGTGTTAAATATGAACTAAATGACAAGTTAGAACAATCAATTTTGATTTTTCATTTGATATCAAGAGACTGATTCTTTGAATCAAGTCGTATCTCTTTTAAATTCTTCATGTTCATGCTTACTTACCGAATAAGACTACTTTCTTGTATTACTGTAAGTTTATTACTATGTCAAGCTATGGACGACTCATCTGTCGGTGTACTTTTTATAATAGTCTAAATGGTTTTGTTTTTTGAAGAAACAGTAGCGACTGCTGGATAGAGCTTACAGAGTATTATCCATCAAAACAGTTGACTAAACAAACATGCATCATATTTCGCATATGATGATGAGATTGAACTCTTATACCTGATTTGGCAAAGAAAACTTTTTTAAACATTTCTTTGACACTATTTAATATTTGATCAAGATTTCCAGATATCAGTTCAATTATAAATTCCAATCCATACGAAGGGCATGTTTTCATTTTACAAGACTAAGTTTCGACTAGACTATTAGCTAAAAAAACTTACAGAATATCAAATGCAGAACATTTGATGCAGTTATTTTGTAGAAACATGCTATTGGTTAAGACAAAATAAACATGAAAAAAGATTTTCCTACATAGTAATGTTTGCTTAGTTAATAATCTTTCTCTATGATTTAATCGGTTTTCTAGATGCGAACATGATTCATCATCACTTTTTCAAATATTTGGAACATATAAATGAATTTTTTTATTTCAGTTTCAAAAGTCTGTAATTTTTCATAGTATATTGAGATATCCTCTTGATTCAAAAAATAGAAATATGATTGCAGGTGAAACGTATGAACTACAGATTTCTGTAAAAACCGGTATTGCTTTCTTTTTTAACTTAATCATTGCGTTATATATTTAATAAAAAAGCTTGCTAGCACAGCCCTTTTGGGACTAAAGTGTGGAACTCACATGTATCCCTTCGGTTTACTAGAATAATTCAAAATAGTTCATCTGAAAAATCTACCCTGATCTCCAAAACCTATAATTAGGTCATTGCCTATTTGATTATGTCTGTAATGGAGTATTAATTGTTAGCTCGGATATTTAACAATGGCAGAGACTAGCTACTATGGTCTGTCATGGGTAAGCATTGTTTTTTTTCGCGTGTCTGTAATTAAAAAAGGAAGAAATAGCAGCCTAATTACTCAAGCTCCTAATTAGCGCAATTTTAAACTTATTAATGTCTGTAATGGNACTGAACGCATACAGCAAGAAGTAAAAAAAAGACAAGGAGCAGCAGTAGCATCAACATCAACATCAGCAAGTAAGATTTCTCGCTTTTAAACTTACACTCATCATTTTCTTCGAAAATATAAGTGATTTCCACAAAAACATTGAACGATCTATAACCTCGTTGTTAACAATTATTGCTGACTAAAAAAATAATAAGATCAAGAGACTTTTTGAAGAAAAGAATTCTATATTTTTAAGCATGAAAGACAATATCAAATACACTGTTTCTTTTTTTCCACCGATATCATTATAATATCTACTAATCTAGTCAGCGTATTCTCTAATGAACATTCTATTAGGTTATTATATAGTATATATTTTAGAAGTTTTGAGAGAATAATCTTATTGACAGTGTCAGAAAAATCGAGATACGTTTAAGAACTATAATAGTTTAATTCATGCAAGTTTTTTTTTGCGACAACCAACGCTTCAATATGGTTTGCTAGCGTTCGTCTGTTTGTTGCTTGAGTATTTTCCGGTAATTACATTATCGCTTTTAGCTCGATCATTTGCAAATGATGATGATGATGATGTTTGATAACTTCGATCTATAAATATAATGTAAAACATGTATGCACTCAAATTTAAAACGAGAAATCTTACTTGCTGATGTTGATGTTGATGCTACTGCTGCTCCTTGTCTTTTTTTTACTTCTTGCTGTATGCGTTCAGTTATTTTATCAAGTGTTTCAACAGGATAATCTAGTTCTTTTTGAATTTGACGTATTGGTCGTGTCGTTATATGTCGTCGATGTCGGTCAGTGTCATCATCTTCAGAATTTATGTTTAAACTCGATAATAAACGATCGGATTCTCCGCGTGTATACTCATAGTCCTATTGTAAAATTTAATCAATCCATTAAAATTAAAATCTAAATAAAATTAATATCTTACTTTAGCACGTAAAATTGCTTCTTTTTCTAAGCGTCGAACTTTTCTTGAAGATCCCGGCATGTTTGAAAAATACCGCGTGATGCGAGTTCCTTCCTATGTCTTGCTATACTGCTGGTATTGCGTGTGATAATAATAATAGCAATAACGATGGCGGAGAATATGATAGATTTTCTTCTCGTTCGTCGCATGGGGATGAAGCTACGACCCCAACATCTATTATAAGTCGGATGCGTCAGAAAAACTATGCTGCCACAGAAAGAAAAATAATATATACATACATGGCATTACTATGTCCTATCCGGTTTTATTCTCCACGATACGTATGAAACGAATAACAAAAAAGTTAGTATATGACGTCAAATAAGCACAACAATCGTATGCAGTTATTAGTTTGATCTGTATTTAGTGAAGCATACAAGAGATGATGAATTGCAGCGTATTCCAATATTCCAATGTTCCATATGTTCTTTTTGCTTCCTTCCAGTGACAAATGGGGAAAATAACATCAACATTTGTAAACACCATTTTTCATACGTGACATTGAACATTAAAAACTAATGATGTCTATGAAAAGTTCTATTTTCAAACTCTAGTCATTGAAAATCTTCTGTAATTTAATTAATATAAGATAAGACTTTCTACATCGTTCAAGAATTCAACAAACTATTAATGTCTAAGTTAAATTCAATTTATTTTAAAACTTACCTATTCTGATCTTCACTCATGTCTAGACCTGAGTATGGTACAGATCTCATTCACCTGCTAACTGTAATTAGATAGAACTGATGTTGAAAAAAGATGATGAAGAAGATATGAAAATCCATTTTATCGATGATACATATCGCTTTTAGTTTATAGTATGGCAAGTCTTACAAAAAGGATCTATGGATGATATACATTATTTTTATTTTTATTTTCCAATGGTTATGAAAAGCTTTATACAATTATGTAATCTTTTTTTACTCGGAAAGTTTTTGTAAAATTTGCAAAAACAAATTTAATTCATACATCAACACTGTCGTCGATATATAATTACGTGTATACTAGTGATTGATACTTTATAAATGATTTCATAGGAAAAATAAAATTTTGATATAGATCACATCTTTTTTTGTGATGGCATTGTCGCCAATAGTTATTGCTTCAGAGATTCAAGATAGATAGACAAGTTGCCGTTATATATAAAATACTGATTGGCTCTTTTTGACATTTTAATATTAAAACAGATTATGCATTTTAAAAATTAATCACATTTATAAACAGTTACACAGTATAGGTAAAAGAATAATTGTTTTCTTTTATTTCGCTAGAGTTTTTGATTAAGACTGTTGTTCAGTGCTAATGAGCTGTTGAGAAGTGGTATGAATTGATTGACTCGGAAGATTGGTGATAAAAAAGTTACAGATGCAAAAAGAATTACAACAATACCAAACAGTTTCATGCCAAATCCGACCTTAATTAAATCTATAATTCTAACGTTGCCACTTGAGAATATCATCGCATTAGGCGGCGTAGCTATAAAGAAAACACTTGCTTCGAATCTGTATGAAAGAAAAAAAACTTACCAATGGGTAACATGAATGAGAGCGAGACGCTCATACATGAAGGTATAATCAAACGGGCTGCATGAATTCCGGTTATTTTTGCCTATGAAATAAAATGCAATAGGAAGACTGTTAAAAAAAATTGAAATCAACGAGATGTTATTATACGAAAAACTAGTTAGCAAACTAAATAAATACAGTTTGTGTATTAGCTAGTTATATATCTGGTCATCAAGAAAAACTAACTATAGAACTACCAGTTAAAATAAAATTTCATAACTATTACATCTTTTAAGCTGCTATTAGTTGCTACAAAACTTTCCTTGTACAATTTTTAATGAGTGATCCATATCGTATAATTGTTTTTTTAGCCGATGATGACGTAGTGGTTCTATGGATCTGATTATTAATCAGACATGAAAAGGTTCAATCCCTTCCCTCGGCGCGGTGTCTTCGGTGTCAAGATATACGGTATCGGAAAAATAAACAAGGGAAGAACAGTACTGCACGCTAATTTCGTCATCACTGTCTCGATTTTCGACTTTCGTTGTTTGTTTTCGTTTTCTCTTCCTTGTCATCCTTTCTCTGTTTGTTATCGTGGTCTTGTCTGTTGACTCTTGTTTTCGTAAGCGTTCACACAAATGATACAAAAAATCACAAAAATATGTATGGATGTCACGAATAAATATAGTGCATAAACCAAAACAATATATATATATATACATATAGAGAGAGAGAGAGATATTTCTTTTTACTGAGTTTGAATGCCTATTGAATTTTTGTAAACATGAGTCCATGAAACAACTCACAAAACATCCAGTTAATAATAGATAAGAATATGTCTTACAATGCTGTCAAGTATAGGAAACAAAATTGTGGCACAGGCAAGATTACTGGTAAATTCAGTGAATAGTGCGCTCAATACAATAACAACAAAAATTATAATAATATCAGGAGCTCCCACAATAAATCGAAGAAAAGTGGCAATTGTAGCCGATAGATTCGATATCTAAAATGAAGAGTATATTTCTATGAAAGAAATAAGCTTATTTGTTTTGCAATATACTTTGAATCCTTCAGCAATAGCCAAACCGGCACCTTGTAACATAAATACACCCCAAGGAAACTTTTTAGATATTTGTTCCCAATGAACGATAGGTTGATATTCCCAGTTTTCTAGGGTCAATTTTAAAATAAGAATTTTAGTCTTTTAAACTTTATCTTACTACTAAACGGATTTCTATTTGGTAGAATAAGTGGTAATGTACCGATAAGTATTGCAACTGTAGCATCCGCAACATAACTAGATAACAATTAAAATCATCAATAAGGTAAAAGTCGCAAAATTTTTTCGGTTTACTCTTTTCGAAAAATAATTTCCCATCCAGGATAAGTTGAAAAATCACGTGTCACCCAAAGAATAACCATGGCCAAAAATAAAATTGATATTGTATATTCTTCCCAACTGAGACGACCTAGTTCCTTATATTGTTCTTTGAGAACAGATTTTAAATGTTTTTGAGATTCTATATCATATGCGTCCATTTTTATCCATGGTAATAATCTAAATGAGATATATTTTATTAAGATTATATTCAATATATTTAAAAGTATTACTCTCTACGATTATATAAAAGTTGTAACCACAACCAACAGATGATGAGCATCATAACACCGATAGGTAAAGCGAAGAGAAGAAAATTTGTAAAAGAAATTTCAAATGCATGAGGCCCTTCGCTATAGAAACTAGTTTGAAGAAAAAAAAGTAAAATAATTAAATAAGTTTTAGTACATAAATCAACATTATACAAATGCCTACTCATCAACAAATCCTTTAACAAAAATATTTGGGCCAGTTCCGACTAATGTTGCTAAGCCACCAATTGCTGCACTATAGGCCACAGCAATGAGAAAAGCTTTAAAAGAAATCGATAATGGCACGTATATGAGTTTCAATTTAATTCGATTAGTCATACCAGTTTTCAGTTGTCGATAGTCTATTTTATTTATCGGCGTATACTTTAATGCCATATTTGATGAGTCATCATGCTGATTACTAGAAAATGTATAGGTATATTCTTATTATGAAGAAAATATACAAGGTAGTCATGTTATTTTAAATTTAGAAACAATAAAATAAAACTATTCTTAACTATTTCAAAATTCAACTCACTGAATTACTTGTCCATTTAAATCTATTGGAATATTCTCTTGAATTGTGTGAATTTCTTTCAATTGCTCGTCAATACATGTTTTATTATGAAAAGCATCTTTAAAAAAGATTTTGATTATGTATTATTTATATAATTAGAACAAAAAATTGTTTTACCAGTTGATTCAATGGCTACATTCTCTTTTGACCATTGATGATCTTCCAATTTATCGACTATGGATAGGTTTTGTCTTCCCTGTTGATGATTTTCAAGTTCATCAATAATGGCAATCGCTGCAGGTATCATGATACTTGTCGCTGCAGAATTATTAATCCACATACTCAAAAAGGCAGTCACTCCCATCAATCCAGCCATACTCCTATTGTGAATAATAGTCAACTATCTCAATACAACGACCGAAAGAGATTAGTACACACCATTTAATTGATGAACCAACAATGCTAAGAACAAATAATCCTAGTCGTCGATGCAAACGAACATGTTCCATCGCATGAGCTAGCATCATGCTTCCGACAAATAATGTTGTTATTCCCTAAGAAAAATTCATTATAATAAACAAATGGTTTTGTAAGAAAGATAGATAAGAATTGCTCACCTTAAAATAGTTCAATCCTACTTCATCACTAGATATGATACCTGCCAACGGAAAGAAGGAAAGTGGTAATATGGAAGTCACTGCATATGGAATCGCTTCAGACACCCAGTAAACCGTGAGAACAAGTACAATATAAGCACATCGTGCTTGCTTAAAACAATTGAAAACAAAATAAACAAACTATGTTTTTGTATTTAAGAATTACATTGATTTAAGACTTACATCTGATTGAACAATTAGTGGAAGTGGTAGAAGGATAATTGGAGCGAGAAAAATGATCAACAAGCGCCACCATTGTTTGATTAGTTTCATTCGATGAGAAATTATAGTCATTGTTCAGTTTCTATCGATATTTCGTTGTTCGATATTGTTATTACAGTATTATTTGTGACATTTGTTCTCTATTGTATGTAATCTATTTTATATCGATGAAACACGATAAACTAAATAACTAATGTTAACATTTTTCTCTTGATAACACTGCTAAAAGTGCATCATAGGAGTCTCATAGATAAATAACAAGCAGCACTCTATTATGGGCGTATTGCAACTTTCTTTAAGTATAAAATATATGTATTCAAGTTTAGGATTAAGGGAGACAAGGATAGAGAATATTGTTCTCAATCATAACAGTCAACATATGGATAAGATAATCTTTTGATTTACTCAAGAATATATTAGTCTTTAAATTAACATATGTTTATCTTCATGCAATCAAGGCGTTTTACATAAGATCAAGGGAGGGGGGGGGAGTGAATTTTCAAAATCCCAAATCTGCCTTTTCCTCCTTGCATAAGATGCTGACGTCAAGATCATATTGATTGATAACTCATGTTAAGTAATAACAGTTAGTTTACTTGTAACCTTTTATATACTCGGTTTTATGTACTGAAAAAGTGAGTGCACTCCAGAATTGGTCAGTGTGTCCGTCCGGCCGTCCGTTTACACGATAACTTTCGAAAGGAGAGTTAGATCATGATGAAATTTTCTACACAGTTCAGCCTCATCAATGTCTCAGTCGAGTTCGAAGATGAGAAAGATCCTTCAAGAAATGGTTGAGCTATCGAAAAAATTGTCATTTTTGACCAGGCCATCCCTGAGTAGGAGTACAGGGATTTTTTTTCAAAAAACAAATTTTTCTCGGAATTATTTACAACATATATAAATCGACTCAGTTTTTAATGCTGATTCCGAATCTGATATTAGTTTTGAACTAAATTGTAGCTTTCTAATGAAACATCGCCTGAAAAACGACTCAAAATGCACAAAACTGCATCCAGAAATCAAATTGCCTAGTTTCTCATGAAGATTTTGGTGTTCAGACATTCTAGAATGACTCACATGTTCCATGCACTTTTTGCAGTACACATAACTCTCGGATGAAATCCGAAGTTTCCACATTTATTTTTAAAGTTATTTATGTTGATCATTCTCTGAAAAACTGAAAGTGGTAACCTATCGTACAATGCTGTAAACTTGCTTGTGATAACAGAAACATATAAAATTTGAAAATCAACTTCTTTGATTAGATAAACATGTGTGATAAGTACCTGATCGTAGAAACTATAAGAGTAAGTTATGAAAAAAGGGATTATTAATTAACAGAGAATGAAAACGAACCGTTGTAGTTCGGTTCGGTTCGAGCCAATCCGAACTCGAACTCAAACGAGTATTTTTTAAATCTACTCTATCAGAACTGAACATCGAACATGGTTTAATTTTTTAGAAGGCACTAAACGTAAGCGAACATAGGAGAAAAGGGGCTAATTGAAGTAAAAATTCTTCTTTAAGATTGGCATACTGTCGAAAATGATCAAAGAGCATTTGATTATTTGTTTCACATACGATTGATATAAAATTTTGTTTAAGGTTGTATTTCTCTTTATAACAATTAGACTAGCAGTCTTTTGGCGATTGGCCACTTGTACATAGTGTTATTTTTTGAATCGTTCATCTTTTTTTTCGTTGACGGTTTTTTTCTGTAAATAATAGATGACCGCTCGCCTAATTGATGATTGTGTACCATTGTACAAATATATGAATCATATTGGTTACTTTCTCTTCCTTTCTGTCTGTGACTTATTGTCAACTGATGCTCTCATCACCTGTTCAGTTTTATTTGATATTTAAATGATTTCAAGTGATTATTCAATTTCTGATTCATCAATTCAAAGTTCATCACCACTGCCAACTGTAATATTGAAAGATAATAATAAGAACTATAAAGTTATTTCGAATCAAAGTAAACGAGTTTCAGCTACATTTTGGAAAATAACGTGCATGGGCTTCCCAGTCAAAAATATTGCATGATAAACATGAACCTATTGTTATTCGTGGTTTTCTGTCATGTACCAAATACTTCCAGACCTATTGCTATGTTAACTCGACCACAGCTCATACTAAATCTCATAAATACATTAATTTACTACTACCAAATCAAACAATCAATTGATCATCATAATCCTGTTCTATTTTTGCATTTAGAATCGTTTATATTCTAAGTAAAAAAAACTCAGAATTGAATCAAGCCAAAACAGATTCCATAGCTTTTTCACATTTTCTTATACCGAGCGGATTTACGGAACATTCGAATCGATTGTTTTCACAAATCAATCTTCCGTTTTTTTCTATATACACTTTTTAATCATAATATAACCTAATCAAAAATCATTCAACTGAAGCATTGAATAGAAATTAGCCAAATCTATATAATAACAGTTTTGAGTCGTCCTTTTTTTCCTTAGTTTGATTTACACTCACATATACGCACAGAAATGAATATTAGAATGGAAAAAGAACCCTCACATTGTCTTCAAAAACCAAAGTATTACACAGGGTTGCCAGCCGTACCCCATTTGAGCCTTTTGTACCTCAAAAAAAATTGTACCTCTGAGGTACGCATTTTGTACCCCATCTGCATTTTTCAATGTTACGACTACTATCATCCATATTTTGGTTGAAACTAAGAAAATTTCTGTCTCTTTATCCGACATTTACTATTGATAAAGATGTG